AATTCTTTCACTATAGTTACATGTTAGAACAAGAAACTATAGTGGCCGCGGTTATGTTGAGTGTGAAAATTTGAATTCAGAATTTTAGACAATCTCCAATTCACAATTCTATTTTTTCAAGAATATCACAAAATTTTCAATTCTTTTCAATTCTTGCATAATACTACTTCCTCCTTCCCATTCCCATGTAATATGGGTGTATTACCGTAGACACGAGAATTTAGGTAAAGTATAATTAGTAAATAATTAAGAAGTATATTAGTAAAAATAATTATTATTTAGTAAAAATAATTATAGATTAAGATTAAGATAAGTAAATAGTTTAATTAAAATTAAGAAAATTATAAAATTTAAAATGCGATTAAAGTGCATAATTATATTTCCAAAAATAGAAATGACAAGTTATTGGGGACAGACGAAAATAAAAAATAGGGACAAATTATGTGGGACGGAGCGAGTAATTCATTTCCAATCATATCCTCTATTTTTATAAATTATACTAATTCACCTCTAACCACACTGTCTATTTTTTAAGGATCAATAATATTTTATCTATATTTCATTGTATATATATATTTTTAATAATTTTTTAAATTTATAAATAACATCAAATATTTTATGTATTTTAATACATTTAATTTTGAAAATAATTTAATATTATTTTAATAAATTAAATTAAAATGTTCTATTATTTAATCATAAAAATAATAAATATTTAAAATAAAATAAATAAAATATTTAATATTATCAAATAATATTTATGCAAAATATAAATACAAATGAAAATACATAGTATTATTTGATTAAATATAATAAATACAATATAAAATTTAATACTAATTAAAAAATATAAATAAAAAATTAATTTATTTTATAAATAATAAAATAAAAATCATAAAATATAATTTAAAAATAATTTTTATGAATTTTAATTTTTATTGTTGAAATTTCTGATAAATCGATCAGGATGATAACTGAGTTAAATACTACGTGTTAATTTAATTAACTTAAAACACTAATGTAAAATAATTAGAATTTCATTGCAAGATAAATAACATGTGATCATTAGCATATTAATTTAAAATAATTAATATTTCACCGCAATCACATTAATAAAATATAATTTAAATAAAAAATCTAAAAATAAAATACAACATCAAACACACCAAAACCTAAACATATTAATTAACTATAATGTACTACAACTAATCAAACATATCTACGATAGCACATACATTTTTCTAATATAATAATAAAAATATATAAAATATTCGGTATGTATAAAATATTTAGTATACTATACAGTATAAGAAAATATTTTATCCCACACATATCCTATTATATGCTCCTTCCGTCCAGCTAAAAAATATATATATTTATATTTTAGGACGTTTGATTACAAAATAAATATTTCATTAAATATTTTATTTTATTTTTTTCACAAATACCCTTACTTTATATCACATTATTACTTTTACACCAAAGAGCAAGGGCAAAGATGTCATTACACTACTTTTAACTACACATTATAATTAAAATACTATTATTTCTTAAATATTGCGCTAAAAATAAATGTATTGGACGGAGGGAGTATGTATATATATATATATAACACTATAGCTCAGGGTGTTGACCCTGTTCCCTTGTATTCCTAACTTTTCATTTTTTTTGGTTTTTAAAATTTTTTTAATGGAATTTTTCAAAACATATATATATATATATCAATAATTATTATTATTATTATTTTTTTTAAAATAACGAGATAGTTTGATAGTTTCTTAATTAATTTATTTATTTTTAAATTCAGTTTGTGTATTATACATTGAAAAATATGGATAATACGAATGTATATATATATTCTTTTAATAATTTAGCAAAATCAGAATATAGACAATTAGCCTCTCGCATCGGATTTCGGAAAGGCGTGTTGAAAGTCCAACAAAAGTTTGGCAAAGATTTGGTGACTCTCCCTCTATATTTATTTTCAAATGCGCTCTTTTTGAAAAAATATTTTTATTTTTAGAATAAATTTTATTTTTAATATATTTTGCAGATAAATTACGATGCAAAGAATAAGAAGAAGATAAAAATATAATATCCATTAATATTTTTAATATATTTTATAGATATTTTTTATTTTATTTTCTATTGAAGAAGAAAAAGGTAATATATTCATTTACTTTTTGATATATTTTGCAAATATTTTTTTATTTTATTTATTTTGCAAATAAATTAAAAAAAAAGATAAACATATAATATTCATACAATAAAATATAAATATAATATTCATATTAAAATATATTAAATAATATAATTATATTTTATGTTTTTCTATATAAATTTTATTTTATTTTTTATTTATGTTATGTTATATAAAGATATTGAATAATATAATATTATTTTATTTTATTTTATTTTTCAATTTTTATTTTATTTTTTATTTTTTAGTATATATTGATTTTTAGAGATTTAAAAAGTTATAATTAAAATTAAATTAATTTCAATATCTGTAATATAAAATTAAAACAAATAATTATTTGTTATTCTGTTAAATCAAATTAAATATAATAAATAAATTTTAATAATAAATATAGTTAATTATTTTAATTTTTTTCAAATAAAAATTAATATTTAAACATACATGTATAAGTATAATGTAATATTATTTTAAAATAGTTACTCCCTCAGTTCCAATACAATATTTTTATTTACCATTTTTGTTCGTTCCAAAATAATAGTCTTATTTCCATAAATAACTATATCACCATAAAATTACCTCTAACACAATTACCCATACTTTTTTACACTAATACACTAACGTTGATAAAAAAGTCTTTTACCTATACTTTTTACCAACTACGGGTTGACACGCTAGTACTAAATAAAGTTGTGTTTGTTTGGAGTTTGAATTTTGAGTTGGAATTTGAATAGTAAAAATTTTTAATTTGAATAGTTGTATGATGTGATGTTTTGAATGTAAAATTGATTTTTGATTTTTAATATAATATAAAAAATAAAAAATAGTTATTTGATTTGATGATTTTGGAAGAAAAAAATGAGATGAACAGTATAAATCCAATCCAATATCCCAAACAAACACACCCTTATAAATAAACATATAAAATGAATGGGAATAATTAAAGGGTTGAAAATTGAATGAGCATTGAATTAGTGGGTTAGGATCCACAGATAATGCGGGGCTGTGCCACGACACTGGGGCCCACCTTCAATTATTTAACCCTAACCCTTTACCGGCAACCGCCTCCCCCGGTTTGCTTGCTTCCATACAAATTACGGAGTACTATTATATTTAATTTTAATTAAATTTTATTTTGTAAATTTTCTTTTAACTTAATAAAGAAATGATGAATAAATAATAAAAGAAAAAAAAAGGCAGATTTATTTATTTATTTAAGAAAGGAGTATGATGATTTCCATTCCATTGCAGGCTTGCATCATCAAGCCCAGCCCAGATACTATTTTAATTTTTATTTTTTAAAAAATAAAAATGTTATTAAAGTGAAGTTCAAAAAGGATAGAAATGGGTTCATGTGTTCAAATGAATTAAAAGAAATATTATGGATCTCATGGGCCGGGCCTGGCAAAGAAATACAACTGATACTATTATGACTTTTGTTAGGCTCAGTTTACATACCACAATTTGTAAATTTAAATACTACTATTTACTTAGTCCCGTAAGGGATGGTCCAGTGGTGGTGTAGGAATTGGATTTGCAAACTCCCAACGGCTCAGGTCACCTGCCACATATAGTTCGCCTAGTGTGACTTTTCCGTCGGGTCTGATTTCGGTCGGCGATTTACCACCCAGTGCGCAGCGGCTGCAGGTATCCACATCATCTAAAAAAAAACTTTTGATAGACAAAAGAAAATGTTCCAAAATTTGGTCCAAAACCTCATCTAGAATATCATCTTTTTGAAAAATTAAAGACAAGTGATTATTAGACACAAGATTCCTTAGGTATTGGAATTTATTCTATTATATATGATTTGATACATTTTACACTTAAAAAACATAAACAGTCTCTTAAGTTAAGATTGAGGCTTTTTTTTTTTAATTGTTTAGAACAATAAAATATAAATAATAAAAAATTGGATAGGAACAAGAAAAGAAAAAAAAAAAGCATCCCCTAAATAATTAATAAGTAAATTTCAATGAATGAGATAAACCTATCACCTTAAATAATGATTTGAGATCATAATTTAATAATCCAACAAGTTAAACATGTTGATCAATCACAAAATCAGGTGCTCTAATATCACTTCTCAATCATATATTTCAAGTATAAATCTATATATAAGAATATATTTCTTTTTTTTTTTTTTTTTTTTTTTTTAACAAGAAGGAATATGTATTATTTGTGTCCATACGTAACAATCATATTTGAAAATGGAATAATATGATTTTTCATTACATAATCAGATATGACTTAAATCATTTAATTTGATTAATATATAATGAAAGTGTATCACTCCACTTTCAAGGCCTCCATTTATGTGCGTACGTGTAAGTAATTTGTTTATGTTGCTTTTCTTTTTTTTTTTTTCAAAAAAAATAAAAAATTATTCAATCCACTTATTTATTTAAAATTATATTGAAATATTTGATTTTTATATAAAATATAATACTTCCTCCGTCATAAAAAATTTAAGTATATTTTTTTTATTTGTCCATCATAAAAAATAAGCCTATTTTACTTTTTGCAAAAAAAATTATACAATTATCTTTTTATAATTATTAACGATTTTTTTTAAAGAACAGAAACAAATTAAATTAACACTCAGTACGTAAATCAAATAAATTTATTTTTACATAATAGGAGTAATATTTAATAATTAATTTCACTTAAGAATAAATATAAAATAAAATTTAAAAAGACTTAAGGAACACACCCTTAATTAAGAATAAGCATATAATTAAACCCTAAATTTGGAAACAACCTCACATTTCCCAACCCAAAGAATAAACCCTATTCACATCTCTCTCTCTCTCTCTATATATATATACACAAATTAATACATAATGAAGGATTTGATAAATATTGATTAAGAACAAGAGTCCAAAGAAATGAACGAAGCACCAAAATATGCTTCTCCTTATCCTGCCCACGGTATAACCTCTCTCTCTCTCTCTCTCTCTCTCTCTCTCTCTCTCTCTCTCTCTCTCTCTCTCTCTCTCTCTCTTAATTTCTTCTAAGTTTTTATGTATTTTGAAATATTATATATTATCCACAAAATGATGTATCGTATATATATATATGTATGTATATATAGGTCAGTATGAGGGGCCGCCGGTGATGGCGCCTCCGCAGTATTACGCTGCGCCGCCTCCATCCAGAAAACCAGGTCTTCTTGAGGGCTGGTATTCTCTCTCTCTCCCTCCCTCTCTCTCTCTCTCTCTCTCTCTATATATATATATATGTATATATATACACACAAACGTATCACTTAGTAGTATATTTTATTTTGGTCCACTATAAAAATATAATTCAATTTATTGAATGTTATGGTTTGATTACTTTGAGATATTGTTTGAACACTGAAGTGTGAAATTTTGTATAATACGTAGATGTTGAAAAAATATAGGAGTAACTTGATGTTAATTTAAAGGCTAAATTACACAAAATCCACAAGTTTGTTTCATGAAATTGCACCAAATCCCCCATACTTCTTAAACTGCGTCAAACTCCCTCGTGGTTTCATAAACTTTGCATTTAGCCCCTCAGTGGTCCTTATTTAACGGTATTTGACCTAAAAGTGCTCAAACTGCAATAAATTTTAGAATCTCAATTTCTAAACCTCTAAAATTACGTATATATTTATTTATTTATTTTTATATATTTAGCTTAAAAAAATAGTAAAAATAAACTCTCAAAACCTGAGAAAAATAACTATTTTTGAGTATATTTACTATTTTTTTTGGGTAAATATATATATAAAATATTTATAATTTTAGGGATTTATAAATTGAGATTTTAAAATTTATTCGTAGTTTGAGCGCATTAAGTTCAAATACCGTTAAATAAGGACCACTGCGGGGGTTAGATGCAAAGTTTATGAAACCACGAGGGAGTTTGACTACGAGGGATTTGGTGCAATTTCATGAAACCACGGGTGGATTTTGTGCAATTTAGCCTAATTTAAAAGATAATACTCCTCTGTCCCAATACAATAGTCTTGTTTACCATTTTTGTCCATCCTAAAACAATAATCTAATTTTCATAAATAACCATATCACCGTAAAACTATTCATACTTTTTCATTATTATTTCACAATTGCCACTATTTTTTACACTAATATACTCACATGGGCAAAAAAGTCATTTATCCTTACTTTGTACCAACTACCAATATAATATCAATATTCTTTAAATTTCGTGTTCAACACAGTAAAACTATACTTTTTGGACGGAGGAAGTATATTATATTAAATTATTGAATTTTTAGTGAATATATATAGTATCCTTCATACGACTTAAAAGTATTCATTTTATCATTTTCGTCTGTACAAGTAAAAAGTATCAATTGGTTTTCTTATAGTAAAAGTATCACTCAACTAAATACTAAAATATTGTTATTTTTTTTAATTATTTTTTCAATACCATTAATATCAAAAATAAAAATAAATAAATTTACATCTAAATATCTCTAAAATACTAATATATTTAAATCTACTCGAAAAGTCAAATGATTATATTTTACTTGACAAAAAATCCCCATGTCTCAGTCGTATGTATCTATCTGTTTATTTCCTTGCACTATTTTAAAATTATATATATTTTTAGTACCATAATCATCACCTATATGTAAAATGATAAATATATATTGAAGACACACAAGCAAAATTTGAGTAAACCGAACATAATATTATACTTAGATAATAGGTTTGTTTGGTTGTGTTTTTAAACAATTTCATTATTCTACTGTATATATAACATATTTTTCTTTTTTTTGGAAAATCGGTTCTGTTTATTTGTAAGATTTTACCTTTAATTTTACTATTTCAATTTTTTTCTTTTCAAAAAAATCAAATTAAACACTCAATTTTTATTTATCTTATTATATTAAAATCTAATTTATATTCAAAATATCACATCAAACAATTATTTCAATTCAAAATTTTATTATTCAAAATTAAAATTCAAAACCAAAATCTCACATAACTTTTATTCATGTAAAAGAACCAAACATGCATTAGAACAGATTTACTATTGTTAGTTGTTTATTAATAGTATTAATTAATTATAAAATTTGTGGTTAGTCTTGCAGCTTTATGCTGCTGCTGCTTAATCGACGAGTGCTGCTGCGATCCCTCTATCATCTTCATCTGCTCCTGATAATCTCTTCATTATAATTAATTATTAATTAGTTTAATTAAATTTATATATTATCTATAATTATGTTGTCTAATTGTATTTCTGATTTCTCGAATATTTGAATGATTCAATATATATATATATATATAATCACGAGTTTGTTGTAATTACTGACCGTGAGGTCATGGGTTCAAACCCCCGACGCCTTAGGTCACCTGCCACACATATAGTTAGCCTAGTGTGACTTTCTCGTCGAGCTTGGTTTGCAGGGTATTAGGTTCGGCCGGGGGTTTACCCAGTGCGCACTTTTGGGTAGCGACTGCGGGTTCCTACGTTATAAAAAAAAAGAAAAAATCCGGCAAGCCATGTTCACGCCACACTGGCAAGTATCAGTTCCGGTGACGGAGGATATCCATGACTAAAATGAAAATTTCTGTATTGATTATTCATTAGGTGTTATCATGGTTGTTTTGTATTAATTTTATCTCAAAATAATTGTAAGCTTTAGAAATTTAAATAAATTATACCATATACAAATGTTAATAAACAATTAGCTAGTTACAACATTATGGAATAGTTGAACTTTTCACTGTAAGAAAAAATCATTTTTGTAATAAAATCTTTTTGTCTCTAAATCTATTTTTTCCGTTACTAATGACATTAGAGACGGAAATAGGAATGAAATTACGTTAGCTACGTGAACTTTAGGGACGGAATTCCGTTACAAATATATTATTTTTTTGTAGTATTTGTTTGAATGCAAAAAATTGTTATGAATTGAGTTAGAATTAATAATGTTGTTAATTCTCATCAAATAAAAACACTACTTAAACTTATTGCATTTAAATATAAATGCATCGAACGTAATTCTATTCAATATATACTAAAGGAGTGTAAAATACTAGGTGATATAAAAACGATCTGACATGTATTAAAATTATAAATAAAATCAAAATACAAATAAAATGTGTTTATATACCGTCAAACCTAATATTTATACACTAAAGAACGAAAGAGGCAATGTTCGAGCCCGCTTCCAAGAACATTGACACTAATCAAGAATTTACGATTTCTTACATTTTTATTGTCATTTTCATTCTTTTTATCGTTTCTCATACGCAACCATGTCTTACCCGAAAACTCTCTCTATATTCATAGCACTCTTTTTTAACACAATTCTTTCATTTGACATTGATTAAAAAACAAAGACAAGAAGAAATATATTTAGGGTTTTTATACACCTATATACATATCTATAATGAATTGAAGACATTATGATTGTTGGGTCTAACTTAAAAGAGAAAAAATGGATAAAAGATATTCCTTCCGTCCTAATACAATAGTCCTGTTTACCATTTTTGTCCGTCCCAAAATAATAGTCTTATTTCCATAAATAATCATATTACCATAAAAACTACCCCTACTTTTTCATTTTTATTACACAATTGCCACTACTTTTTACACTAATACACTCACAAAGGGAAAAAAGTCTTTTATCCATACTTTTTACCAACTATCAATATTATATTAATATTCTTAAATCTCATGCCCAACCCAATTAAGACTATATTTATAGGACGGAGGGAGTATATAGTTAAGTAAAAAAGGAGGGATGGGTGTATATGCAATCCATGTTAGGGAACTTGATGCTTGTCACTCTCTATGGTTGTCAATTTAATGCATCATATATATATTTTTCCTTATGAGTAATCTTTGTCTTTCCATTTATATCATGTTAAAGTTAATTATTTATCATATTACTACTTTATATGGCAATATATATCTTTTTTAAGATCAATTATAAATTTTTCATTCATTAATCTTAAAAGAATATTATAAATTATCTTGTCGAGTAAGAATATAATCTAAGTAAACATGATTGTTCTTCGTACTGAATTAAGACCAATCTCGATAAAAAATGAGCCATTATTAGTTGTTGTTAAGGTATAAATAGGAAAATACTATCTAAAAACTTATATAAATTTTATACAAATATATTTTTATTCTTGAAGTGAAAGGTATGTAATTTTAGTACAATTTTTAAGATTGTACGTGTTCCATTAGAAAAAAATAAAATGACGATGAATCTACATTAAGGAACACAATTTATAATTTCTTATTTTGCTACATATTTATAAAGTAATAATCAATATAAAAATTTATAAATCCACTACCAGAAAATTAGGCTATAGCTGCGGTAAAAAAAGTCACGGTTTTAGTACAAATTGGTGACTTTTTACTAAAAAGTCACGGAAAAATGTACGGAACTATTTCCGTTGAATTTTGCTGATGACTTTTTTTAAGTTGTGATATTTCTGTGACAATAAGTTAATAAAATAATACCATGACATGACCGTGACTTTATATAGCAACAGAAGCTGCAACAAAATTTCGTAAATATTTTATAATTGTGACATTTTCGTGACAATAAGTTACAAAATAATACCATTACACCTCTGTGACTTTATATTAACGAAAACTGTAACAATTCCGTGATTTTATATTTTTGAAAAAAAAAATTATATTATAATTTGTGTTCAATGCAACCACACACGATTATTTTTTTCGGAATTACTTCGTACCACACTATTTTTCAACCAATGTTGAAGAGTTTCGAACTAGTGACCTTATTATAGTTATTAAAGACTTACACGACCTGTCATGCCAACTTAGCTATCTACCATAAAGTATTACTTTTTGTTTGTTATTATATTTTAACTATATAAATATTATTGATTATAAATTTATCTTTTAAAAATATATACATATTTATTTAATATATCATCATGAATTTTTAACAAAAAATTGAATAGCTACGAACGATATTGAATAAAGATATTGAAGATGATTTTATTATTTTGTTATTACTTTGAATAGCTACAAACGATAATAAGAAAAATTTATAATTATTTTCGTTTCTTATGTTGTGAAGTTTGATTTTAAAAAGTCACGAAAATTATACTATGACAATATCTGTAATAATTTAAAATGTTGGAAATATTTTGGTTATTTTTGCCGCAACTTAAAGTAGTCAAGAAAAATTTTTGTGACAATTCTTGTGACGAAATAATCAAAAGACACGTAATAGACATATCTTGGACATTTTCGTTACACAAGCCGTTACTTTAAATAGTCACGGAAAGTTGTTTGTAGCTTTTTCAGCAAATATTATTTACGGAATAGTCAAAACAAAAAGTTGTGACATAAATTTGTCACGAAATTACTTTCCGTGACTTTTAATTGTTACGGATTAAAATTTGCAATAAATTTCCGCAATTATCAACCTTTTTTCTAGTAGTGATCATAAGTTAAAAATTTTCGATACCTCTTGTTCTGCCACGCAATGCTTACTGTGATTTCTTTTTTTTACTAGATGTAAGTTATTATATTTGACTAATAATTTATCTAGCACATATTCAAATAATAATGGTTGAATTATTTAAAAAATAGATCAAATATATATATATACACACATATATATAGGATCAAAATAGCATATCTTAAGATATTCTTTTACACAATTGGGAAAATACAATTATATTAGTCCTTTGTTGATGTGCCATTGTCGATCAGCTAAGTTCTTGCCTTAAGTTATTTAATTTTATAAATTATACTTATATATTGATAACAGAAAAAAAAGTTTAAATATAAATGAATAAAACTTCGTAAAATTCTTTTTTCGAATATTCACGGGTCGAACATGATATATGATCGTAGATTGACTATTTTACAATTTTCAAGACACATTGTTGATGTCTTAAAATTAAAATCCTGTGGCTATTTTCATTTTTCTTTTGCCTAATTGGACAACATTAATTTGATAGTTATTATCTACAACAAAATGACATAGAAAATTGTATTCCCATATAATAAACTAAATCTTATCTAATCCAGTTTTACTATGTTTAATTATTTAATTTATTTGATGTCCTGCCAAGTGCCATGACCAATTTTTATTAAACAACACTAATAAAAGCCTTGCATCAATTATTGGTTCTGAATATTAATAATTGTGCTAATTAACCACTACACATATAATCCTTAATTGTACTAATAAAAGCCTTGCATCAATCATTAACTTTATCGAAATATTTAAGTAAAGTTTTTATGATATATAGGATTAAATATTCACATAGAATCTAGTAATGTTGAATGCTAACGATTTTAAATTTCATAGGATTTGTTCTATTATTATTATTCTTGTTGTTGTTGATTTTTTTTTTCTTTTAATTTACCATACATTTTTACTATTTTAGGTATAATAGCAACTGAATTTTATGTTTTTGAATGAAAATTAAAAGATTATAATATCCCTTCCTCTCCAAAAAGAAAAATATTCATTTATTTTTTAATTTAATTAATGTATAGGAGTATTTAATTTGTAAAAATAGTTGTATTAAGTGAAATTAGATGAAAAAGACAAAAATAATCTTATATTTTATGTTTTTTTTTAAAGATATAAAAATTATTGAGGAATATTATTGTAACTATACATTGACTTGTATGTATATTATTTATAAGAAATAAATACTTTTATGACGAATGACCAAATAAAGCGAAACATATACTTTTTTTTGTCGAATGGAGGAGTAAAAACAAACAAAAAGAATATAAGTTACTATGAATTTTAATATGTTTATATGACATAAGAAAACATATATACTAAAACTACTTTATTATTATGTTGTATTACTAGAAGTCTTGAATAACATATAGTACAATTTTTGTGTTTTGATGAGAAATATGAAGATAGAGATATCTTTGGTATCATATGATTAATTATTGTATATATATATAAACATATTTTTTTAATTATCAAACTATCTTGTGACTAATTATTATATATATATATATGTATATATTCTAGTGAGGAAGAATCTTGAGACTAAAAGACTTTTGAAGCCAAACAAACCATCCTCTATACTTCTTGGTATTGATAAGCTCTGATCTTCCTTGTGTCATGTTTGTCTTCACATTTTCTTTCTTGCATAACACAAAATTCCTTACATCATATGATCCTATTGTTTCCCATGGTTTAAGGGCTGTCGCAAAAATTCGTAGAACGAATAAGATTATTAAGGCGATAGTATAAGATTGCGGTAAAATAAAAACAACAAGATTAATACACACTATATGAATTCAATAATATTTTCGTATGCATATGTATTAAGAAATTTAAAAGGCTAACTACTTCTTTGAGACTCGATTTAAATTAATGTGAGTTTTTTTTTTGCATATAATGTCTTGATTTCAATAGATTCTATGCGATTAAAAAAAAAAAAAAACCCCGAGATTCTTATTTTTAATCATTGTGGTTTGTTATAGTTAAAATAGTATTAGCTATGACCTAATTGGTATCTACTACCATTAAACTTAATTATACACTTATTATAATTTTCTATAAAATAGATTATTTCTTTCACAAAATATTACTTTACTTCCGCTGTTCGGAAATTTAGCTCCATTTTTTTGTATTTTTACAAAAAATGGGACTAAATTTCCTGGATAGAGGAAGTACATATATATATATATATAAGAATCAAAATCAAACTCCAAAAGAGCACATTTAAAGGATTTTGATTCAATTTAACTTATTATAATTTCAATAGTAGAAGTAAATTAATCTTTAAGCTTAAATTTAATATGATCATAAGCGTATATACATACCGTCGAATTCAGCATTGGCACGGTAAAGAATAAAGCAATTGGTATCGAGGCCCAAGATTGGAAGGCGACCCTCACGAGCATATAGCTTTAGGGTAGTCTCGATGACCCTCGCACTATTATCATCTTGGCTCACGACGAATCTCAATGGCCCGGCACTTCCAAATACATTGATAGTGATCAAGAATCTATTATTCTTTACATTCTTGCTATCAACGTCGTCCTTTTTACCACTTCTCATCATATTCAACCGTGTCTTTTCCGAGAAGCTCCTCATCATCATCATCTTCGACTTCATATGATCACTAGGCCATTAATGAAAAACATTCGAACGATAATATATGTGTATATATATATATATATATGGCTTCACTAGAGAGAGAGAGAGGGAGAGGGGGAGAGAGTTGTTAGGTTGTAAAACCATATAATTTTTTAGGGTTTATATGTTCCTATATATATATATAAAATCAGTTGAAGGATTGGTGATTGTTAGGTTCAAATTTAAAGAGAGAGAGAGAATGATGAAATGGTAACTTAGCTTAGCATAAAATGTTGAACAAAAAGGAAGGAGCACAATGCTATGGAACTTGATTCTTCTTGTTTAATTTCTATGGTATTCATCACTTTACACTATATATTATTATATCTTTATGTTTTCAAAATTAAATACAAATCTCTTTACTAAGATATATATATATATATATATACTTCCTCTCCTTGCCATTAAATCTATGTTGTTTTTGTTTTTACAAAAAAATAAACACTTTATATTCACATAAAATACTTCTTCAATATTTTATTTATTTATATACATGTTACCAATATTTACATTTAATTTATCCAAAATAATAATAATAATAATAATATTAATTTTATACTTTATATCATAAACAACTAATATATATTATATTCATGGCAACTGCATGAACATATTATTTTAAGAGAACAATTATTGTCATTTACAATTTATCTTTAATATACATTTTTGGAGACTTCTATTTGTTTGTAGGTTTCATCTGATCTAATATTATTTATTATTATTTTTTTATTATCATTTAAAGGATCGAATTAAACTTAAATATTTTGAATTAAATTTAAATGTTTTTTATTAATTAAAATATTATATTAACTATATTAACTTTCATTCAAAATAACACCTCATATAGTTATTTCGATCACATAAATAAAATAAAATCCAATTTTTCAGTAAAATAATAATTATTTTCAAATCCAAATCGAACTCACGTAAATTTGTCTCTAATATATACATATATATATATACATATTATGTTTCTCTAAGGTAGGCAAGTTATACAATATTCACTAGTTAGTCTTTTAATTTATGGGTTTATATATATATATATATATAAATTTAGAATTTTAAATATGTTTCGAATATAATATTTAAGGCAAAAATATATACTTTATATATTTCTAAAATTTAATTTATTATACAACTTCATAGTATTTCTTTTTTAAATATATTTTTTTCTCTAACAACATTTAATATAATGTTAAACTAAAAAAGCTAAAACTAAAATAAAATAAAAATAAGAATGAAGGTATGGTTCATGACTGTTAATTCTTAACTACTCCATTGATGTGATTGCCACATATTAAAAATATAATATTAGTATATAAATGAAATACATTTCCATGCCTACTGATAATAATTATTGGTTAATTAAGGGAACGTTAGATTGAATTTAAAATTAATGTACAGATAATAAATGGTTTTTTTTTTTTTTTTTTAAATGATATAATAAAATAATATATAGTGCTTTCTTTCTTAACACTTTCTAAAAGAACAACCTTAGTTAATATATTTGCAATAGTATATATAGTACTTTTTCTCTTACCCTAAACTCTAACTTTCTATAATTTGCATTCAAAGGTTGTGTTATAACATTTGTTGTCCTTATAGAGATCAATTTCCTTTTAAAGTTTAGAATTATGTGTCTAATATTCATAAAATATTTAGATCCAAACTTGTCAATTTTTTTTCCCCATACCATTGTATTGTCAATGATTCTCATCAGCAAGATAGACAATTTTGAAATTCCCGATATACAACTTTTTTATGTCATAACATTTGCTAAATTATTTGCTTCAATTCCTTGAATTGAATCTACTTTGATTAATTTTTGTAGAATCAAATATTCATAAAAAAAAAAAAAAAATGCTTCAAATTTTCTTTATTTGGGATAAATCCTGTCACATTTTTTTCAATAAAATTTTAATTGAATAATTCCCTCCTTCGAATGCATACATAACATCAAGATCAATAAAGGGAGTCATCTAAAAATATTCTCCGTTTTTTTTAAAGTAAAAAATCATTACACTTTTCTACTTTTTTTTTTTACTATAAAAAAAATAACAATTATTACTCACTTTTATTAAAATTCATGCCCGGTCAAATGAACACACATTTGCATGACAGATGGAGTATGTCACAAGAACAATAGCATGATTCATACCCTTAACATCATTATACCGCAAACATGTTTGATCCTTACACAATAAGGGGCTATCTATATAAGGAAAGCCTACAACAATAAAATACTTCACGACTAAAGATAAGAGTTATCGTGTAATAAGAATTATAATGTGTCTCTACATCCTTCAAAGATATAGGATTTATTTTTATTGATCTCTTTGTTTTCCCATTAGATCCCCAAAACAGTTTATTAGCGAGATCTAAAATTTCGGGGAAAAAAAGATATAGGATATAAGAACCGAGCACTCCTCAGTCTATCATATCATAGTTCTGACCACATAATAACATTGCGTCGTTACTATCTTATACTAAATAAAATTAATTACCGTTACCAAATTATTCAAAATCTTGTCCATTTCACTACCAAAGAACAAGGAGGAATAATAGAGCCATACCTGCCGTGTGAAGTCGTGGATGCTGAGAAACCGCATGTCGATCAGAGGAGGTGAAAAAAATCTATTCCACCACCAATAAATTGTTCTGCATCAATCCCTCGCCAACGGAGGGAAACTCAGGTGACAGCAGCCACTCCCCGTCTACTAAGAACTTGATTTCATACCTTCACAACATTATGAAATAAATGTAAAAGACAACAAAGTCAAGATCAGTTGCATGTCGATATAATGTCTGTCAGGAAATACCTCCCGGGTTTTAGCATTAATGTTGTGGAAAAGGTCATGTAAGATCCAGTATACTCTGGGGAGAGATGTTCCCCTTGAGTCCAGCCATCGAATGTGCCCATCACTTGCACACTCTGCATTGAATCATGGTGTAGTAGTTTCGTACGTCCCTAAACACTTTTTTGTAACTTGATATTCCAGAAAAAAACTTGTTGATATAAGCACTAACTTTTTGGGTAAATTGCAGAATACCTCATGCGAAATGCAAACATTTTAAAACCAACCTTTGAAATACAAATTACCAAAGAGGCTCCCAACCCCTGAAGTAAATTGCAGTGGGATTCTCTTCCCCTCTCTCTCTCTCTCTCTCTCATATTTCATAGGGCTGATCTACAATTTACCCTTATTTTGTATGGAAATGCATTTTGCACAAGTCAATAATTTTCAAAGATCAATAACACATGTAAATTGTGGAATTTATAATTTTAAAAATGAATGCATCAAGCGCAATGTTTCCAACACTAAACAGGAGCAAACACTGTGAGCAACCAAACGAATCGATTTAACATGAACTGTGTGATAAATGAAGCCCAAATACTCCAAGACCGAGCATGGATTACCAGGCAGAAACATTTTTAACACTTTTATTATTTTTCTACAATTAGTTAACCATCAGAATATAAAGGGAATAAAAGCATACATCTTTTAAAGGAGAAACTATTGATTTACCTCTGCCATGCCAGACCATGATATTGGAACCTCTTTCAATTGTGCCATGTCCACATCCTTGACCTGTTCCTCCACCTTTTTGCTGACAACTTTCACATCATGGAAAAATCAAACATGAAAATTCTGGGCATCATTTATTTAATACAGATAACTCTGCCTAACAACACCAAGCACCACTCTGCTATTTTTATCATTGATTATTTCAGAAGTTGCATATGAGATGGTTTGAATGATTTATGGAAACTTAAGATTACTATAAAAGTCTAGAAAAGAAATAGTATTCTAAATCGTACATGGCACACTTCCATAACACCTAAGTTTAGAGAGGAGGTGACTGTTTAATATGGTGTTAGAAACCAAACAAGAGGCATGCTCGATTCCCGAGAACCATGTACAAAAGTTATTTCATGATCTACATTTACATAGACTTTTGCCCAAAGAGTTTGAAAATGCCAGTTTCTATTTGTAAAAATGTCAATTTGGAAACCATGAAATTGGCTGATATAAACTAACTAATATGTGGGCATATAGAAAATGATGCAAATCTCCTATAGCATTTTTATCATCAATAAATATAGGACTAATATCACAAAATTCCGGTTTGTACTATATCCAACTTTAAATTGTGGGATTAAGATTAAATTAGCTATATCATATAACTTAAAATTGCAATTTTTCCACCAATAGAATATAATACAATTTAGAACTAATTTACCTTGCAGTCGTGAGAGTAAGTGATACTGAATGTATTTTCCTTTGATCTTTCTTGAGCCAACTGGAACACTATAATTAGCAATTTCTTTTGCCAAATTAACAAGATTCTGCAGGTAAACAGTGACTTATTATTAGGTTAAGACCATGGCTGAAAATCCAAAATTCCTGCATTAAGTAGAAAAAATAAAAAATAAAAAACCTTACCTCAATTTCATGTTCAATGATGGCCAGCTCACTCTTGAATTTAACAAGTTCACCTTCCTTTTCTTGTAACTGCATTTACAAATTTCCACTCTTTGGCACTTGTAAAATTCGAAAGTTAAGTTCGCTTCAATATGATAAATCAGACCACGGTGCTCCAACACACCCTCTCACATGCAAGTGTATTCGTCTCACACACCTTTAATGTGAAGCAATTTTCTTAACCGGGCGACAGAAGATTCAAACACGGAACCATCACTCTACTTCTATATTAAATACCAATCACCTAAAAGCAACTACAACACATTCCATTATAACCTTCACATCCTAATCTTGCACACTAACTTCTAAGCTACTTCATGCAAAAACCTCAAAAATTATGGTTATCAATGAACAGTTAATAAATAAGTGTTGCAATGCCATACCTGGCGCTTCAGAAACCGATTGTACTGATTTGCTTCACTCAACTTCTTTGCAAGATTCGAACGCTCTGAGTTAGCAAGCCATGCCTTCAACTGTCACAGATAGCACACATTAGCCTTGAGAGAGAATGCATAATCCATGGAATGATCACACCTTCCTTTTTAATCCATCTGCTAAATGTATCACCTCTTCACTGCTCGGTGGCTGTGCAGGGGGCTCATCTGGATCAGATACCTCATCTGTGGAGAAATTCCTTGACTGCACTGCCAAGAATTCTTCCTCCAAACTAATAGGATCACAAAACACTCTCCAACGTTCATGACGAAGTGGAGAATTTCTACAAATGGAAATCAAATTCGCCTCGTTCAATCTTTTCCCTTTCAAACCAGCCGTAGTGATTTGAAATTTATCTTCTCTTTTCATGTTGATCCTGCGCAAACCACAGCTACTCTCAATCAACACTACATAATTCGCTCAATTCACTTATCCGCGGAACATAAACTCCACAGAATCAACAATTTTCAATTTTCCTTTCTCATCAAAATTCATCAATTTGATTAGTACCGTTACCCTCCATTCAAGTTCCAATTTATGTACTACGAGCTAGCATCCATATCCAACCACATTATCCAATCTTTATATAACATAATTTTCGAAAGAACTTTCACTATAGTCAATACAATGCTCCGTCGCCGTACAAGTCGAATGTGCCACAATCGCCGAAAGAAAACCCACAGATATGGCGCTAATAATAGAATCACCTGGGCAAAAGGTGCTGCGAAGCAGTGCTGACCATTCCGCACTCCATAATTCACGATTCCACTGCCAAATACAAAAAAAAAATAAAAATCACGAACCTAAGAAATGCTAAAAGCCTAAAAAAGTAGAGTAAAACAGCGTCCGCGAATTGGAGTCACGCATTTGATCAAACACATTGGGAAGCTTAGCTTACTAAATCCAGATTGACAACCGTACGAACCGAGAAACGCGTCAGATTGAAGAGCTTTTACGGATGGAATTTGGGGAATCGGAGACCAGCGCTGAAAGCGTTCTTGGAGCGTCCAAGATGAGTGTGAGGCTGGAAAGCAGTGCGCGGCCATCGGGACGATGTTGACACGTGGTCGGTCCTTAAACTGACACGTGTTCTGTGTGGGGACCAAATTTAATAAAAGAAATACTTCTAAAAGTGGATATGTTTTGACAGCTTGCAGTAAATATTTTTGGTATTACTAAAAAACATGATATTATAAAAATTAAAGTTATAGGTTCTGTTTAGACAACACAACACATTTATACTTATTTGGTATTATTTATTTTTTAAAAAATATTACATTAAATATAATTTTTTTTTTTCATAAAATATTAAATTAAATATTAATTTTTATTTTATTTTTAAATTTTTAAATTTTAAAAAATCTCAAAAAACCCCTATCTAAACAAATCCATAAAAGTCTCCTAAAGTCCAAACAGAATCAAATTGTACAAATAAGTTTAAGGGTCCGGTTGATACATTGAAGTGAATTATAAAGAAACAATAATAGAGAAGATAAAAACAATTTAATAGAAAATGAGAAATGACCATTTTGATAAGAATTCAGTCTAGCAATAGAAATAATAATGGAGATTATATTATTATTAAAAAAATGAGAAATGACGTTGAAAGAACAATGTATTGCAAAATGATGGATAAAGAGGAAACTGAAAATTCTAATAACAGCTGGTGTGTTTTTATATTTAAACATTATTTTTTTATTATTTGTGAATTCCGCATTTTTAAAAAATTATATATATATTTTAATATTATCATAAATTATTTTAATACTAAATTTAAATTAAATTCTTTCAAATTCTATCAAAATAAACACACCTAAATAGAATGTGAATGTGTATAAATATTAGTTTATTTTGCTGATTTCTTCTACATAATTTCTTTTTTTTTTTTTTTAATTGGAATAGTAATTTAATTTTACAAAATAAAATTATATCTTTTTATAAGTAATTTTGAAAGTTTAAAAATTAGAAAATAAAAATAAAATTATCAAACTTACATATATATATATATTTTAATTCTTTCAATTTCTCTTTACAAAGGAGAAAATAAAATAAGAAAATCACTTTCAAATTAATTATCTGATTTAAACAAATGAATATAAAACAAATAACTTTTTAATCATTCAATGTTATAATAATATTTTTAATTTAATTTAGTATTATTTATGTATCTCTATTTAATAATATATTAAATCTATTATTTATTTATTTTTTAAATATAGCCAAATAGATGTAGTTCAACCTCAATTTAATTTATCATAACACCAATGCTTCATGGTTACTTCAATAAATATTAATTTGTTACTAATCACCAATAGCAGTTATATTATTATATACAAATTCATTGCTAATTAAACTCACAGTAATTTTTTTTTTTTTTTTTTTATCTAATTGTATATAATAATTATCAATTTTGATACAATTAATTTTTTTTAGCCTTGTTGGCTGTGCTCACCATCCTATTTTGAATATAATTCATTTTACACCATTCAATAAACTTTCAGAACCAAAATCAAACATTGGATTCACCTATTTACAAGTCAAAATTCAACTGGATAAAAAATGTCACCTCGTAAAATGATGAAAATTCAACACTTGGAATGCTCATCACACATTTAATAAAAACCCAAAAAATTATAAAGAAGGCACAGTTTATTACCAAATAAGTTGTTACACAAAAACTACAAAACTGCAATAAACAAGACAGGCAGAGTGTGTTTCTTACCGGTAAATAAATGGATTGGAATGGAGATATCTGCTCACTTGGATTTCCGTTGATCGGAAACTCTAGCGCCCATGATCTTGCAGACGGGCTCATCCTTGGATCGTAAAAGTTTGAGCGCCGGGTGAACTTTGAGATCTTGCGCCACTATTTTCTGGCCGACATCCAGCTCGCTTAAGTCCACATCGATGTAAGGGGGGATGATGTCTGCCGGACACTTGTATTTCACAGTTCTTTTAATGATGTTCAGTTGCGAACCTGCAAAGTGAAATGCTGTTAGGGATTTGTAGATAAAGAGAGACCCGATTTCGATACACTTTGAAAAAATGGTATCTAAGTCTGAGCTAGAGAAGATCTATGAGCACAAAATTCATTTCCTTAATCCTGTTAAAAGGGTTCGATCTCATTAACTAACAATTTATGAAATTTGACTGCTCTAAGATTAAGCTAAATATTTTAATTTGATTTATAAGTGGATAGTAATCGCACACAAATAATTATTTATTATTCCATAGTCGTAAGTACGTGTGTAACTATCATCGAGAAGATGAGATTAGAACAAGTAGGAGATCATCACAAGCTAATAACATAAAACCTTTTTTGGGTATTATATATCAGATATTGCCTCTGATGAACTGAAATTAAAAATCTAGGAGACAAGTGTCAAATTGGCGAAATTATTACAATTAATGATTCCTACCGACATCAAGTAGCACACACGATAGTATGAAACTGAATACCAGCGTTTGATGAAAATTAAAAACTTAAGATGCAAAGTAGCAGTATTACAAATGTAATTTCATTCTTCGTACCTTTTTTCAATCCAGGAGAAACATCTTCTCCTCTGAACACGAGAGGAACATCCACCTTTAACCAAGCAGTAGATGGTGCTCGGATGAAGGTAACATTGAGCACTGCATCGCTGCCGGCTTGTAGATGAAGCTGAAGTGCATCAAGAAAGATAATATTGGTGAGAATTATAGATAGCTCGAGATATAAATCATACCGACATGTTTGAAGAAAACAATTGATAATCATAAGAAAAACCATCAAGCACTAGTGAAATCCAATTCAAAATGTTGTATTACTCATGCATTTGTTTCTGTTAAGATCCATTGTGGAGCAATGAACTATGCTCTAAATCGCTTCAAGATACTTGTAGTTGAGAAAATCTAGAGCTACACTAATTTCCGAGATACTTGTAGTTGAGAAAATCTAGAGCTACACTAATTTCCAACATTTCCCAAGTTCTTTTACTTCATAAACGTATCCAGAGTGGCATTCCATCTTCAACAAGAACAAAATTATCCAAATTCCTGAAGTACAATTCCATGGCATTGACAGTTCATTATGCAGCTTAAGATCAATTGTAATATGAAGTGTGCCACGACTTCATCCTCATTGCACTATCATAATATATTACTCTAATTTTGGAGGCACCCTTAAACCACAAAACAAAAACTATATATAAGTTTCCACTAATCACCAAATTCATGAACACTCATATGGAATTATGCTAGTTTCTCAACTAGCATACATCCTAAAAATCCATCATTAAATACACACAACAGGAGCAAGAAATTATCACACGAACATGTAAAATCTAGTATAGATAAATCAAAACAATTTAAGTTGGAAGATTATCAAAAAACTTCACAAGCTCAAACCAACATTAAAAGAAAGTGTAAACTTTGACTATAACAGGCTCTTACTGTAAGAGTAAATTTTCCATTAGCATCGAAATGTGTACATTAACGAGTATTAAAACGACTGCTCATCATCATGTATCATCGGAAATTAACTAAAAAGAAAAGAGTAACAAAAGCTCCGTACCTTCCGAGGCAAAACGCGGACTTTCTCAACAATATCCTGCGACTCGAAATCCGATCGAACCTCGAGATCAAAAAGCCGGGAAAGGAAGAAGGATCGACCGAGATGATTCACGAGCTTCTTTATCTGATTAGTCCGTACGGAGATGAGGAGCTTGTTGCCTCCGTGCTGTCCATCTTCAGCCTCGAAGACGATGCTAGGGACGCGACCAGAAGATCTCTCCTTAGCGGCGATGTTCTTCCCGGACTTTGGGCGCGGAATCGCGAAGATTGTCTCGTCGTACTTAGGGTCCGGCCTGGGGAGGCCTTCCAGGTAGGTGAATTCAGGCACAGTCTCTACTTCTTGGAGAACCGCCGCCGTTGATAATCGGCGGGCGGTGGCTGTGCATAATGCGGCTACTCGTCGGAGCAGCATTTGGGCAGGAGTTGGGTGCGCCGGCGCGAGGAAGGGTTTTGGAGAGGCTTAAGCGAAATAGGCAACTTTGGAATGGGTCAATTGGGCCTCAGCCCAACTTTCTTTTTATAAATTTTGACCCATAATAATAATAAAGGCTTTTTTTTTTTTTTTTTTTTTTTTTAAGTTTTAAATAATTTTAAAGTATTATAAAAAATATTTTTTTTTTCATGTTTTTATTGAATTTTATTATTAAATATATATAAATTTATATAATATTTTTAGTGGATAGTGTAATTACAAATTCTAAGGGAACATACTTGAAGTATATTTATATAAAATATATAAATATTATTTGTTTATTTATGTTTGATTTCTTTAATATTGAAATGAAAATGAATATCATATTATATTTTTAATATCTTAATAATTGTAAAAATAAAATAAAATATAAGTAATGTAGTAATGCATAAAAATAATACATATATAAATACTATCATTAATCTCAGGACATAATATATTAACATAACAATAGTACATATATAAATACTATAATTGATCTCAAGACATAATATATTAATACAACATACTTCCTCCGTCCCAAAAGAGTTGTCTTATTTTTCTATTTTCGTCCGTCCCAAAACAATTGTCTTGTTTCCTTATTTAGTAACTATAATCCCCACTTTATATCAAAATTATTCTTACTTTTCCATACTACTCGTAATTATTACTCTAACATACTTTTTAAAATCCTTAAAAAAGTAAAGCATTTTAGTCTTTTACATTCTATTTTATATCCACTTTGAAATAATACTATTATCCCTTAATTCTCGTGTCAAAGAAGACGTCTTTTCTGGGACGAAAATAATATTCAAGAAGAATAACTATCAACCTATGCTTTCAATTAACATAGTATGTGCTATGTGTGTTTGTTTGGGGGATTTAATAAGATTTCTACTATTCATCCAATTTTTTCCCCCCAAAAACATCAAATCAAACACCTATTTTTCATTTTTTATATTATACTAAAAATCAATTTTACATTCAAAACATCACATCAACACCTATTTATATCACATCATACAACTATTCAAATTCAAAATTTTTACTATTCAAATCCCAACTCAAAATCCAAACCCCCAAACAAACACACCCCATGATGTATGTCAATCTTCTGTGTTAGTTGGAAGTATGTATTGATATGTATGCATTTAGGGTGTGTTTGTTTGGGGGATTGGATTTAATTTTCACTATTCATCTCATTTTTTCATCAAAAAAATATCAAATCAAACACCTATTTTTTATTTTTTATATTATACTAAAAATTAATTTTACATTCAAAATATCACATCAACACTTATTTATATCACATCATACAACTATTCAAATTTAAAATTTTTACTGTTCAAATCTCAACTAAAAATCCAAACCCCCAAAACAAACACACCTTTAGGGAGTCTGAGTCGTTAAATTAATGTAAATTTGAATTCTATGAAAAATACGGTAAAAATTAAACATTCTTTTAAATGATTAGATATAATGCGTGATTGAAATAATCTTTTCCATGTAAATAATACATGAAGTCTTGTTTTCAAACCTGTTAATTGTTCTTTATTCACATCAATTGAATTTTTAAAGTGAAAATGTTAGATTTAAAGTTGGATTGCAACTAAATATTTTATTATTATTATTATTATTTTTTTAAAAAAAGATTGATTACATTGATTTTATTTTTTTTCGTTAAATTGATAGTCACATTTTAGTAGAATTTATTTATATATATTTTTGGATTTTAATACTTGTTTCGATAATAATTCTATTTAAAATAGAATAATTATCTTGTGACGGAGAGAGCACATTATAAACGCTAAATTTTTTACTCTACAATGTACTTCCAAAATAAAAAACGAAAATATGTTGCTATAATTAAGGTTCTAAAGGGAAACATTATGATTAAAATGCTTGTTTTATGAAATTGAAATATTATGTGATAATGTGAGAGTTTATTTTTATAATTAATTTGGAATTTAATTATACAAAAATTTTAATTTTTACGACAGAATCAAATATATAGATGTAGTTCTATTCTATATGTGACGTTGCTAAATAGTTAATTAAACTTGAAAAAATATATTTTCAATTTAACCTTACTGAAATCAAATGCTTGCTTGTTTTTAAGTTTCAATCATATTTGAATGCGATAGACTTTGATACATTTGGTTAGAATTTTATGTTATATTTTTTTGATAACATACATAACTATTTTATGTTTAATATATGTTTTTATTGCATTAACTATTTTTTAACGATTGTAAGAATACTTCTAATGATAATAACATATTTCTACTTCGGATTAAATTTTATAAAATAACCACAAATGGTCGATAAGAAATAAGATAAAGATTATTAGTGTCTTTCAGTTTTACGGTATCTGAATCCAACATAACCTGACTCAAGAATATTTGATTTTTAATTTTAAATGCCAAAATCGTCCAAATCGTTTCTTCTACCTATTCTTCTCTTCGATATGTTCATTCCCATCTATTTCTTTCTTGTTTGAGTTCATTCATTTTTTTGTGAAATTTCGTGTTGGGTTACTTTGTGTTGAATCCATCGGTCTATACACTCTGTGAATGTTGCATCATTGGACGAGTTAGAATTATTAGCACATAAGTGATTTTGATATGAGCCTAAAAAATATATATATTTTTTAAATTTATACCTTTATTTTTCTAATTCTTTATTTCATCGTTTTAATTTCTTTTTAATAACATTATCCATTAATTTTTCGTGTGAGATTCATAAATTGCTGGACAAGCTTTTCATCCGATTGAAACCCCACATTTGTATTAGAGTTCGATTCGAAGGAGTTAGTTGGTAAAATAAGCTAACATTAGTTGTGTGGAACTCCCATTGACCTTGTGATTGGAAATATGCAGCAGTGTCTTATGTCGAAAATCTTTCCGATAATTGTAGTCAAACGGTGCGTCTATTTGTTGATAAAATTAGTGTCAAATGGACAAATCAATGAAATATCATTGGATATGACAAACTATACTGTCCTTAGAGAAGAAATAATGAGTTATATGATCTTAAATTTAAATGAATAATTGTGGAGAGAAAAAATAATGAGTTATATGATTCTAAGTTTGAATGAATGATTGTTGAGATGCAAACTAATTCTCATGTTGGAATATCATAAAAATTTATATTCTAAATTTTTTTTAAAAGAAAAATATCTAGTCATATATTTATACTACTTCTGTCTCTTGAGAATGACATGATTTATATTTTGCGTCATTGTAGTTAACGATAGAAATATTTTTATATTTGTATAATTTAATCCACAAATATTATTATATTTGTATTTTAAAAAACTAATAAAAATATTTTTTTTTCATTTTTTCTATATTTATATTGTATTAATAGGGTATGATACTATTCTTATGAAATAAAAATAGTATATTATTTATTATATTATATTAAAATTTTAAATTTTTTATTTAAAATATTATATTAATATATATTTATATCAAATTAAATAATTATTTTAATATAAAATTTTTGTATATAAATTTGAAATTAAAAACCAAAATCTTAAAGAATAAAAAAAAAATATATATATAGAAAAAGTCGGTCAATACCACTAACAAACAGTCAAACACGTTTCTAACAATCATAGCAGGATGAGCACCGTCCATCTACGGGCCCCACAAAAATAAACGGTGATGAACAACCTGGTTTGGAAACTCCCGGTGCTCTCAATAAATCAAAGTCCTGGATTTTAACCCAGCTAGTAACAGCGCAGCAGCGGAGATTGCGTAACCAATGACGCGGTAATGTAATAAAAGCCATGCAATTAATGCAACACCCATAATAATGATAATATAATAATAATAATAATTACTCCTGGCAAATTTCAAAATAGAATTAAATGACCAGAAAAAGAAAAAAGAGAAATTTCAAACCCAAATTAATTGCTCTTCACACTGCACCACCCTACCTACCTCAAGCCAAGCATATTAAGTCGAATCTCATATATATATATATATATATTGCAGAAGTGGGTTTTAATTTCTTCAGGTTGCAGGCGAAAATGGCGTTTGGGAATAATAATAATAATGCAGGAGGAGGAGGTACGATGATGATGATGATGTTGGGGCTGCTGAGGATTAGTGTAATAAGAGGAATAAATCTTGCCAAAAGGGACTCAACAAGCAGTGATCCTTACGTTATTGTTAAGATGGGCAAACAGGTCTTTCTCTCTCTCTCTCTAAATCTCTCTTTCATTCTCACTCATCTGATCTGTTACAGTAATTTTTTCCCCAGTGTGTTAGGATCATCAGGTTTTGTTTTTTTTTTTTTTTGATTTTAATTGTTGGATTGGCAGGTTTGTATTTAAAATAGGATAGATTAAGTAGGGTAAATGAAATGGGGTGAAAGTTTTCAGGTTTAGATGAACTGTGGTTTGAAATTGATTTGGAATGAAATGTTTATTTGAATTTTTTATTTAAATAATCGGTACCACATAATTTATTATTTTTTTAAATATAATTATACATCATATTTTGAAATTTATAATATATATTTTTTTATTTTAATTAAACTATGGCTTTGTTCTTTCTATTCATTTTTTTGCAAAAAAAATTAATATACTATATAAATTTACTATTTTTATATTCTCTACACTCTATAAATCATAATTATTTTTTATGATACTTTTTTTAATTATTTATTAATTATACAATACTTGAAATTGTCTAAGCTAAATAGAATAAATTATTTGAAAATAGAGTAATATTTTAAAGTGATGTTTTGTGATATGAAATACTGTATTTTTATTGATATTTTATTGTGGAAGTTTACATTTTTAGTTAATAGTATACTAGTATGTTGACCCGTGCATTGCACGGATTTTATAAATTATTAAATTTATATTGTATAAATAATTTATTATACAGAAAAATATCAAAAAAATAAAAATATATTTCGAATCAGCCGATCATTACTACAAAATATTATATAATTAATTTATGATATCAGAAATTGAAGACTCGTGTGGTGAAGAAGAGCCTAAATCCGGAGTGGAATGAAGAGCTTACGCTGTCTATTACCGATCCAAATCTTCCCATCAAATTCGTAAGTTTATTCTCTCTCTACATTTTAGTGAAAAAAAGAGTTTGCTTAGTTTTGATTTTGGTCTAAGGTTGAATTATTTTTATTTAGGTTTAAATTTAATTAGTATTTTAGTATTAAATTTTATTTAAAAAAATAATATATTCTTATTCAAAACTCTTCGAGCTTATTACGACCAAAATTGAACAAACTTGAAATAACCATCAAATTTAGTCCGATAGAAGTCCGATGTGATTTTTCATAAAAATTATTGTATAAAAAAATACAATATATACTCACTTCATTCATTCTCAATGTATCAGTAATTCTTTAATAAAAAATATGCATACATTTTCCACAATATTACATTCTATTAAAAAGTAAATGAATTTAAATGTAAAAATATTTTTTTATTTTTCTATTGTACTATTATATGTAAAATACTAGTAATATTTAAAACATATGTCTAAAACATAAATGATTACATTCGCAGTTGATGGAAAAATATAGTGTATATATATTTTTTATTCACTCAAAATTAACAATTAAAACAAAATGTTATTATTTTTTCTATTATTGAAAATAATTTCTTATATATAATATAAAAAACACATTTATTCAAAAACACAAAGTCGATATAAATTTAAATTAGTAATCTTCGTAAAGATTATAACAACCCCTTGTTTTAAATGATTTTTTCTTAACAGCTAGTTTACGACAAAGATACCTTTTTCGACGACAAAATGGGAGATGCAGAGCTCGACATCAAGACATTTATTGAAATAGTGAATTTGCAAATGAAGGATGCGCCGGACAAAACCATAATCACAACGATAAAACCACAACGCGACAATTGCTTGTCTGAAGAAAGCTCTATTGTATGGGAAGACGGCAATCTTGTCCAACATATGTTTCTGAGGCTTAGAAATGTCGAATCCGGTGAAATAGAGCTCAAGTTGCGTTGGATCAATGTCCCTAGCTCGTAATTATAGAGCATAGCATAATGCCGGCAAATTTTATTTAAATTCTTCGCATATAAATTACAATGTAGAACCTTTTATCATTGTCATGAAAATTATCGACAATTTCAGACATATTTAGTTTGGGGATTTTATTTTGAGCTTAGTTTTCGTTTTATGTACTTGCATTGTCTCTTTACATTATTGGCATATTTGATAGACATGCTACTCTTTCGCCCTATTTTTGAACGAAAAAACTCAGGATTTGTTTGGTTGAAGTGATTTGAATTAAAAGCATTTCAAAATATTCTATCAAGTTTATTAATTTCGTTTAGTAATATAATGAATTTTAAGTGTTACGTATATACATATATATATATATATACTACATTCTCTCGACAACACTTGTGTTTACTTATATAATACAAGATTGATACTCCCTCCGTCCCAGATACCATATCTACGTTGTCGTTTCTGTCCGTTCCACATACCATGTCACTTTCATTTTTTTAAAATGATTACACACTTTAATCTCATTTTAAATTTTTAAATTTTATTTTTTTAATTTTAATTAAACTAATTAGTTATCTTAATTTTAATTTGTAATTATTTATATTATAGGATAATTATTTTCACTAATACATTCTTAATTATCTACTAATTACACCCTTCCTAAAATATCGTGTCTACAGTGTAGCAGACACGGTATCTGGGAACGGAGGAAGTAACTTTTACTCTAAATTTATTTAAGCATGGCAATAGGACTTACTTATTTTATTATTGTTAAAAATGAATATTACAAAATATATAGATATTCTAATATTATTTTATAATAATTAGCATAGACGGTGTTATATATATATATATATAATTAATAGTGAGTTTGAATATATATATACATATATACATACATATATCTATCTATTGAAAAAAGGAAAAAAATGAAAATTTATAAATAAGTCACACTTTACAAATTTTAAAAAATATTTAAAATGAAAAATTGCAATCAATCTCCAAATAGAACAATCCCATTTTACATTACACACAAGTTTGGCAATTCAGACAAGTAGCTGGCCTTATTACATATTACACACATACGCAAATTAAAATATATATATATATATATGTATGGTTACAGAACTTCATATTCCATGCATAGAGATGTCTAGATTATAATTTGGAGCCATAGATACACACAACATGCACCATTAATGGGTGAGAAGATAAGCATCCAATAATTTGGTAAGGCCATCTGCAACCTTGGTGTAAATGTCGGGATTTGGGACTGCCTCATTAAGTTTTTCGAACTCGATGCTCCACGTCGCGCACCCTTCGCTCGCGCTCACTCTCACCTTGAAACTCGAATACATTTGCAGGAGATCGCCCTCCAAGACATCAAAGGTTATTGACTTCTCCTCGTCGTCGAGTTCAACAACTTTCATCTTCAAGCTCATCGGCTTACCTACAATTAATTAATTAATTTTAATTTACCAGGGAAAACACTTAACATTTTTGCCTCGAAATTAAGATATGTATACTTAATTAATGTGGGATTTAATTTAGTTAAAAAAATTTAATTAATATATCTTGTGTAAATTAAATTTGAGTCGCATATACATATATATATATATATTCAAAGTATATTATTTGTTGAGTGAAATATATATATAGAGAGAGAGATTCATGTAATACTTATGCTGATTAGTTAAATATTATTATCTTAATTATATTTTTATATATAATTAAATGATATAAATTAATATAAAACAATTTCAGCACCTAATTCATAGCAGTAAATTTTTAAGAAAGTATCAACATATTTAAAAACATGATAAAATTAAAATTTATAATTCTAATTCAAATAATTATCTTATTTCACACCTTACATAGCTTGGATATAATCATTTATATAAACTAGTATATTAAGACGAATTAATTGTAATTTCAAGATTTAATAAGTCAAAGTAAACATATAAGTAAAATACTATATAAGTTAATTTTATCCACTCTCATCACCGGTGCCAAACACACCCGCAAGAATTAGACATATATATATATAAGAAAAATTGCAAATTTTGGTCTGTGTGATATAATTATAAATGATCATTTTTAGACAATTATTTTTAAAATTTTATATTTTATTAAATGTCTCAACAGTAACCCGTAATTTTGTCCTATGACCTCTAAAAAATAACGTAATCTTATATAGTATTGTTGGTGCTGAGGTGGACACTGGTGACATTTTTTTCAGCAATGCCACTCAGCGTCCATCTGAGCGCCGAAAATGCCACATAGGATCATATGATACGCACATGATTTTTTCGGCACCGGATGACAAAATTAAGGCCTATTAATGCCCTAAAATGCAAATATATAAATATACATATGTAAAAATAATAATTTACTTCATATATAAGAAAAAATTTGTAATTTTTCTATATATATCACAAAATAATTTTAAAAGACGACTAAACACGTACCGATAACATATTCGATTAACTTGACATTTCCAATCTTGCCTTCCTCTCCTTCAATAACCTCAACTTTCTTCACAATCTGAGGATTCAGATTAACATATTGGGACATGTTATACTTATTGAAATTATAGATCTTCGAAGGGGCAGATTTGATCTCTGTCTTTACACTGATCATATCAATCTGAGCCATTTCTTACACAATCAATAGAATAATTAAGAGAAAAGAACAAACAACCTTAATTTAATTTGTTGTAAGGAAACCAAGTTCGTCTCCAGGGCTTTATATACTGTAGAGTTCGATATATTTAATTTCCATATAATATATATATATATATTTATATTTATATATTATATAAGAATGTGGTGCAAAGCAAAAGCAGAAATGGTTTATAGATCGATAGAGAAGAATATGTACTGCCTTTTATTACATATATGCTTTTTAAAATTTTGGCATTATTCGTCAAATTATAATATATTTTTTTTTGCTCAACTTAAGACTAATATGATATTATATATTTTGGACAAAGTTGTATAGATTTATTTTTAAACTTATTTCAAAAAGCATTACATTATAAGGTGAGTTTTTTCTTTTTAATCTTCCAAAGTAGAATTTAGTTTGCACTCCAACACACATATATATACATATTTTAATTTAAATATTATATTAAATATATATATATTTAGAAAATAAAAAAATATTACTTTTAATATTTATTTCAAATACCGAATTTTTTATTACTACCTCTCAATTATATTCTCATTTCCGAGAATCTGAAAAAAAATATTATCAAAATCCTCCAGGTCACCTGCCACACATGTTCGCGTAGTGTGAATTATCTTTTCATGCCTATTTTGCAGATTATTAGGTTCGGCCGGAAATTTATCCAGTGCCCTTTCGATCCCACCTCATAAACAGAAAAAAAAAAAAAAAAATATCCTCAAAAACTCTTGTTTAAACAAATATATTTTGGGGGGATAATTGCAATCTTTGTCCCGTAGTAATTATTGTCGCTTTGGTTGTGCAATTTAAATTTATTCTGATTCAATTGATCCACTACTTTTGTAAACTTTACTGATTTTGGCTAAAATTCTTGAATATGTTGTCCATATTATATGCTTTTTAGATATATATATATATATGTTGGGAAGAAAAGATGTTTCGCCAGTATACTTCGAACACCTATTCAAGGGCCAACTCCCGAAGCGTAGTTATATCACAGTTGTAACATTCTACTGTCAATTGAATTTATGCGAAAAATACAAAGCAGTAAATGAGACAAGAGTTTGTTTACCCGGTTCGGATATAAACAATCCTAGATTCGGGGATACCAATCCAGGAGAAGTTCACTAATCAGTCCTGAGGACATAGACAACCACAACTCCTTCAACTCATCCTCCTAACATGGTTTACCTTGAAAATTCCCTCCACAGGATTATGTTGTCACAAACTCGTGCTGACAATGACCACGGAGCAGAGCTGCTCAGAATCTGGACGCCTCCCTTGATCGGAACTTCGATTTCTCCTTCCTCCGATGAGGTCTCCAGCAAAATAAAAGTGTCTAACACTCACTCAATACATGTAGAAGAGAATGGTTGGAGTTAAAAGGATTTAACTCACTTTTTTCTCTCACTACACACACTCTCAAAACCTTCCAACAACCACATTCTCTCCTCACAATTATTTATAAAGCCATCTTATAAGACAAAATCAATTAAAATTCTTTGCACATAAATGGAATGATGTATTCCTGCATAATTATGATACAATTTGACCATCCAAAACATCTATTCCTTTGACTTGTTTGCTCACCAATCGAAAAAGAGTGTAAAACAAACAATATTGTTGACAATCTGTTGCAGCAATGTAGGAAAAAATAAAGACCATATGCCAAAATAAATTGGGGTTCCAACAATATATATATATATATATAAAAGAAACTTCTATTAGGAAAATTATAGATTTTGTTTATATACATATTTTTTAAAAATTTTGACACTATTTATTAATAGTAATTCAAAAATATATATATACCATCAATTTTTATTTTTTTTATTTCTTTACAAAATATCATATCAAATATTTGAACTTTTTACTATTCTTACAATTTTTGAAAATTCCAAAAGCATGTATTTAAATAGAGCCATAAATTGTGTAAGTAGACAAAACATCGCCGTAAATTTAAATTATGAGATAAGTAACTATTGCAGTTAATGAGACGGAGAGAGTAGATTTAACCTACTCATGTAACATGTCCACATGATAATTATCTACGGTTGAATGTTATATTGAATAATAAAAAATTTACCGAAGAAACTATAAGGGATCTAATCATAACAATATTTGATTTTATTTGTATTGTGAGAGTTTGAATATCAAATCCTAATAAAGCTTGGGGCATTGATACCATGCTAAAATAGCAAAAATCAGCACGGCTAAAATTAATTTCATCCCTTAATCTCATTTAGTATTTGGTATAGATTTAATAGAAACGTAAAAATATATTTTTATCATAAATAATATATAAGCACACACAAATAGACGATATAATTGTAATCACACTCACACGTATAAGCACATGCACACTAAAGAAGAAGAAACTTCGAACAAGACGCCGATGAATGCCGTGTGAATGCTAGCTGCCTTATTGTCGGAAAAGTTAAACTTGAAGATTTAACTATATTATTTCATATTTATTATTAGTTTCTGTTTGTACCCTAATTTTTAACATTGCAAATTACGTTTCAATTTTAATTTATTTTTGCAAAAACAATTATTAAAAAATTACTACTATTTTGCTTACTGATTGATCGAATTTGAGATTGATTGGAACAACGTTTCATGTCACTTTGTTGTAATCTCTACGTATTTTGCTACCTATCCAATGGAGTTTTGCTCTTTCGACTTGGCTTCCGTATCTTTGAAGTGCTTCTAGTCTTCGAATTTTGACTTAATTCTCCTGCTTAATTTGTATTCTATCAATTTATAATATTATATCTGAAATATTTGGTTAAATTATGCAATTTATGGCTATATTTGATCTATGTATGTTCTAGCTATTATCTTTATTTGAAATATCAACTGAATTATGCAACTCAAGCCTTTGTCGGATCTAAACTATTAAATTGATGAAATAAGTGAAACTTGAATGTTAATTTCTAGCTAGTGGTTTTTCTATGGAAATTTTGCAAATTTTTATATTATAATAAAATTTCAATTTCAATTTCAATGTCCATGACTTTTTGTTGACCGCAAAGGCACACATAATAAGAAAATATCAATTTTTTGTAACAAAGTTTTTTCATCTCTAAATTTACTTTTTTTTGTTACTAATGATATTAGAGACGGAATTAGAGAGGAAATTGTGTTAACTACGTAAAATTTATAAATAGAATTCTGTTACTCATATACTATTTTTTTGTAGTGACAATTAATTCATATCAATGAATTTTAATACAACGATGGACTTCCAATGTATTTTATGGATAACTTTTTAGTTGAATCAACAGATGAAACACAAAAACATCAAATAAAACCTCTATTTTTTTTATTTTTTTTATATTATACTAAAAATTAATTTTACATTCAAAATATCACATCAACACCTATTTATATCACATCATACAACTATTCAAATTCAAAATTTTTATTATTCAAATCCCAACTTAAAATTCAGACCCCCAAACAAACACACCATATATTTTTTTGCCCATCTTTTTTCGGTAGAAGGAATTATATATATAATAAGATAGTAGAATTGCAATACAAGGAACATAGACGCTCCGAGAGCCCCTTAGCTTGTCTAGATGATAATAACAACAACAACAACATTAAAAGTAATAGTTATGTAATCACTACAAAAAAAGTACTATATTTGTAACGAAATTTCGTTCCTAAAGTTCACATAGCTAACGTAATTTCATCTCTAATTCCGTCTCTAATATCATTAGTAACGAAAAAAGTGAATTTAGAAACGAAAAAACCTCGTTACAAAATTAATAATTTCTTGTAGTGAATGTGGTTGTATACATACTCATGTAAACTATCGAAGAAAAACACGGTATGTTTAAATGTATTTTGAGGTTGTTTTTATATTTTGAAAATTATAAAACTTTAAATAACTAAAATAATTTTTTAATGTGTTTTTGTTTTACAAAAAAGGGTATTATATTTGGCTTTTGATTTCAAATCAGAATTACTATTACGATTTTCAATAACAATATATTATTATTTTTTTTACGATCACATCAAAATAGTATTAATAAAATCAAACTTTAAAATTAAAGCAATCCCAACATAAAAGTAAACTCGAAAACACAAATAAAACAAACTCCATATACAAGCTAAGATTGTTTATTATATATGACATAAAATAAAGTGGTCGTCGTTCCAACATCAAGTGCAGGACTAACTAGTTAGAACAGTCGAGACACACTTCCTTTATTGCATACTTATATATATATAATATAATACAAACGCACACACACATGCACGTATGTGTGTGTATATGTATACACGCACGTACATACGTACGTATATATCTATTACTTTGTGAGCCTCTAATTTCTTACATATATATGTCCTGCGACATTAATGTTCTTACGATTATTATTTCACCTCATCAGCTCAGTTGACGAGAAGATAAACATCCAATGCTTTGGTGGCTGCAACCGCAAGGTTTGCATACATGTCGGGATCCGGGACAGAATCGTTCGCTTTCTCGTAGTTAAAGTTCCACTGCACTTGATTCTTACCAATCACAATCTCGACCGCGAAGGTCACATAAAACCCGAGTATCTCTCCCTCGACAGCCACGAATATTATGATCTTGTTCACGCCATCCACCTTTTGGGTCTGAAACTTCGCGCTCCCCGGCTTGTCTGCCATCATCAATCATGTTGATGATCGATCGACATATATATATATATATATATATGCGCACAAATACTTCATGATAAATATATGTGTGTATATGTTGTGCTTCGGAGAATAACACTAGGGTTTGATCGTTCTAGCTAGTTCTTTATGTGATAAATTATATTGGAGTTTATAGCGGTAATCGGAAAGGAAATGAGTTCCAACATGAATGTCTGTTACTGTCTGTGCTGAATTTTAAAATTTAGTATAATTATGAAATGCACGATCTAAAAACAAATAACACAGGATGCTGGGGCAGACAATATATGTATATACTAATATGATACAAATATAATATATGAATTTACCGGACATGACATAGTCTTACATATTGCATGAAATATATTTATATATATATACATGCATAGTAATTGAGAATTCCTTACATTTTTGTAGGATTAGTTATTTTTTGAAACAATATATTTTCTCTGTTTCAAAACTTTTATCATTATTTTTATTTTTTCCTTTTTTATCCGATCTTTTTTTTTTTAATCTTTCTAGATATAATTTATAAAATCAGTGTTAAAATAGTAAAAATCCATCAAAATAATACTTCTTCGCCATTCAAATCAATTCTTATTTTCCTTTTTCGGTTGTCACCCAAATCAGAGTTAACGCGAGGCTAGCTAGCCAAAAATCAAAGTTTATCAGTAGCGCGATGATAAATTTCTTAGAGAAAAATAGCTTTATAACTATACATAGGCAATCATCCAGTAGAGGGAGAATTAAGGGTGTGTGCCTATGCTCATCATATATACATAAGAAACGATAAAAATTCGATGGAATTAAAGTTGCGAAATATATACATATATATATGGAAAGCAAAAAATAAAATAAAATAAAATAAGAAAAATCCGAGTACGTACCCCCGACTAGATATTTAATGTGCATGACACTTCCGGGCTGGCCTTCCTGGCCTTGGACTACTTCAGCCTTTTGCACGATATGAGGAAGAATTGTGGGGAGTTGGGAGGCATTATGTATCAAGAAATTATAGAATTTTTCAGGGGAAGATTTGATATCTGCCTTTACTGCAAGCTGAGATGTCTGAGCCATTTCTGATCTTACTTAGAAAGCTTTTTTGTATTTTTCGAATACTTTCAGGTGATTTTTGTAGTTTGATCGATGCAAGAAGTGGAAGCCAATATGGCCTCTTATATATAGTATGGATTTTGGAATAATACAAAGAAAAAGGAATATTGTGAAAAAGGATATGTGGATTAATTTTGCATTATTGATTCAGTGGAACATGACATCGATTTTGTTACATCATTCGAATCAGATGCATATTGGCTTGACATACTATTTATGGGGAATCGTCTATCGATGAGGGTTTCTTTCTTTGAAATTATGGGCCGTTTGGTACCGAAAATAGAATTGCAGAGAAATTAGAGTAGAGAATAGAATCGAAGAGAAATAAAATTGAGTAGAGAATGAGAATTAATTCTCTTGTTTGATAAAATAGAGAATTCATTTGAGAAATATAAAAAAAATGCAGATATATGAATGATTAAACAAAAATAAATAATTAATCCTATAAAAAGAAAGTTTTAACGAATAAGAATTCATGAAAAATATTTTTGGTAATTTATTTTTTAGAAAAATTATACATTATATATAATGTTTTTTAAGATTATATTTTAGTACAATTTCTTAAAATATCGTAAAAATTAAATACTTTAAAAATAAATTAAGTTTGTTTTTTATAAAATTAAAATAATATAATTTTAAAAAAATTATAAAAATTAAATAGTACAAAATAATTTAAAAATTAAAAAATTATATATACTGCAATATCATTTCTCTCCATTTCTCTGGTGAGAAGAGAAATGAAAATGATTTATTTCTCAAGTTCTATTTCTCAGACTCAAACAAACAAGAAAAATGATACTATTTCTATTTCTCTGGTCTCATTTCTTTATACCAAACACAACCTTAAGGATAAATTGAATAGTTTTGTGTGATATAATGTGATTTTTTTAGTAGTAAGTTTAATTTTTGTTATAATATATATTAAATAAAAAATATGTTCTTTTATATATATATTGTTAGGAAAATTTTGATGAATAGTTTATGACAAAACTCAAACATTAGAGAAAGTGACAGCACCACACTCGCCCCACCTTCCTAAAAAATCATATTACTCTATGCGTCTGTCCTAATTATGCTATTTTGTTTAGGTACGAAAATTAAAAAAAATTATGATATTTTATTAATGTAAAAATTGGTAAATAAAAAGTAAAGTGCGACATTAAGGAAATTTATTAAAAATTTGATAAAATAGTAATGAAATAAGTAAGAAAAAAATTAAATAATAATAACTAATTAATTATTATTTACTAAAATATGAATCAAGGTAAATAATTATTTACTATAAATTATTGTACATAAATTTAAAAGCAAACATAACATAATTATAACCGTAGGAGTATTTTTCTTTTTAAAAAGTATCATATCAAATATTATTTAAATAAAAAATTCAATTTTAAAATTCAATCTAAATAGAAAAAAAAAAAAAACACACTTGAAAAAAAAATTATTTTACATTTTTAAAAATTATAGTCATTATATACACTACTACAGAAAAAATTATTTTTTGTAACAAAATATTTTTGTCTCTAAATCTATTTTTTCCGTTATTAATGACATTAGAGACGGAATTAGAAATGGAATTACGTTAGCTACGTGAACATTAGGGACGGAATTCCGTTACAAATATATTATTTTTTTGTAGTGATATATCTGGAGTATGTGTTTTTATTAAAAATAAATAAATTGTAATCAAATCAAAATCAACACACAGAAATACACTCTTGGTAATAATGTAACGGAGTACTATATTACGAAATTGGAAATTTTTAATTTTTTTAATTCTTTGATAATAATGTATATATTTATTATATGTATATCTATACATGTGATTGCATGTACAATTATTTATCTATTTTCACTGTAAGATTTTGCATGACTGTCACATATGAGATTTGCAGATAAAGACAAGAAATACAAAACTTACATGATTATAAAACAAGAATACTAAATATGTATATATATAAATAGTGAAAATTAAAATTCCCAAATATCTTTGACTTTCCTCAAATAATTTCATAGATTACTATATATCCCTTTTTATTTTGGTTGGGAGTTTGGAGTTTGAGTTTGAATTTTAAATAGTAAAAAATTAAATTTAAAAAGTTGTATAATGTGTTATAAATAGGTATTGATGTGATAGTTTGAATATAAGATTATTTTTTAGTATAATACTCCATCCGTCCCAGATACCGTGTCTGGTATTTTAGGAGGGGTGTAAATATAAATAATTATAAATTAAGATTAAGATAACTAATTAGTTTAATTAAAATTAAAAAAAAATAAAATTAAAAAATTTAAAATGAGATTAAAGTGTGTAATCATTTTCCAAAAACGGAAAGTGACATGGTAAGTGGGACGGACAGAAACGGCAACATGGACATGGTATCTGGGACGGAGGGAGTATTTTTTTATTAAAAAAAATAGTGTTTTAATTGATATTTTTGGATGAAAAAAAATAGTAAATAATAATATGCCACCAAACAAGAATGATTTTTGTATACAAATTCAAAGGTTTGAAAAAAACAAACAGAAAAACTACAAAGTATAAGATCTAAACACAATTATATATATATATATAATAAAATTGAAGAATAAGTACATGATTAAGTTTGTAATTATTTTATTGAACTCTAATGTTAAAAAAAAAAAAAAAAAAAACGGTTCAAGAGAGAAATATGAGAATTGGATTCTTTGAGGGTTACTATCTATGAACTGACATATTCTTCTAATTATGTCAACATATATTCAAGAATACGTGTATTTAGTTGTAATTTCAAATAGAAATTAATATTATTTATATCATATGATTCACAATAAAAATATATTTTTATATATTGGATTTTGAGTTAGGATTTGAATAGTAAAAATTTTGAATTGGAATAGTCATACGATGTGATATGAATAAGTGTTGATGTGATGTTTTAAGTGTAAAATTGATTTTTAAAACAATATAGAAAAAAAAAAGTATTTAATTTCATATTTTTTGAGAGAAAATTTTGGATGAACAATGGATTTCTTACAAAATCCCTCAAACAAACACACAATAAATAACTCTACTTACGTACACATTTTTAAAAACTTTTACCACTATTTACTAATATATAGTAATTTTTTAAAAAGATATATATAATACTTATTTATCATTACAAAATATTGCATCAAATATTGTATTATCTCTAATTTTTTAAATTTCAAATTTTCAAAAATCTTTATCTGAACGGAGACTTAATGCAAAGATAAGGAAAATTGCAAAAAATATTTCATACGTATACCTCATTATCACTTTTGTCCTGTATTTATCTCTCTAGTAAAATATATTCCATATATTTTCAAAAGTCGCTATTTCTATCATTTGCCCGCGCGTGGCCGCGCGTGATTGCGCGTAAGGACGCGTGGTGTGAATTTCACGTGCGAGAAAATGACATAAATAGCGACTTTTGTAAACATGTGGGATATATTTTGCCAGGAAGATAAATACAGAGCGAAAGTGATAATAAGGTATAAGTGTGGAATATTTTTTTGCAATTTACTCTGCAAAGATAATTTCCCACAAAATTAACACCATGCATGAAAGGACATCACGATCATATATATATATATATATATATATAAAGTTTTGATTTTTGGCAATTTTCCCTGCAATAATGTCGCCATAGTAAAAAGAAAAGAATAAATAAAACTCTTTCATACCTTTTTTTTGATAATTCTTGTATTATAAGATAAAATTAAATATTTATACATCTTTAGGCATAGCTACAGAAAGTATTTAACAACTTATTATGTATATCATTTGATTTTTTACTCTATTGAATCTGTATTCTTTTGCCATATTCCATTTACTTTTTATTTATTTGTTTTTACTTAAAAGTAATTTCAAATAGTCTCTAAAGTATATTTAAGTGAACATTGCCCGGCAGACCAATACAAGTTCTTTAAGTGTATTTTTTCGTCACTCATGTGTATTTTAAGAAATTTTTCAATAGTCACTTACTATAAAATTATCAAAGAAAATAAGCTTGCATAGCTCTGAAGTTCTTTTAAGTGAACTTTCGAAAAACAAATACATACATTGTGGATATAAATAATTTAATCAATTCTCTTCAATTCAAATTTAATTCTACTTAATTTCTGGTATCACATCAACATTCAAATTAAAAATAGCAAATAAAATCGATCCAATAATAATAATAATATACTCCCTCCGTCCCAATACAATAGTCTTGTTTACCATTTTTGTCTGTTCCAAAACAATACTCTTATTTCCATAAATAACCATATCACTGTAGAACTACCCCTATTTTTTCATTTTTATTACAAAATTACCACTACTTTTTACACTAATACACTCACAAGAGCAAAAAAAGTCTTTTATCTATACTTTTTAACCCCTACCCATATAATATTAATATTTCTTAAATCTCGTGTCCAATCCAATTAAAATTATATTTATGGGACAGAGTGAATAGTTGTTAGTCTAATGGTATTATTACTACCGTAGGACGATCAATTTCATACGCAATGCATGCATTGCAAGGAGAGTTTAGGCATAATATATTTTTTGTGAGATACAAAATATAATTATTGTCGAAAAACATGAGTGAAAATTAATTATAAATATATGAATAATTAAATATAAATTTATTATTATTTTTTTTTTGGATCAATTATTGAATATATTCCACATGACTTTACCTTTGTTATCTATAAATGCATACATATATCAATCATTGTAGGGCACCATAAATTTCAAACTTTACTGAATATATTCCTCTTGACTTTGATAGATAATTACTTCTACAGTTCACATCGAATCCAGTTCTTCATTGATAGGTAATTTTTGTTCAATTATAGGGAAAATAATTAAATTAATTATTATAAAAGGTTTTCATAAATTTATTGTAGAACGTCTTTATTTTAGAAATTCCATATTGTATAATTTTAATTAGTACTATGGAAAATAATTTTTATTTTATTTTATTTTTCAACGATAGTCTCCAATTCAGGTGTCCATTCATAAATAGATCAGGCAGAATTTAACACTTTGTCAAAAAAATTCCCTTTTGATAGAATAAAACAAATAATTCTTTAACTTCTTTAAATGACAAAGCATTAAATAATTCCCTACAGTGCAAAAAAAAAAAAGATAGACAATATATGAACTTAGTTTAAATAGCTCACAGTTTTATATATAAAGTATGTTGTATAAACATATTTTATGCGATAAATTCAATTATAGTACGTGTTAAGTTAATCTCAAACCTAAACATTTATTCTTGGCACAGTGACAAAACCACTTTATGCTTCTGTGGTCGTTGACTTTAAAAACAACTACTCTGAACTTGCTAGTTGCTTTAGGTTTGGTGGCTGCTCAAATCAAAATGGACATCCTAAATTTGTCATTTAGTGATCAGAACTGATATCATTCATTGGTTGGATAAAAAGGGAATTTATTGCATGTCATTTCACGGCAGTTGTAGTTGTATTTTTTACATAGCTTGAAGTTTTGTGGAAAGTTAAGTGTGAGAGTGATTTTGAGAGATTGGGTAATAAGAGAATTATTGTGTTTATCTTCTCAACCACTTCCCTTCCACTTCCATGAGTGAGTGATTCACACTGTATTCCTGCCAGAAAAGCCTAGAGATTGAAGGAAGATCGGAGTTCCGACCAGGCGAACATTCGAACTCTGTGCAGCCCAGCTATATGTCAATTGTTAGTACGCGTTTGTAACAACTTATGCCTGTGGAGGGAATTTCCTAGGTAATTAATTTGTAGTTTGGGTTGGTGGAGGTTTGGATGTTTTGTTATTAATATCAGCACTGATTAATGAACATCTTCTTGATTGGTATTCCCCGAATGTAGGATAGTTTATATCCGAACCGGGTAAACAAATAACTTGTCATTTATTGCTTTGAAATCCTTTCATTTATTTCATTGACAAGTTGGTGTTATAACTATGATATAACTACGCTTCGGGAGTTGGCCCATTAGGATAAGTGTACGAGGATTTAATGGAGTAGCACTTGTTTCCATCCCAACAGTATGTTATTTATGGATTTTGTTGTCCGTTTATATAATTTATTTGTATTATATTAATATATATTATATTATTTATTTATATTTTATGTGTTGTTTATTAATAACTCATGTAACGTTGGCATTGTAACAACAATTATTGATATAACTAGGTATATTCCATTATAAAATTTATGTTCCTTTAAGTTACATTGGTGTAAAAAAAAAAGAGTAAACATCCCACAAAAATTTAAATAAATTAAATATGTAGTATTATTATTATTATTATTATTATTATTATTATTATTATTATTATTGTTGTTGTTGTTGTTGTTGTTGTTGTTGTTGTTGTTGTTTTGTCTCATTCTAAGGGTGTATTTGTTTTGTGAAATAATTTGAAAATATATATATTTTTATTTATGTAAGGTACTGATAATTGTGGAGTTAATATAAAAATAATAAATGTATGTAATTTATTAAAAATTTTTAAGAAGTGTGTGTGTGTATTTTTATTTTTATTTGCAGAACACAGAATTTTATGAACAAATCATATATATATATCCAACTTTTAATGTTGGAGCTTATTAAAATTCATTCTTCTCGAATCATAAATTTTGTATTGTATAAGCAGTCATTTTATTTGCCGTTCAATTTTTTCGAATTTAAATAATCTCGAGTTTAATAAACTGTGTTTCTTTGTCATTTTTTGATTATTTTTATTTTTTTTTTACAATTTTTTTTAAAAAAATATCAAATCAAACTCATATTTATTTTATTTTTATATTACATTAAAAATTAATAATGCATTCAAAACATCACACTAACAAACAATACTTCAAATAATTATTCTTAGTCAAAATCCCAAACCTAACTCCAAAATCCATGAACAAACACACCCTAAGATTTTTCATATTCAATTTTGTAATTTGTTTTTCAAATCTTATATTTTAAATAGTGCAACAAAAGCTTGATGCATTAAAATTCAGATAATTGGATAATAAAACACATTTGCCAGCCTAGCAAATTGAAAAAAATTTCATTCAAATCTATGTTCACTTTCTTTTCTGTGGGTTGTCATCGAAAAATATTTTTATTTCTCTTTTTAAGTATAGAAAATATATATATATATTATGACATTACTTGTGATCTTTATTGATAAATACATTTGATATTTTTTATGGTATTTTAGATTTAGACATATGTACACATATATACATAGTTAGTTACGCTTGCCTGTCTATAAATAGTCAGACACGTGGAATAATGCTCTCTTGATAGTTGGTAGTTTCCAAATTAATATTCAAGAGAAATATATATGTATATATATATAATTAATGTGTTTACTCGTCTTTTTTTTAATATTTATTTTCTATTAAAAATTATTATTATTCAAAACGAGATGTTTTTGTTATTATTTATAGTTTTAAGTACTTTTTTTAGTGAGTTGTATGGTATTATGAAAATATTATAGAGCTAGAGTGATATTTTGTGTGTTTTTATTTTTTTTAAATTTTATTATTAAATACACATATTGTAATTTTTTTAATAAATTTTTTAGAAGTCGCATATCTTATAAACACTTAACACACTAATAAAAGAAAAAAAAATAGAAAAGTAAACACACTCAAAAAGTATATATATTTATGGACAAACAACAAAAATGTCACTATTGAGAGGTATCATATAATTCAATATATATATATATATATGTGTGTGTGAGAATCAAATTATCTTTTGATGCATTATGTTGAACACAATTTTAGATATTATTTAATCAGTTCTTTTATTTCAACGATGCTTGGATAATATAATTAAATTATTATATAAATTTATTAAATGCTTACTTTGTCTTACATAAAAATATACTATTAAGTTACATTATTTAATATTATTAAATAATTCTATTAATGGTTAATTCAAATTTTATATATATATATATATATATACATATTCCTGCTCCACCCTTGATGAAAAATAACTTTGATACAAAATTTGCATTCATTGAAAAAAAAAAAAAAAAAAAAAAAAAATCAATCCGCTGTAAAGATTGATTCTTAATTAGTTCAGAAAGAGACAACACCGAATCAAGAATTTGTTTATTTGTGATTTTTTACTTTTATTTTTAAAATAGTATATTTAATATAATATTTATTTTTATTTAAAATATTATATGAAATTATTTTTTATTTTCAATATATGTATATATATATATATATATAAGTAATAATCTTGATCCATTGTAACACTACCGTGAAACAAATAATAATCATACAATTTCTTGAGTTGAGAAAATTGTTGGTTATGATTAATTAATTTTGTCTACGCTAAAAAAACAATAAAAATAAAGATAAAAAATAAAAAATAATAAAAAAAACCCAATTCAAGTTAAGCTAGCTAATTACTTTTTAAATTTATTTTAATTTAGAATATTGCAATTTTAATTTGCCAAATAATTCATGAATTAATATATTTAATAACTCCAAGAAATGCACACAGTTAATTAATACTCCCTTAGTTCAATTTGTTTTGTCCTAAATCATATCTACACGGTTTTTTTAGGTAATTAATTTTTTGTTCTGAAAAATTTGTCTTTTGCGTCTAAGATATAAATAATGTATGTTCAAATAAAAATAATAAATGAATAAATGGTAAACAAGTAAAACTTCTGTATAAAAATAAAAATAGGACAACAGTTCCTTATAGTTGCTTATTGTATTTCTTTTATTTTTTTTTACTATTCAACATCTCAATTTTCATTCAAAAATCAAGATATTATATGATGCTCATTAATTTTTATTCAAAAGACATCATTTAAACTATTATTTCACTTTAAAAACAATCAACATGTACAAGAAATATCAAACATGTACAAGAAATGTACAATTGAATTGAGGTTGTCTAGAAATGATGTGTGCTCACATTATTTACTAGGCAAAGAACAAAAAAGTTAAATTTGAAGATCAATTTATATCCAACTGGACTCATATACAATCTAAATAAAATCCACACATAACCTATGAATTTATTGTTTAATTTTATTTATTTATTTATTTTTATAGTCAATAATCCCAAATATGACCAAAAAAAAAAAAAGTAAGATAAAGAAGACGTGTAGCATAATATTTGGTAAGAACCACCCGTCCTCAATTAAAACTACACCGGTAAGGATCTCATGTTGAAATTATAAATTCAGTATTGTTGAATCTAATTACAATCTTTGATTTAGATATTGTTATTTTAATTAAAATTATTAAAAATAAATTCAGCATATATTGAATCAATATAAACATCCACGTATGATCTCTTTTCGAACTATTTAGAATTAATTACAACTTTGAAGCCTAGTTCAAAATTTACTTATATATATATATATGTGTGTCTTTTCATACTATTTTTTTTCCTTCGCCAAAATACAATTTTTTATTTTTTTTGGGTAAAATACAAAGCTAAACATAACCAAAAAATATATATATATATACACACGAGACAAAATGGTAATTGATCATAGATATGACTAAATTTGCAATTTTTCCGGCCATATTTTACTAGCGCGAAATCCTACTTCAATCTTAGCCGGACAAGTTGCATAGAATTCCTTTAATCATCGAGGTATCAATTTCAATCCAATGCTAAAGCTAACAACAAGATCCCCACTTACTAATATTCTTGGGCACACAAAATCGACACTATAAATAGCCCCAAAATCGAGTCTAGGCTTACCACACCAGCAAGAAAAACTACTTTTCTTTAGCTACATATAAACCCCAAGTGTTAGCCAAAAAAATCTCGTTCGAAAAAAATGGCTCAAATGTCCGAGATGTGTGTAACAGCTTCGATCAAAGCTTCCCCACAAAAGTGGTATAATTTCTTGAAATATGAGGGCACCAAAATTGCTGCTATTGTTCCTGAAATAGTGAAAGAAGCCAAGTTGATTTACGGACAAGAAGGCCATGTTGGAAATGTCAAGCTCTTTGTCTATGCATTTGGTAATAAAATTCTTACACAAATTTATTTCAATAACGCTATCCGTTATCAATATACATTTTTTTGTTATCATTTTTGTTTTATAATTTTGCGCGGTCATATTTTGACTAGATAAGTTGTAATTGTATTTTTTTTTTAATTGTTCTACTGTTCAAACTAAATTCAAAATTAGACTTCAAAAGAACATGCAATAATGTGTATAAATGAAATATACTCCTTCTATTCTGGTCCATAGTGTTATTTTGGGTTTTTGTAGCAGATTAAAATATAATACTAATATTTTATTGGACAGATGAATTGTTTTCGTTTCTATTTTATGTATATGTGTAATGGTATATTTTTAAATTATGTAAAAGTTAATAGTATTATAATATTAGTATGTGATTTCTTTTTCTATAATATAAAATAAATACTTTTGAGTGAGATAAACGAAAATGATAAAATGTTCGTTACTTTCAAGACAGAGGGAGTACATATAAATATATATATAGAGAAAGAAAATTGTAAAAAATATCTCACATGTGTATCTCAATTATCACTTTTGTCTTGTATTTATATATCCTACATATTTACAAAAGTCACTATTTTTATCATTTGGTATATAAGAAACGACTTTTACAAATATAAGTGATAATGGGACATACATGTGGAATATTTTTTGCAATTTTTCCTGCGTATACACTATAAAAAAATAGTATATTTGTAACGGAATTCCGTCACTAAAGATCACGTAGCTAACGTAATTTCATCATTAATTTCGTCTCTAATATCATTAGTAACGGAAAAAGTGAATTTAAAGACGAAAAAATCTCGTTACAAAAATAATATTTTACTGTAGTGATATATATATATATATGTGGAAGATTCTCGTCATGCATTAATCCTTCGAAAGCTAATGTAATATCCCTCTTTATTGGTAGGCGCGGTCAAGGGGAGTGCGCAACTGGAGACCACAGTACTTAACGACAGCGCGACAACTGTTGGTGTTAAGGTCATCGCCGGGGATATTCTGCAGTTGTATCCTCATTTCGCATTTACAGCCACCATCAAGCAGGGGTCGATAGTCTGGTCAATCGACTACGAGAAAGCTAGCGCTCTGATCCCGGATCCGACCATTTATGCTCAGCTTTTGGTTCAAATCACGGCCGCCTTGGATGCCTGGATCCTTATCCATTGATCGCCATTAATGCAACTGCAAATTGGAGCTCAAGAATGAAGCAATATGAATAATGAAGCATATATATATATATAGTTGTGTGTAATGTGTGTGTGTATGTAATAAAGGGCATGCATATATGTTGTTTGTCTTGCTATGGACAAACAGCGTGTGTGTGCGCCCGCGCTCTACTTTAATTGTCTACTTTCTCGGTGTGTATCGAAACTTAATTTTAATTTAAATTTCTACTCTTAACTTGCTATGTTTACTATGTTCGATCTTTTCTTTTTTAAAAGTTTTGTGTGTGTATATATATATATATATTCATAAACGATATTTGAATAATTATTTTTACTTAGAAAATATTACAATATTAAATATAAATTAAAGTATTTAATTGTGGACATGTTTGAAATCTATTAAAATGACGTTATAATTAATAAGAACTTATTAAGGTTCCGTTTATATAGACAATTTTGGAGTTTTGAAATGAATTTGTATTTACATTTTTCTGGAATTAAAATGTGTTCGATATAAATTTTGAAGATATTTTGAATAATTTTTTATTGTGATATTATATGTAGTAATAAGTAATGTGATTGATTGTGTGGAAATAAGATATTGATTTAATATAGTATTTGATTAAAAAAATTAATTAAAATTATTTTATAAATATATTAATACAAATATAATCAATATATATTATTTGTAATGAATAAAAGTTTACATAATAAAAAATATAAATTATTTTATTATTACTATAAAATAAAAATAAAATAACATAGGGCATATGTAGTATATATTTTATATAATATAATATATTAAATATAAATAGTTAGCCCTAATTATTTGAGTGAAATTCACCTTATTAATGCAACATAGTCACTTTTTTTTCCGAGTCATTCTTTTTTTTTTATTACTATATACTAATATTCATAATTTTATATAAAAATTTATACTTTTTATATTATAAAACATTAAAATCATTTAAAAAGTAAAAATTAAAAATTAAAAATTACTAAGTAAATACAAACAATCCATTGTTTCATAGGTTTACTTATATATATATATATATATGTATAACCCCATCAAAGTATGAAACAATATAAAAGAATGAATTTAAATTGGATAATGATTTTGGATTACATGCGCTGATTTGTTAAATTAATTCATCATGTACTCAATTAATGCTAACCATTGATCAGAGAAGGATAATTTAGTCAATTCAAACATTTATTGTTACTCAATGATGCTAAGTTAATTCAGTCATGTTGAATCGGTTGTATAATTATAACTATGTACATATATTTGTATATTCACTTATTGAGAATATGTACCTATCGATAACAACATTTATTTGCCTGTTTATATATGGTATAAGAACTTTGGAAATTTTTATAGTATATTAGATTTATATAGTTAGAGATAGTTTGAATATTGTCTGTTTATAAATATGGAATCCAATGATCACTTGATGATAGTTTCCAAATTAATACTCAAGACAAATATATATATATATATATATATATCTGAGTATAATATGTTACTTGTCTTTTGATTATTTGAGTGGTTTTTAAGTTTGATTTTATTTTTTGTTTTAATAGTTTGTGTGACCAATAACTTTAATTTTATTTTTTAGAAATAATAGAATCGTGTTGGTTAAACAATAAAGAAATTAAAATGAGATTTCAAAAGGCTATTTGGTTTTGGCTTGAGTTTAACTTGTTTATTAAGTTTTAGTTTATACAGTATTTTAATTGATATTTTGTAGAAGAAAATAGTCATTTTTTACTGGAAAAGTATGGAGTGAATTATGATAAATTTGATTTGAAATTAAAATCAAACAAACTCTAGTTTTGATTTGAGTTTGAATTTATTTTATTTTATTTTAACTTTGATTAAATAGTATTTTAATATGATATTTTACAAGTAAAAATAACGATCACAGATAGCCTATTGATTGAGATTAATCAACAGGCCTAATCCATCGGATTATGTTCTAATCAAACAGCAAAGATGGGTCACGACGGCAAAATAAAACAATAATATTGGACGGTTTTTCTAGATGATGAAGAAGTACGAGAAGCATTAACATATGCTCCTCATTCTTCTTTCAACAATATTACGAACAAGATGATGTCCAAGATCGGAGGAAGAACCTAGAGAAAATTTTATTTCATGTTTTTCATTATGTTGGTTTTATTTGTAAAGTACTGTGTTCTAACGATAATAGAATATATCTTCAAAAAACATTCTTTTATTATTTGCATATGTATTTTTTGTATTATTTGCATATAATATATACTCAAAAAGCACTCTCATAGGCTCTTCTTATGTTCTAATGAGTCTACGCTTTCGCCAAAAGAGAATTAATTATTTTGATTTTTGACATGAATATTATAATTGCATAATCAGATTCTAAAATATATACATAAAAAGCACTCTCTTATTATTTGCATAGATTCGTTTTATGCTCTAACGAATCAAAATATGTGTTCTCGCCAAAAGAAAATTAAATACTTTGATTTTTTTATAAGAGTACGATGATTGCATAATTAGAGCATGAATATATTACCATAAAACACCGCATTATTGTTTGTATAGATTCTTATTGTGCTACAACGAATCAAAGTTTGTACTGTCGTCGAAAGAGAATTAATTAAATTTGTTGATTTATTATAATTAAGATTACTATCATTGAATAATCAGAGTATGAAATATACTCACATTATTATTTTCATTGGCTCTTCTCCACCTTATATATAATTTTAGTACCGTAATATATATATATATATCGTACTCCAATCTTGGCCAGACAAGTTGCATAGAATTCCTTCAATCATCGAGGCATCATCGGTCTCAATCCAACGCTAAAGGTAACAACAACGTTCCCACTTACTAATATTCTTGCGTGTGCGCACAAAATCGACACTATAAATAGCCCCAAAATCGAGTTCAACTTCCTTACAAGAACAAAAAAAAAAACTAGTTTTGTTTAATAACATAGCAATTGTTTGCACAAAATCAAAACTTGTTGAAAAGCTATGGCTCAGATGTCTGAGATAATTGTATCAGTAAAGACCTCAGTTCCCCCACAATACTTCTATAATTTCTTGAAATATGATGCTACCAAAGTTGCCACTAGGGCCCCTATGATAGTGAAAGAATCCAAGTTGATTTCGGGACAAGAAGGCCAAGTTGGAAATATCAAGCTCTTTGTCTATTTTCATGGTAATAATATTAATTCTTACACATTTATTTTCATTCCCCTATTGATTATCGGATATATATGTATATATGTATATTGTGTGTGAAATCCAAATATTTGTCACATAGGTTTCATGGGAAAATATATATATATGAATTTTTTTTAATGTTTATTGCATATATAGATATATATATATATATGTACGTGGCTAAAAATTTTGCGATCATGGTTCATGCATACAAAAAATAAGTTTGAAAAAATAAATAAACATAGTGAAAAATGTTTAAAACATGAAGTGTTTTTTACCTTTTCTTCTCGGTTTTCTAATATTTCGATCTTTTATTAATATATATTTGTGTGCGTCCATATGCTATGTATCATTAAAAATTTTGTGATCACGATGGTTCATACATACAAAAAAAAAAAAAAAAAAATTGAAAAAAAATAAACAAGAGTGAAAAATATTTGAAACTTGAAAAGTGATTTATTTTTGCTTTCTCTTCTCGGTTTTCTAATATTTCAACCTTTCTATATATATATAACAATTCTATATTTTTCTTACTAAGATACCATATTAGTTATTACTCGATAAAAGTTAACAATTACACATATACAACAAAAGTCTTCAAACAGACAAAACGTCGTTCTCAATAACATCATCGCAATTCTTCATATCTAAGAATAAAAGCATTTAAAACTATAAACACAAAACAAGCTAACAAACCGTATGTAATGATCCTTGTGTTGGTAGGCCCAATCACAAAGACCGTGAAGCTGGAAACCACAGGACTTTACGACAAAGAGAAAATGTTGAGCTTTAAGGTGATCGAACATGAGGAAATCCAGCAATTGTATCCTTATTTCATGGTGACAGCAATTTTCAAGGAGGGGTCGGTCGATTGGAAGATCAACTATGAGAAAGCTAGCCCTATCACCCCCAAACCGATTGTTTATGCGCAGCTTTTGGTTCAAGTCACAGAAGCGTTGGAACCATACCTTATCGGCCATTAAAGGCCATTGCAATCTGAGCTTGAAGCTCAAGAACAATCGAATACGAAGCATATATATATATATATATATATTCTTATGAATATAATGTAATGTAATGTAATGTTGTATGGAATAAAGGGATTGCCTTGAGTTTGTCTTTGTTGGAAATTGATGAATCGAACAATACACCTTCGAACATTTCAAATAGGGTTAATTCCCAAAGCGTGGTTAGTCACAGTTATAATAGCATATTGTCAACGAATTAAACATAGAAGTTCAAAGCAATAAATGAGGCAAGGTGTTTGGTAACCTAGTTTGGTTATAAGCCAACTTACATTCGGAAGATTCTAATTCGGAAGAAGTTCTACTAATCAGTCCTGATTACAGAATATAAAATAATCACAACTCCTTCAACTCAACCTCCTATCATGGCTTATCTTAGAAAATATCTTTACAAATTCAAGTTGTCACAAACACGTATTGACAACCATCATACAACAAAGCAGCTCAGGGTACGGTCATCTCCACACTACAAGAAAAAATCATTTTTGTAACAAAACTTTTTTGTCTCTAAATCTACTTTTTTCGTTACTAATGATATTAGAGACAGAATTAGGAACGGAATTACGTTAGCTACGTGAACTTTAGGGACGGAATTTCGTTACAAATATATTATTTTTTTGTAGTGCCACCGGTCGAACCTCTTGTAACTCCGATCTCCGATAAACTTTCCGGCAGAATAAAGTGTCAAATACTCATTCAAAACATGGAGAAGAGATTAACAGATGGTCACTACAAGAAAAAATCATTTTTGTAACGAAACTTTTTTGTCTCTAAATCTACTTTTTCCGTTACTAATGACATTAGAGACGGAATTAGGAATGGAATTACGTTAGCTACGTGAACATTAGGGACGGAATTCCGTTACAAATATTTTTTTTTTTTGTAGTGGGTGAAAGCGTTACACAATATTTCTCTTTCAAACAATACATTCTCAAACCTTGCTCATAACCATTATGCGCCTACTCTTGCTTCGTACAAATCCAAGTTAGTTTCCCTTAGCACTGAAATGGGATGAAGTGAGTATCCATACACCTGTCATACTTTGACATTTTTTAAATATCCATTTTATCTTTTGTAAATATTTAAAGGATCGGACAAATTGATTAGATACAAGCCCACACAACATGTCTTCGGATATGGGCTATATAGGGTTTGAGTTCCGAGTTGGGCACGGGTTGTAGGGTCGGGTGGGGTTGAGCCAAACAATATTGACACTCATGATTTTATTACTTCTATTTTAACAAATAGTATTAAAATATTTTTTGTGTTGACAAACGAAATAATAACAATCGTACTTTGGATAGTGGATAGGGCAAAATGAGTATATAATTTGAAAAACAAAAATTAAAATGAAACTTTAAATAGGAAAAAAGGAAAAATACATCTTTAATTTATTGGTGCAAATTGAAGGGTAAAGCTATATAAGTCCATTTAAAAAGAAATTTTGAAATTTATTTACATTTGAAAATTTTTGGATTTGAATTTTTTTTAATTGAAAAAATAGTCTTGTAGTTTAAAATGCCTTTAGATAGAAAATTTTAGTAACATATTTTGACATATTTTTTTTTATCGAAATATTAATAATAAATAAATTGTGTTTCAAATAGACAAAAATTTTAAGTATTTTAGGAACCTTTAACAAAAACAACACACATCTTTTAAATAATTCAGAATATAAATTTCAAATGAAAAATAAAATATTTCAAATTTGAACTCATGTCTACCCACCACCAACACATGACTCACCGGCCACACATGTTTCGTCTAATGTTACTTTGGGTGTGTTTGTTTGGGGAATTAGATTTAAATTTCACTATTCATCCAATTTTTTCCTCCAAAAAATATTATATCAAACACTTATTTTTTTATTTTTTATATTATATTAAAAATAATTTTTACATTCAAAACTTTTACTATTCAAATCTCAATGCAAAATCCAAACCTCCAAACAAACACACCCTTAGAGTATTAGGTTCGGTATTTATTAAAATAAAAATAATAAAATTATAAATAAATAAAATATACTATGGGTGTGTTCTTTGGAAGATTTCTCCAAATTTTTACTATTTATTCAATTTTTGTTCTCCAAAAATATCAAATCAAATACTTATTTTTTATTTTTTATATTATACTAAAAATTAATTTTACATCAAAACATCGTATCTGTTTATATCACTATCTCAATTCAAAATGCAAAACCCCCAACAAACATTGTGTATAAATTTAAAATATGGCAAAAGAACATAATAGTACTAGTTGACCTGGCACGAGAATAAATTCACAGCCCAAATAACTTGAAAATTCAGCAGTAATTTCTCCGAACCCACAAAATGAAAGATAGCTCAAACTCACATGTATTGCAAATGCAGTAAAAACTCAAATCACTCCCCAAAAAATGTCCAAATAATTTCAGCAGAAACAAAGCCAGGGCCATGACATAATGAGAAAACATCCATTTAAATTCTACAAATCTACAAAGGCTTCCGCGACAAATCTATCCTATAAAGATTGCCTACGGTCATGCTATTTAAGGGCCATTGTTCCCATTTAAATGTGGACTGTCTCACCGTCGTCAAGAGAGCCAAGAAGAAAAGGCGACAATAGGTAACATCATAATCAGTCCATAGTTCACCAAGTAATCATTTTGCTTCCCAGTTTCCATCTTCTTAAGAAGTGTATTCCAAGTACACGTAAATGGGCAAGCGACCTTGTTATCCTGCAATATTATATACACGCCAGTATCATCTTAAACAAAACTTGATCGGACGTGAATCTTTAAAAGCAAATACATAACTAGACCATATTTTATAAAATATTTAAAACAAAGCTAAGGCTTTTGCACAACCCATAGCAACCTAACGTATTGGATCCCATCAAAACTTCGAAGTTAAGCTGGGTGATCTTCCGGGAAGTGCTCGTGTTACACCCAAAAATAAAAAAAGAAAAAGAAAACATTTATATATGAAGTTTATGGGTACCTGAGAGGAATGAGATTCTTCTAAAGTGTTTGAAACCTCAAGTATTCGCCTGTCCTCGCTTGGTTGATCCGAAGGAACTTGAATTTTTGGTTTTCTTGCATTTCTTCTTGAGAAAGCTCGATAAGGTGAATCAGTATGGATTGTTTCCATGACAGAACCGAAGAAATTGGTAACGGGTACCTTATATTGTCAGAAGCAAAATTAGAGGGTGCATTTGAGAAAGTATGTAACACACATTAAAGTGTAAAACTTCAGCTAAGCAATAATTTATCAGACACGAGTTCATAAAAGTTCATTTCTTTTTTCAACCGCAGAAGGGTAATTATACACCAAGCTAGGGCAGAGATATACATTACACAGAACGACGAGATAAAAGCAAAGCATATGTGTATAAAAAAAATAAATAAATAAATTGTGTACCTCCTTCAAGTGCCGTTGGTATAGATCAGTTCGATAATATGCCGTTGACATCAACATATTCGGATTGTAGGAGTTGAAAAGGCTGCACATTGAAGGAATTTTAATTGTGAATAAAGGTAAGAAGTTCTGTTCATCTAACGAAAAAAAATTCAAAAACTGGGCCAATGTCATGTCTGAGCAATACTTGTCAACAAGCCTGAATGGATCATTGAAACAATCATTCCAGAAGGCCTAAATCTTTTTAGGAGGATAAAATAATAATACCCAAGAGTTTCTACTTACCCCTCTTAACTACTTACGTACCTATGTTATTATCGATTAAACAATCTTAAATTAAATTAAGCACTTAATCATTAATCTTGAGTGTTAAATAGTCAGCAAAGAGGACTAATATTTTAGTTTCTTGTTTGCACCTCTTAATTACATATGTTATTATCGATCCAATGAAGATGAACAAGATCTTGTTTGATATGAATATGGAGTATGTTACAGGTAGATGAGAATTTCGATTGAATTGTTCAACTAAGTGGCTCCACTTTACACAAACTTAGGCCACAAAAGTAATTGTCAGCGCACAATTTATAATTTGTCTACGGATAAAACAAAATATTTAAGAAGGTAATTATTACATCATATAACTATAATGCAACTTTTAAAGATATTAAATACAGCTTTCCTAAAATTACCTGCTTAATGAGGCATTGTCGTACATATTTAACCTCTCAAAAAATGCAAGGGTGTAAAATGTGAATCGATCTACAACTGATACACCAACCTATATAAGAGCATACAAAGACAGGAAACTGAAATGAGTGCAGGAGAAAAATCAACAATATGAGCAATCAATGAAACTAATGAGCCAGAAGATCAATTAAAATAAGCAATCGAACTTACATCAGAATCCAAATGATGTGAATACGAGTTCTCCCCTTTCATGCTACTTCCTATGGCCAGCACACCGGGTGATTGAAGCTGCCATATGATAAAGATGCTACACATTTTATTACTACCCGGATGCAATATAGTTAAGGCTAGTATTCCTTGCAAAGTGACAATATTAAACTGTTCTATCTTTATCAAAGGAGAGAGAGAGAGAGATTTTCATTTCTCAATTAATGGAAAACAGAACTAAAGTTCGCTCACTTGAGAAAAAAGGGTGGCGGCTTGGCACGTGTCAACCATGATCAGCAGCTCCTTAAATCTGATCATTAAAGCAGAACAACGATCAATTTTCCATATCAATTATTTTAAAAAAGAAAATGGTTTGTTTATCACCATACAAAGGAATCTATTACATAAAATTCAGATTCAGCGCCTCAAAGTTAGCAAATGCGTTTATGGTACACACAATGTACAGCTTATGTGGTTCTTGCATAGATACGACAAAGACATATCACATGTTCCGCATCCTTATCTTATATAAAACTGTGGAAAATAAAACATCCAACTACTACAAAACATTCGGGCACTTACACAGTCTTACCTGTGCTTTTCCTTCATTTGTTTAACAGCATCAGCTAGATCGTGGCTTTGAAGCTCCTCGGAGTCCTGAAATTTTAGAAATTCATCCCCGCCATGCCCTGTCATGTATAGAAGTATATGACTACCTTCATCACTCAAAAGCCGTTTTGACCTAGGTACAGCTGGCTCATGCCTCCCAGTCAGCACCCGAAGAAAGTTTTCGACAGTGACCTCATATCCACGGTAATCAACCTATTATAGAGCATAATGTAGTCAAAGAAACAACCAGAGCAGTAAGCACAAACACATAAAAATCAAAATCAAATAGAAGAAGCACAAACAAGAAGATTAATGTTAACATGGATTGAAATTTACACCGGATCGCTCACTCTTGCATAAAAGCATATGATTTTAATCGAAAAAGAAACCTGATCTCACCTCAACATTGTCTCCATACAAATTAAGATGGTGATTTTCATTGTTGAAGACTTGGGCAGGATACTTGTTTCGAGCATTGCAGGCCATATCATCAGCTAGCATAAGAATTATCCTCTCATCGGGTATTCCCAATCGCTTCACAGTCCTGGAAGACATTACCATCATATACAAAAATAAGAACACTGTTTTCATATCAAATTTTCTCAAGCACCTAACGAAATAAAGCACATTTACCTATACAGCGATAAAGTATTGGCCATGTGCCGATAATTGAACCTGAATGCAGTGATGAGAGCAAATTGCCATTAGAAATCTAAATGGAACTTCCAGTAAACTAGTCTAGAAATGGAACTAATGTTGATTAGAAAAAATGGGAAATCTTAAGCGATTTTTGCGTCTCCAAATTTTCAAATTGCCTTCAAGACATAACGTCGAACACTTGCTGTGCAGTCTTCTGAACCCCAAATTTCATTCAGAATGTGCAAATTATCATCGATTAAAGGAGCTGCGCAGATTGAGGAAAACGGGAGGAAATCGAGGGAGCATTACGAACCAGAAGCGGGAAGTGCAAACAAGCACAGCCCAGTTGTTTGTGTGCATCGTGGAAGCAGTAGAAGACGCAGAGGGGATTACGTTGCAGAGAAGCGCCGCCCAAATCAAGATCGGCAAGAAGAAACCCTTCATCTTCAATTTCAGGCGATAATCATCGACAGCCTGCAATTTCGAAATTGAATTCTGGTTTCTAATTGCAACTTTAAATGGGTATTTCTTGCATCAAGCTTTACGAATGCCGCCTGTCGGGCTGATTTCAGTTTTAAAAGTAACGGGGGTTCGGTTGCGCGTGGCTCGCAAGACTGAGGTAGCTCGGATCTGCTTCGCGGCGGTCGAAATTTACTGTTCACACATCAAATGTACAATAATTTAAGGTGTGTTTGTGCGAAGGATTTTGAAATTTTACGAGTTTGTTTAGATAAAAAAAAAAAAAAAAAAAAAAAGCCGTACATTTTTCATTCGAATGTTATTATGTTTAAATATCAAATTAAATACTTAATTTTTTATTTTTTATATTTTATCAAAAACTAATTTTATATTAAAATATTACATTAATACTTATTTATACAATTGTTGAGTAAAAAAAATCCAAACGGCCCAGAAGTCGGGCGAAAGAAAGTCGGACAAGGAAGGATGATCGGCCGATACGGAAGTCAGACAAGACAAAGTCAGGCACAGAGATTAGGTGTAATAAGGTCGTGTGCGGAGCCCAGGTGTGATAAGGTCGGGCAAAACAGAAGTATCGGCAGACGCGGAGGTCTATCAAGACAAATGTCTATTTAACCAGTTGTCCATCTAAGGAGATAAGGCAAACAGAGCTGGTCGGTTGGTTCGCTGTCAGATGGTTCATAGTCGGTTGGCCCGAGGTCGGACCAAATGAGGTCGGGCGAAGAAAGGTCGGCTGATACTGAGGTCGGTCGAAAGAGGAAGTCGGGTGAAAAAGGTCGGCTGATACTGAGGTCAGTCGAAAGAGGAAGTCGGGCGAAGAAGGTCGGCTGGTACTGAGGTCGGTCGAAAGAGGAAGTCGGGCGAAGAAGGTCGGCTGGTACTGAGGTAGGTCGAAACAGAAAGTTGGGCGAAGAAGGTCGGATGGTACTGAGGTCGGTCGAAACACGGTATGTTAATTGGTCGTCTATTTAAGTAAACAGTAGTTCAGTCACTTGGTTGGGGCGACCATTAAATTGTCTGGATGATTCGTTGTTCAGCCGATTGGAGAAATCAAATGGTGGTCACTTGATGGAGCGGCCGATGAGTCGTTTGATCTAGCGACCAGTCTTAGAAGCCAGAGGTTATTGCCTGGGCGGTTGAGTAGTCGGTCGGGACCAGCCGCCCATTTAAGGCGGTGAAGTCTTCAGAGGCGGTCGGCCGAGACAGTTGAGTGCTGTAACTTGCGCGAGCGGTTGGTGAGTCGGTTAACACACGTGTTGACAGAAGAGGACTTTATGGGCGGTTGTTAGCGGTTGTTGTAACCGACCAGACGGCGGTTCAAACCGTTTCTTTAAAGAGTTTTAAACAGGTTTGTTAAGAAACCATCTTCAATCGACATCAATATTTCTTTTGGAAATCACCATTTTATTTTTCAGTCTTTATTTTATATTTTTCTATTTTATTTATTAATCCTACAGTTTTTAGAGATATCAGGCACTAATTATATCAAATTCGAAAATAATTTTTTATTTTTGAATTTTACTTTTTATTTTTTAAAAAATACATTAACAACAATATTGCTATTGAAATTCGAATTTCTTCTTAAATATCAACCTAAAATCTAAATTTTCAGACACACATCATAATAAATATTTTTAATATTAATCTATAATAATTTAGTAACATATATCCCTTTTGTCTGAATCCAAGGCTAATAGATTATAAAATAATATTTCATTCAGTTTATTACAAAGTTGACATTTGATTTTTTTTAATATTTAAATATTAAAAGTCGATTATATATTTATATTATATATTTATAATATATTTGATATACAAAAATAAATAAAAAAATTGTAGTTTTGTAATATAGAAATTATTTTTTTAATATTAAGATTTTAAGTTCAAATCTTATATGTCTCAAACATTTAGAAATATAAATAAAAATATTTATTTTTTTTAAAAAATAGAAATAAAAAAAAATTTGAGTGAGACAAAAATTAAATGTATGTTCACTTAAAAATAATATATAATTAATTAAATTAATTTATATTTATTAAATATATTTTTATTTAAAAATATTATTTGTTATGGGACAACAAAAAAAAAAATCCATTAAAATAAAAGAAAATGTATATTATATACATTGAGAATTATATTAAAAAATATAGCAGGCAAACAAATGTATGTTTACTTAATAAAAAAAAATTGACATTTTCTAAAATTTATAATATCAAAACATATATATCTAATTTGTGACAAGATATATATTTGTTTTTATATAAAAATTAAAAAATAATACTCCATTTATCCCATTTACTATGTTCATATCTCTGTTTTTATTTGTCCACTTATTTTGTTATTTTTTTAAAAAAGAAATTATATATTTTAATTTAATTTAATTTTTTTTATAATTTTTTAATAATTAATTATCTTAATTTATAATTATTTTTACTACACAATAATTATTTTTATTAATATATTTTTAATTATTTACTAATTATATTTCTACTAAATTATTGTATTTGCAGTATAGTGGACATAATATTCGAAATGGAGAGAGGAGTATTTAAATTATAATTTATTGTAATTTTTATTAAAAGAAAAAAAGCTTTTTCGTATTTTAACTTAATATAATAATAAGAAGTGTAGTCAAATTTACTCACTCTCTGGTCTCACTTTCTATTTTTGTGCGTTCATTTATTCTCACTTTTTTTTAAAAAAAAAATATTATAAATTTTAATTTTATTTTAAAATTTTAATTATACTAATTATTTATTTTAATTTTAATTTAAAATATTTTTATTAATATATTTTTAATTATTTACTAATTATATTTTTTTTAAACTCTCGTGTTTAAGGACCACTACAGAACGGAGTGTGTTTAAGGACCACTACAGAACGGAGTGGTGCAGAAATAATTATAGCAGAATATATGCTTACTCAATATGTATAATAATATATATATATTTTACTATTTATTAGTAAAAAATTATAAATTTAATACAAAATATATTTTTTATATTTAGTATTGGAAAAATAATAATAATAATAAGGACAAGAAGTGAGAATATCCCCCACTTGGGGAGTATGATTCGAGTTTAATCCGAAATACGTATGCAATTTTAAAAAACAAAAAAAAATATACTTAATTGGATGTGTTTTTTAGTTAAATTTGAAAATATTAATTTTAATTTAATATTAAAATAATATTTGATAGAAATATTATGTAAATATATATATATATATATTTTTTGAAAAAAAAAATAAAAAAATAAAATTTAAAAATTTTGGTTAAAGAAGCCAGTGCTAAATGTTGGTAAACAGAGAGCATCTCTGCATATTCATTACGTAGTTAATAATGCAAGGCATTGTCCAAATCAAAATTACAAAAAGTTAAAAGCAGAATATTTAATTAATTACTCTCTCCTTCGTCCCATGTAATATAAGTGTATTACCGTAGCCACGAAAATTTAGGTAAAATATAATTAGTAAATAATTAAAAAGTGTATTAATAAAAATAATTATTATTTAGTAAAAATAATTATAAATTAAGATTAAGATAAGTAAATAGTTTAATTAAAATTAAGAAAATTATAAATTTTAAAATTTAAAATGCGATTAAAGTGCATAATTATATTTTTAAAAATAAAAATAACAAGTTATGTGAGACGGAAAATAAAAATTAGGGACAAATTATGTGTGACGGAGCGAGTATTATATATAAACACTAACGGCAAAGCAAACCCTAGACAGGTTAATGAACTATTAGTATTATTATTATTATTATTATTATTAGGAAAGTTGACCGTTACACTTGATCGTACGGTCAGGAAGCAGCCTTGGTCATCATCTTCTTAAACTCATCGAAGTTGATGCAGCCGTCGCCGTCAACGTCGTAACTTCCGATCATACCCTCGCACTCCTTCGTGGTGCACTTCTCCCCCAAGCACTTCAGCACCGCGTGAAGTTCAATCGCCGTTATCTTTCCGTCACCGTCCTTGTCGTACATCTCAAACGCCTCCTTCATCTCCGCCACCGCATCGCCGCCGCCGCCGCAGTGGAACGCCCTGAATTCGCTCAGATTTATGGATCCGTCGCCGTCGGTGTCCAGCTCCGACATCGCGCGCGCAACCTCGTCCTCCGCCGTCGGCGAGCCCAGAGCCGTCAGAACCGCGCCGAACTCCGCCGCGCTGATCTTTCCGTCGCCGTTAGCGTCGAACTTGTTGAAGACTTTGGAGACTTCGTCGCCGGCGTCGTCTTGCGCCGTCAACGGCGGCGGATTCGGGTTCGGATTTAGATTTTTCGCCATTGGTGGTGTTGGATGAGAGTGGGGTGGGGCTGGGGTGGGGTGGGTTGCAATTTATTTATAGGGAAAGCTTTACGCGTTCCCGACGCGTGGAGTGAAAACTCCGCTTCCTTTTGTGGTACGGACCACGTGGGCGATCGGCTGCTCCCGGAGCAGTGAACCGTGTCGGTCAAAAGCCTTTTATTGGCAGGAGTGCGTGTGGCTATTTTTAGAAGCTTCCGGGATCTGAACACCAGGTAGATCTGTGCCGTTTGATGTGTACGATCGACGCGTGCGATTGTTGCCATGGATGGTGCGGATCATCTTGGTTTCATAGGACCCTGGAGCTGCAAGAAAATACACGGTTGAGAAGGTTAAAAGGGAGTTTTCTACCCACTAGTCCGCCGACACGTGAAAGCAATTTTATTTTTTTCTTTTTTCTTTCAATAGTTTTCTAAAGGCAGGTTTAGGTTATTTTTTCAAATTTTTATTATTTAATAAATCAATTTTATTTTAAGATATTACATTTAAAATTATTTTATTCTGTATCTTATACTTCCTTCATCCAATTTTTATTGTCGGCATGATTTTTTAAGTGATTGTTTTTTTGTTATGAATTGACAAATTTGTCATTAATTTTATGATAAATATTAAAAGTAATAAATGAATGAAGGGTAAAAATGTATATTTTTGTTTAAAAAATAAAATAAGACAATAATTATTGGACGTCCCAATTAGGAAAGTATGACATTAGTTTATGGATAGAGAGAGTAATATAAAATATATATATATATAGAAAATATTTTTTAATTTCAAAATAAAATTATTGGTGTGTTGTGTGGGTATTAATATATTAATATTTTATTGTACTCTGTTATATTCCCTCCGATCCATAATAAAGTATCTATTTTTATATTTTAGTCTGTCTCATAACAAAGTATTCACTTCCTTTTTTTTAAAATAATTATACTATCTACCTAACATTACAAATACCCTTACAACTTGCAATATATTACACAAATATCATTAACTTTATATCACATAATACTAATAAGGTTATTTTAGTCATTTTTATTTTATTCATATTATATCCTAATATAATACTAATATTTCTAAAATTTCATATAAAAAAACAAATAGATACATAGTTATGAAAGGGATAATATATTAACAATTGAAATCGCATTGAAATGCACAAATATTCGTAACATGTAACTAATCCATTGAGTATTTGAGCCAACCATGTAAGATTAGTTTCTAATTTTAGAAACTTCAAATTTATGCAAAACCTTAATTCTATTTGAAGTAAATACTATATATCCATTTGGATCTTGAGGCACAAAAAGTCCATTCCCTAGTAAGAAGGAGAGCCATAACATCATACGCAGCATCTCCCTTATAACCCTTTTCTTGCACACTCTTGTCCTCAATTTTGTATCTATCCTAAACTTTTTGAATCTTCAAATTTTCTTGTTTTTTTCTTACACATAATTTTTCTTAAAAATGGCTGAGGATCCACAGGACATCGCGGATCGGGAGCGCATTTTCAAGCGCTGTGACATCAACGGGGACGGCCAAGTGTCTGCCACCGAGCTCGGAGAGGCGCTTAAGGTGTTGGGCTGTGTGACGCCGGAGGAAGTCAACCGGATGATGTCCGAGCTCGATAGTGACGGTGATGGATTCATCTCATTCGACGAGTTCACTGAGTTTGCAAGAAAGAATCGAGGTCTCATTCGAGATGTTGCAAAAATATTCTAATATTTAAATGATAAGTAACTAAATTATTATTATTATTGGAAAAAAAGAAGACTTTAGGATTGATTTGTTGGAAAATATTGATAGAAATGCATTAATAGTTAGAAATTTATTGTATGATTTAAATACATATACATACTATTTTAGGTTAGGTGGTTTGTTGTAAGAGAAGTTTTGAGTAGTAAAGTAACACCACATTTTGTAGTGTGCAGGTTCGTATTATACAAATTTATGATTTTTAAAAAATACCAAAACAATAATAATAATAATAATAATAATAATAAATCAACTCTTGAAAATAAAACATAAGTAAATACTTGTTATGTAAATTTATTTGTTATATATTACACAGGCCAAAAGAAAATACCAACAAAAAATAAAATAAAATAAAATCTTGAAAATAAAACATAATTAATACTCCCTCCGTTCCCTTAACATTTATGTTATTAATTGGTATTATTGATGACATTTGTGCAATATTATATAAATAGTAGGATAATTTTATATTTTAATGGAATTACATTTACTAAAAAAAGAAAATAGATACATTTGAGTGGTATTATTTGATGACATTTGTGTAATATTATATAAAGGGTGGGGTAATTTTATATTTTAATGGAATTACATTTACTAAAAAAACATGAATACTTTTGCGATGAACAAACTAACGGACGGAGTACCTGATGTGAATCTATCTGTAAAATAAAATATAAAATCGCTAGAAGGAGGGCTTGAACCTCCGACCTTGTGGTTAACAGCCACACGCTCTAACCAACTGAGCTATTCCAGCTATGCATTCTATTTATATTTTTCTTAATTTTTATTGTAATAATAAATATTTCATGAATGGTTACTTTTGTCGAAATAATACTCCTTCTCTCCCGTAATAAAGTATCAATTTTTTCATTATAGTCTGGCCTATAATAAAGTATCAATTCCCTTTTTTAATAATTGTATTATCTACCTAACATTACAAATACCCTTACAACTTACAATATATTACACAAATACTATTACCTTTATATCACACCATACTAATAAAGTTATTTTAGTCATTTCTACTTTATTCCTATTACATCTTAATATATTACTAATATTTTTAAAAATACGTGCAAAAAACAAATAGATACCTATTTATTGGACAGAAGGAGTATGTAATAGTATTTCAAATGTGTTGTTGTTTGATTTCTAAATATATTGCACAATATTATTACATTTTTTAAAAATTACAAAATATATATATTTTTTTATGAGATATGAAAAATTATGTTGAAAATATATAAAAGTAATACTCCCTTCGGCTAGGTAATATGAGACTATTACTGTAAATACGAAAATTTAGGTAAAATATAATTAGTAAGTAATTAAGAAGTGTATTAGTAAAAATAATTATTGTATAATAAAAATAATTATAGATTAAAATTAGATACTAAATTGTGATTAAAATGTATAAGCATATTTCCAAAAGAATGAAATAACAAATTACTTGGGATAGATAAAAATAGAAAATAGAGACAATTTATATGGGACAGAGGCAGTTTTATTTTTTTTTTGTTGAATATTGACTTTTTGTAAAAAAAAAAAAATAATACATATATACACTCTATTCGTCCCAATTGAAGGTATTTTTACTACCGTTTAATTTTCATCAATCTCATTTAAAAGTATCAATTTTATATTATAATAAAAGTAATTATACATTAATATCAACCTACGATTAATTCTTATATAAGTTATACTGTTACTAACTAGAATACTAGTATTATTTTTAAAATAATAATTATGATATTTTTTCTTTTGAAATTATAAATTAAATGAATATTTTTTAAAAAATTAAAAGTATTTTACTTTCTTCGTCATGCAAATATGTGCTCATTTGATAGAATATAAATTTTAATAAAAGTGAGTAATAATTATTAATTTTTTCTTTGATAGTAAAAATTAATACAAAAGTGAAATGATTTTTTACTTTAAAAAAATAAAAAATAAGTATAAATTTAAACGACGGAGGGAGTAATATTTTTTCAGAAACATGTAAATATTTATTTTATATTTTATAAAATACATGTCTAATAGTATATATTTTTATTATTATAAAAGATTTTAAAAATTTAAAACTTGAAAAATTTTGGTGTAAGAATAGCCTTGAACAGTTGAACCATCAAAAAATAAATAAATAACATCAATTTTAGATACGTCATTCGAATAACGTGAAATCAAAACAAACAATCTTGCTGGTGGGGTGCACCTACCTTCTTGCCAAATACACGTCTTTCTCCCTCTGTCTACAGATTTTCCGAAGATGGGCGGAAGATGCTTTCCACGTTAACAAATCACGCTCATGAGTCCTCCCGGGATCGGATTATTATTTGTATGCCAATCCTTCCTGCTGAATTTTGATGGTAAAGTCTATCTTCGTTGGTGAATTATTTCCCCTACATTTTCAGAAAATCTACTTCTCCGGCAGGTACAATTATTGCTGCTCTAACTACTCCTCGACGCGTTTTATGCATATATATTCATTGATCGTACATCTCTCTACGCGTCTTTAAATACATATAGATGTACTGTATCGGAGTAGGCTCGTTTTAACTTTTAGGGTTGGATTGTTTGGCCCAGGCGGAGCGGGAAGAAGTATTCAATGGCGCCTCAGCCGATTCTGGCTGTGGCGCTTCCTTCGGAGACTGGTCGGGTTATCAGCATTCAGTCTCACACTGTTCAGGTTTTTGCGACTAATTCAATGCACTTCGTCTTTAATATTGGTTTTTTTTAAATTTTTTGGTCTGTGCTGCGCTTTTGGTTTCTGACTTGTGATTGAATTTGCATTGGGCAGTGTAAAATTGTTGTAATTGCTATAGGAGAATAAATTAACTACATCATTTGTGAAATATGATCTTAATAGTAAAAGCAGTTCTTGGCAGATGAATGTTATGTTGAATGATGATAATGTGTGTATTTTTGTGTTTGTGTTGTAAATCTTGTTCATCTTCCATTATGTTTTGGGAGTCAACTTGTTAAATGAGTGCGGAATTATATAGTCAGTCTGCCTTTTACTTACTTTCACATAACAATTTAGGGATATGTGGGCAACAAATCGGCTGTATTTCCTCTACAACTGCTTGGATACGATGTTGACCCAATCAATTCGGTACAGTTCTCTAACCACACAGGCAAGCTGTTCAATATTATATTCGTACAGTCTTAAGGTTTCAAGCACAACTAGTGAATCCGTAGATGTTCATATATTTCTAAGATGAATTAAGTGTGGGAGTTTGTGCAGGGTATCCTACTTTTAAAGGTCAGGTTCTGAATGGAGATCAACTCTGGGATTTGATAGAGGGACTCGAAGCTAATAATTTATTGTACTATACACATTTACTAACAGGTATAAAATTTTGTTTTTTCGATAGCATGGTGAATTCATTGCTTACAGTGACATTATGGTATGTTTGTTGGGATATTGTGTTCAGTTCATTAGTGTAATCAACGATTTCTGTTTATGATATTATCGTGATACCTTATCTACACAACTTCTGTTTGAATATATGATCTTTGATAAATTTAGTGTGTTGTCTGTTTGTCTAGTGCTAACTGCGCATCTTCTTAATATATCTCCATTAATGCTTCCATGTAGGTTATATTGGTTCAGTTTCCTTCTTGAACACTGTACTAAAGGTTGTCGATAAGCTTAGGTCTGTCAACCCTGAACTTAAATATGGTAAGTACTTTATTATCAACTGATATAAGTTGTACAAAGCCGTTGGCAGTAATTTTATCCCTTGTTTTTTTGGCATTTTCTGATGAATCAATGCGTTATACTAAAATGTTTCTTCATTCAGGCTTGTTTCTTTAGTCCTGCTCCGAACAGTGCATGATAATTATATAAAATTTACATTACTATTAAAGTAATTAATGTTTTTCTCATTACTTTTGGTAAGTACTTATTTCTTGCATATCTTTCGATATGATTTTTTTGTCAGTATGTGACCCAGTGTTGGGCGATGAGAGAAAACTGTATGTTCCCCAAGAGTTAATATCTGTGTATCGAGAAAAGGTATTTTAATTTTGCACTGTTTCCACTATTTGTATGGTAGTTTTTCTTCAGTGAAAGCACTAGTTAATGAATCTGAATTTTCTTTGAGTAATTCACTTATTATTAGGCGTTGACAAGGAACTAGTCCAATCAAGTTCTTTGTTCTACTTTTGACCCCCTTGAACTGCCAGATTGAATATTGTATTACTTGGAAAAATTGGATTTGTCAAAGGGAACAGTGAAAAGATATATAAAAAAAAAAAAAAAAATGAAATTGTGACTATAAACTAAGAAAGGTACCTTGTTCGGAATTTCTCATCAGATAGGCCTAGTGAGAAAAGGCAATATGCATCCAGTTCTTTTGCTATGGCAGGGACACCCGCCTCTTTCTTCTTACTTCCTTTCTCAGTTGGAGAACAAATTATGCAATCTTAACTAACTAGCTGCTAGCAAAGGGCTTTCACTAGCTGTAATGGCAGATTGATTCCGGCTTTTTCCTGAAACATGGGCAAGTGCTGGTGGTACTTACTAGTTTGGTGAAGCTACCCTTGCTTGCTTTGTTGACCTTGTAACTTAGAGTGAAAATGTTGAACTTTTTGACCTAAATCTCTCCCTAATGTCTACTCCTTATTTCTAAATGGCCACTTTTTTTGTCTTTTGCTTGCAAATAGTGACCAGCTGTTGGCACCTACTTAAGGAATAATAAATTTAAAAGCACACTTTTGCATTTTAGAGGGCTAGATTTACTTGTTTTCCATATGTTTTAATTTCTTACATGTACTAAAATCATGTCTTACCCGGTAAATATATTGGGTATAGTATACTTGTTAAATGTTAATTTTAATCTATGCTTTAGCTGTTTACAGTTGAATCAAGAGTCAGACTCTACGCAAGTGACCACGTACTATTGACGCCTTTTAAGTTGTAGCAGCAAAGAAGTTTAGTGTATATAGCATCGTGTCGATGAAAATTGCAGTAACTATGCAACTTGGCTTTCATTTATAGAAAGGAAGAAAATGGTTTTGGGGATTTATGATGAAGGATAATTAGAATGAAAAGTTAGTTACGATCACAATACAATAAATGGTTTATATATGTTCAATGATTCGGTCACTCCATGAAAATCTTGCTGAGGTGTAATCTTTCATTTTTCATTTGAGCAGGTTGTGCCTGTTGCTTCTATGTTGACTCCAAATCAATTTGAGGCTGAACTGTTGACAGGTTTGAGGTATGAGACTATGAGAGAACCACACCACCTAAGAATCTTGTTTGTAGAGTATAATTTGTCTGTATCAACTATGAATGTAATCAAACTTGCCATATAAAACGGTTGGTTTCTTACATTCTATATAGAGTGTAATTTGTCTGTATCAACTATGGGTTTTAATCAAATTTGCCATACAAAACTGTTAGTTGCTTGCTTGCTATATTAGATGTGTCTATTCTGCAATTCGCAATATTGATCATTCCACGTATTTAATGATAACTAATATTGTTTGTATTACCATAACTGTCACCAGAAGAGATCCAGCATGTGAATTAGCCATTTTTTTTTCCCATCATCGTCATTATTATTATTTCAAAGCTCATTACATCCTTTTTACCTTTAAGGTTGACATCGGAGCAAGATGGTAGGGAAGCTTGTAATATTCTTCATGCTGCTGGACCATCACAGGTTTAATGTCACACTCAAATCAAATTCATTGTTTCATGCAGTCCTAAAATTTATTTCCTTCTTGATGTATGCCTTTAATCGAATGTTAAGAACTCCTAATAACTAGGTTCAGTGTATCCATGTACTTAAAGTAAAAAATATTATCAAGACGGTTCATAATACTCAATGGAAACAGTTGATACTGTACTGTGGCACGATTTATTTGTAGTCAACAATTAGCTCATCAACATATGTTTTGTGTTAAAGCAGTTGATTATGGTGTTGAGGTTTATAGTTTGATTCGCAATAGTACTTCATTCAGATAATTCTTTAAAGGTAATATTTGCATCTTGAATATCATGATCTACACTTTTTCAGGTTGTGCTAACGAGCATAAACATAGATGGTCATCTTCTTCTAATCGGCAGTCACTTGAAAGAGAAGGTACTGACACATGCAAGCTCGCAACATCTATTTTATTGTTCACATGCTGTAATTGATTTATGGAATATCATATTTTTATCTTTCTGGATGCTCCTTTATTTCGCTCTATACTTCTCAACATTGTTTTGTAAAACTGTCCTCGAATTTTTATGCAATCAAACTTTTATTTGATTAACTTTGATGATGATAGGGCAAGCCACCCATGCAATTCAGGATTTCAATTCCGAGAATTCCTGCATACTTTACGGTATATAATTGTTTGACTACCACTTTATTTCTTATAGTATATTGATCTGATCCAAGCTGAGCGTTTGAGGAAGTAGATGCATTTAATTCCATAAATGAATATTTTTCATCTTCCTTTATATCTGTCTTTCCTAAATGACTGAGTGGATGCTGCTACTAAGCTTTCCTTCTCATTATCAATACTAACATATTAGCATTCCATTTGATTCTGCTTCACGAATCATGATCCTTCATTCAGTGTTTGTTCATGCACTCACTCTTCTATTTTTATATTACCTCTTTTCATTATACATATTTGTTTGCAGGGAACAGGAGATTTATTGACGGCTCTGTTGCTTGGTTGGAGCAATGTAATTTTTTAAATAACCCTCAAATACACTCCAATCATCTTCTTGTTATATATTATATGTCATTCTTTGTCCTAATTATGCCTTGGTTTCAGAAATATCCAGACAACCTGGACAGAGCAGCCGAACTTTCTGTATCAAGTTTGCAGGTATGCTTGTTGCACTATTCATCGGTGTCACAACTTTCAGACTTGATGCAACTTTAATAGTTACTCTTATTCCGAGTATCTAATTGGTTGGGTTCATAGATTCATCACCCTTTTTGAATATTACATTTTAGATGACATTAAAATAGTTGATTTAATTTTCTTTTAAAAATACTATGACTTACAAAGAAGTGATTCAACTGGAGTTCTACAATTGCTACAGCACTTGGGATTTTGGTTTCATCACTCGAAAGAGTTGGAATCGCATGAAATTTAATAGCAACTTTAACGAGATCCTAAATTCTAGGGGTAATGCCGGCAAGCATTTTTGTGTTGGTGTGCACTTTTGAGCGAGCAATGCTTGGTAAATATGGTTGTTTTTGCCATCGAACTTTAACAATAGTCTAAAGAAAAAGCTATCAAGGGTAGCAACTTCAATTTATAGTTCCGGTTGCCAAATTTATTTTTACTAAAGAATAAACTTGTCTTCGTCTACACAAATATTTTTGAAACTTTTGGTACTATTCATCAATCGGTGTACTTCCATATGCAAATATGTGGTCACGATCCCTTATATTGTTGCAGGCACTTTTATCTAGGACATTAGACGACTACTCGAGGGCCGGGCATGATGTCGGGTCGAGCAGTTTGGAGATTCGGTTGATTCAAAGTCAGGATGATATTCGCAATCCTGAAATCAAATTCAAGGCCGAGGTATACAACTGATGTTTATTCTTTATCCTCGAAGCAAAAAATCCAAAATATTTTTTCCAATATAACCACATCATTTTTCAGCGAAAAACTCAAGTTATTTGCTTGGGAACAAAACAATTCTGTGTTGCATGATGATCTTGTCTATCTTATATATATATTTATGCATATGGGGATCTTTTTTTATATGATTTGCATATTTTAAAATTTAAATGAAAACCAGGTATTTTATATGATTTTTTTTTTCTTTTAATAATAATTTTAAATAGCATTGTACCTCAGACAAACACACCCTCATTTAGGATTGTCAATTTGTGTGTGATGTGTTTTAGTCGGGTTGAGCTATTGGCTAACAAAAACACTGTTAACTCGAACTCAAAACTTGACCGGTAAAACACAAATTCTTTCAGGTTGGTTCAAGTTGACTTGACTTAAATTCAGGTCACCCGGAATCCGAATAAACCCGACACGAACCTGATATGGAACATACTCAAAAATTTAAAAAATTTAAATTAACCTAAAAAAAAATCATTTTTATTTACTTTTTTATATTATTAATATAATATAAATATTATAAATTAAATTAATAATAATAAATAATTTCAAGTAAACTCGAAAAACGAAACCCGATGGGATTTTTACATTTCGGGTTACCAGGTCAATCTGAAATCCGACCCGAATACAACATGATTTTTTATTTTTTTTTGTCGTTTTGAATTCGAGTCAGACCCAATATTTTGCAAACCTGAAATATTCAAATTTGAACCTGAAAAATTTCGGGTCGAACTAGTTTAGTTTCCTGGTCGGATTTAATTTTGACATCCCTACCTTCATTCTTCAAATCTTTCCTATGTAAATTAGGATCAAATCTAATAACTTACAAATTAAACTACTATCGAATCTAATAACTTGCAAATTAAACAGGTATAAGTGTCGTCCTTTTAGAATAAACTCAGAAGTAATGTATGCAGCATTTTCGTGTAAGAATAGTTAAGTACAAAGAACAACAACAACTGCAATGATAATAATAATAATAATAATAATAATAATAATAATAATAATGACAATAATTTATCTACCTTTCAAAAATGCCCTTCACATAAACCATACCCTTTTCACTCAGCTGCAGCTCCTTCCTCATCTCCTCTATCTGCTGGTCGTCCCCCTGCACCATAATTTCGGACAGGTTCCCGTCGTCGCCCACCGTCATCTTCACCTTTATCTGCTCCTTCCGGGACGCCTTTTTCCAGTAATACACTCCTCTGGTTTTGCATCGAAGAATAATACACAAATCAATCAATCTTTTAATGTCGAATTCAGAGTAGACATTACTATGGTGCTAGTTATTGTAAGAGCTTACGCGAGGGGGCTCAATATGGTGAGCGAGAACCAGTTGTTTCCGACATCCGGGAAAGTTATTGTGAGAACGAGGGCTACGCTAGCGAGACTGATGCACGTGCAGAAAGTCAGTAGCGCCGCCTGGCCACGGCTCGGCACCATCATCCCTTCGAACCTGTGATCAAACTTTAAATTTGTAAATACTCCCCTCCGTCCCATTCAAAACTATCTATTTCCTTCTTTATTATAAGTAAAAGTACAACTACATTAATACCAAAATACTCTTAATTTTAATTTAAATTACAAATATACCATTACACGTACAATTATTTTTTTTATATAAAATCGAAGGACAAAAATATCAAAACTTTTTACATATTTTTATTGACTACTAAAATACAATTACTTCTTAATCTACTACAAAACTCCAAAGGATCTCTTTCAAATGGGACTACGGAGTACATTCTTATAACTATGTAGACAAAAACGTGTCATTTTTACTTGTTAATGCCCCTATATGTTGTAATGAACAATTGTGATCGGTAAGCTACCAGATAGAATCGCCTTTTAAAACATATCATGGCTCGAAGAACATAAAATTCTGAAAAATAGCAATGAATCGCTAAAAACTATCCTATTTTGAAGGCTACTTATTGTGGTATTAGAGGATTATGGGGTGGATCAAATGTTCAATGATTCTCGCATCGATGATTGAGTTGGAACGACGCCTAAAGATGCATCTTACTTATGTACTAAATTCTTTCTGGTTGAAGAATCTCGTTCTAATTGCTCTAGAATAATCGGGAGATTCTCTAGAAGCGCTATGCAGTATACTATCAATCGCAATACTTCAAAAGAATTCATTTAAGCCATGAAACTGAAATCAGTCGAACTATTTTGGCATAATGATGTAAAACTAATACAGGCTTACGTTATCGTCTCTCCTCTGTCTGCAACTGCAAAATTGTTGCGAGTAAAAAAGGAAAGTATTTCGCCCGCGACTTGGTTGGGTGATTTCTTCCAGCCTGTCCCTTCTCCGATGAACGTCTTCTGCACAACCTGATCTAGCACCAAAACAAGTCGTTAAATATATTGATGTAACATAAGAATGGCTGCGTAAACATTTGTAGCTGTAGGATAGCATTACCTTCGACTTGACTGATCTCTTTATGAGGGACCAAAGGCCGGGAACTGAGATAACAAAAAGACCCAGAGAAGTGTAGTAACTGGCCAACGAGTAACCTGTGGCATCAGCGAGGTGAAAGAGTGTCTGCGGGTGGTGGTGGATGTGCTCAATAAAAGGCGATGAAGTAGATAAGAGGGTGTCATCTAGGGAGGATGATAGTCGAACTACAAGGCTTCTGTCTCTTTTTGGCATTCGATTGTGTCCAATACGGTGCAGTTCTCGAGTTGATAGTGTGGAACAGTGAGTGATAGGAGTGATTAACAGTCTTGTTGTCGCCATTGCTGATGGCTCGAAAGCTGTAAAAGGACTCAATCAGGTTTACAGTTAGCTCTCAAGATACAAAATGAATCGTTTATATAGCCTTGAAAAATATTGGTCCTCCCGAAAAATCTAAGCATTTGAAATTGCAAGTTGAAGAGCAATAAAGATTCAAAAATTCATCGATGGAAATGTTAACTAAACCGTCTCATCCAAAAATTTAAACTAATATTAGTTGCGCCGTATGCCAAGCTTCCTAGGGTGTGTTTGGTCTAGAAAAATAGGGATAGGGAAATAGCAATATCCCATTTTTCTTGTTTGATTGGGTTGGAGAATTCAAATCCGACAGATAATCTCTATTTTCATTTCTCTTCCGAGTAACTCAGAAAAATAGAAAAATGAAGAGAAGTGAAAATTGCGAAATGTATAGAACATGTTTATTTATTATTATTTTTTTGTACTATTTAACTTTCATAGTTATTTTAGATACACTATTTTTAATTTTACAAAACATCATCTAGCATTCAAATTATTATTCAAAAACAAAACCAAAAAACACCTGTTTATTTCTCCAAGGATTCCAATTTCACTAAAACTCATTTGTTGCTCGACTCATCTTAATTGATGCATCAAAGTAGATTTCTCAATTGAATTTTAAAATTTTCATTCGCAATACAATGTGGATTTCTTTTCTCTCCAATTCTATTTTATAGTGTCATTTCTTCCACAATTTTTCTTGTAGTTTCATTCTTTGTATTAAACGACCCTTAATTTTATCTTTATTGGAGACTATGAACCTAAACTCTTTTCGAAAGTGCAAAAAGCTGATGGATTCATTGACAAAAATGTCTAACAAAATCAGAGGACAAACTTGAATAATCAATCTTCTTTCTGGAATACACAAGTTCATTTATGGCTAAACAGCTTTAAACCAGCAATATCTAACAAAACCATTTCAAAATGCACAATGAACAGCAGTATGAAGCCTAATCTGGAATGCCAAATAATAAACCAAAGCAGAGTCGATTCCACATACACAAAGAGTGTTTTAAGGAAAAAGAAGTGTAAATTTACACAAAATCGTCAACAATCAATGGAACAGTCAAAATCCCCAAACGTAAAATACAAACGAGCAGACCAATTCGAGCTAGGGTTTATCAACTCATACTTCTAATTTCTGCCATTTCGTTTATCTCAATTAAGTCAGAACATTAACACAATTGTGATTCACTTTCGCTATGAGACGCGATAATCACTCCCATGCTAAACAAAGAAGACGCGACCGAGAGATTGTGCATGCTTAAAACGAAATTGAAAGAAAAATTACTAGCAGTATGCAGTATGGAAAGAAGACGCGATGATAATCACTCCTATGGCAATATAATTATTTTCAATAAGTTGCAAAAATACCTGGCTGTGGATAAACTTCTGGAAGAGTTTGATATGCAGTATGCAGTATGGGCTGGTGCATTCATAACCGTCTATCGGAGGTGTTCATACAAAGAGACGAAGCCATGGATGAACAAACCAGAGCTTCACAGTCCTCTGGCGTGTTATCTATTTGTCCATTCAATTTTACTTCTCTTTTAAGCTTATATACTTTCAATATTTTATTTAAATATTTATAAATTTATTGTTTTTTTAAATTTATTATAAAAATTGATACATCATCTCTAGACTAATTATATAGGAATTATAAGTATGTTTCATCTATTTTGTTCTTTTTTATTTTTAAATAAAAAATAAAAAATATCATTATTTTATATATTTTAATTTTAATTTTTAATTATTTTTACTTATTAATTATTTACTAATTACACAAATTTTTATATTTAATATAATTTTTTTATATTATTAACATGAATTTTTTATACTTAACATGATTTCTTTTATATTTAAAAAATTATTGTATTTTTTATATTATTGGGACAAATTTTTTATACTTAATATAATTTCATTTTTCAATCAAGACATTAAACAATTTATTATGGAGTATTATATATATATATATATAATAATTAATTAAAACACTAAACAAAACATATCCATCATTATCCTACGGTAAATTAAAATTAAATTAAAAAGTTATACAATAATATTTTTAATGTTAAATTTAATTACATAAAAAAAATATTATTTATTAAATAATTATAACTAAAAAGAATATCAAAATAAGGATATTATAATTTTTTAAAAAAAGTTATCTCTTAAATAAATTACACTGTTCTTGTAATACGGTTACGCCTAAATTAGGTTTCCAATTTCAATTGGCATTTCAATCATTTCACAGGCGAATGTTAATGGAGTAGAGAAACTCCATCCCAATCGCTTTGAACAGGAATATTCTCGTGAATTCGTTACCGAAATCGATAGGGATGGCAGGAATTAACAATTCTAACGAGCCAAGCACAGCTCCTCAAGCCGATCGATGGTATGATTTAACCCTAGGCTCCTCCTTCAAGGATCTGAATCCTTCCAGATTCTGCACTTTTCGCTGTATGTACGCTTCTCTTTTCCCTTTTTAGATCTCAGTGTCCTGAACTTTTGCGATTTCGTTATCAATTGGTTTGATTATTGGCAGATGATGTATTTCGGATGCGTTTCAGATATTTACTAACATGATTCAGTTTTAATTCAATAAATGTGGTGCAGTTCTGATCGATTTTGTTCATGATTCATCTTTCTTCTGCAAATTGGCTCGTTCTGTGAATAAAAGTCATAAATTTGAAACCCTATGGAAGTGATATGATATTAGTTTACCAATTTAACAACCAAAGAATTGCCATACGGATTATATTCATACACATTTACCTCGTGAGGGATTATTGTGCCATTTTATTTTAGTTTTGATATTGGATTCCTGTGAGATATGCTTATGTGGAACACTAGAAGTGATTTATCTTATATATTTTTTGTTTGAAAGATGAGTTCAAGCCAGCTTCTATAGACAAGAATCAGCGGGGCACGTTGCATAAGAGTAAGGACAATAAGGTGACTGTAGAGTTTCATAACATCCAACCGGGGAAGCCCAAGGTGACATTTGAAGGCAGTAGTGAGGATTACAAGGATAATGATGCTGTTCTTTTCTTTGACGGGGAATCCTTTCGGTTAGAACGGTTGCACCGTGCTGTTAAGCGATTGAGGCATAACAGGTCGCTGGGTGAATCCACAGGAACTGCTCTAGGACACTCTGATGCTAGTTCTCCTCCGGTCGGGAAAGTGGCTAAGCATCAGCCTGTGAATAAGGATTTGTTCCCTGCAGTGCCTGTGAGTTGTCTTTCGATATATTTTAGTTTACTTTGTAAAGAAAATTAAGGGATTGAAACATAGATTTGTGTGAAGTTGATTTTCTTAATTTCAGATTTCTAGCAGTAATTTGATTGTATTCACTATGGTTGCTTTGCTGCAGTATTAATCAAATGACACGTTTTGTTTGCTGCAATTTGTGTAGGTTGAAGTTGAACGAATCGAGATTGGGGATTTCAAAAGCTCGGGTATGTTTGTTTGTTTTTTTTTTTTTTTCTGCAATTAGTTTCAGCATGAGCTACAACAGATTTTGCTCCCTTTCTTTTTTAATATAATTGATTCGATCCGTGTATAATTTGTAGTCAAAGAAACTGTGATCTAAATACTGTTTAGCATCTATAACTCCCAATCACATGGGATTGGATAAGCTAATATATATATTATAATAATTATGATAAAAAAATGGCGAGCCTGTCCGTTATGATCTCCAACAGAGTGAATATGGCCCTTCGAACTGTATAGAAGATACAACAATTGAGCCTGACGTTACTAATATATACTTCACCCATTAATCGTTTCAATTTGTGTATTTTTGTCCAATTCGACTTTTCTTACGTCCTTGCATATATGTATTTATATATGTGTTATATTGTAAGATTCTGTGCTGCGACGTTACTTCATCAGTAGAATCAGCCACACTCTCCTGTGATATGTCTATAACTACGAAGTTTATAATCCTGTTTGAGAAGCAAAAATCCTTTTAATTTATTGGGCCGTCTATTAACTTTCTGTGCCATAAGAAACATCTGACATGAACGTAGGCAATCTTGATTCTTGAACGTAATCTTATTGTTGGTGGTTGAAGGCTTTTTTCATTTCTCCTGATTGAGATTATCCGTAGATGCCATTACATACGACTTTTCTTATGTGTTGTGAAAATCTTGCACCGAACATGTATGCTAGTTACGCGGACCCCATTCCTAATATATTTCAATTTTGTTCACCAGATGCAAAACCGCGGCAAGAGAAGACCGTGGAGTATCCTCCTCCACCACCGGGAAACTCATCGAACCCCTCACCATCCCCAAAGAACGACGACCAAGACGAGCATTTGGACATTATGAACGACGACGATGACAATGGCAACGAAGTCGATATTGGTGGTAGCATCGAGGTGAAGGAACTGAATTTCGACATCAACGAACCGCACCCAACTTATTCGGAAGACGAAATCGCCGACGTCGATGTCAGCGACGACGAAGGCGACAAGGGACCGAATGCTGCAGAAGCCCTCAGAGCCCAAGTTGCGGGAGAAAGAGACGGCGGCGAGACTTCGAGCTCCAGCGGCAGCAGCGGGAGCGAAAGCAGCGGCAGCGGGAGCGGCACCGGCAGCAAGAGCGCCAGCAGCAGCAGCAGCAGCGACAGCGAGAGCAGCGACGCGGATTCTGTTACATCGGTTTGAAAATGAAAAAGGTGCGTTTGGATTTTAAACGTTTTAGATGGAAAATAAGTTTTGGACGTGATGTTTTTTGTTTGTGACCGAAAATGCAAACAAACACACATAAACTAAAGTCTCCGGGATCTTTCGGGGGAGTTCTTGTTCATTGGTTTCTATTTTTTCTGTTCTATCTTTCCTCTTACTTTATTTTTTATTTATAAGTAATTATACAATGACAAAGTATGTGTATTTTTTTGTTTATATGAAATGTAATTTTATTAAAAAAGAAATGAAAATTTTGAGTGGAGTACTAAAATCAAAAATCAAAAAATAAGAAAATTTTGAGGGATGAAATATAAAATATACATTCTCCCTCCATTATTAAACATACTTTTATTTTTTATTATAGTCTGTATAAATTAAAATTTTATTTTTTTAAAAAAATAATTTTTAATTAAATATTAAAATACTTATATTTTTTATTTTTACACATTACTTTTTAAAAAATAAAATAAATATTACATTATTTTTAAAACTCGTATCTATAAAATATTAATTTTTCCTAATATATATGTAATTACATTGATAATATATACATACTTCATTGGTTCTATATTTTCTGTTTAGTTTTTTTTTTAGGCATGAAAAATTTTGGTAAATATAATTAATAAATAATTAAAAAATGTATTATTAAAATAATAATTATTATAAATAATTAAAATAAAGATAATTTTAATCTAATTAAAATTTTAAAAAATATTAATTGTAAAATTTAAAATATAATTAAAAGATATAATTAATTTTATTAAAATAAAATGAAAGAGGGAAGTACAGAGTAATATTGTGTCCGAAAATCATAATTTATAAAAGTTAATTTGACAGATAAACCCAGAATGATTGATATCGGATAAGATCTGTTTTTTGCGGGGAGCTGCAATCGTTGGTGTATTTAGCTTCGGAAGTCCTGGCCTTCAACACCCGAAATATTTAAATCCATTTTCAGCTCTGCCTCTCCAACTTCTCGTAGTTTTTCTGGTGCTTTCCAAACTCTTCCATGGCTGCCGTCGCTTACTGCTCGCTTCCACTTGCTCCTGAAACCTCCGAACGCCTCTTCAACGCCTCACCGAGGCTCGGCATCTCTTCCACTTCCAGAAAGCTCAAAGCGAACAGGCTCTCCTTCTTTCCTAGACTCTCGAGACTGCCGCCGCTCCTTCAAGGTAATCCTCGTTCCTCAATTCTGAAAATTTCGATTCCATTGCGTGTAGTTTGATTTATATGCTCCTTGTATCATTCAGTAATTTCTAATTGTAATTAGATGTTTGCTCGATTATCCACACGAAAACTGCAAAACCCTTTACCCCTTCAATATTTCAAATTTAATTATCAACTAAGCATTTTTATGAAGCACAGATTTTCTTTTAACTCAATGATTGTGAGGAAAAGAGGTTATTTGATTATTGGAAAAACTATCAGTAAGATTGGAAAGTAGTTTCAGAAGTTCTGTGGATCTTCCTATCCGTGAAGAATTTAGCTATCTTAAGCCTTTTTCATGGTGTTAATCAGGAAGAAGACGACAAACTCTTGTGCAAATCTTATACTGCAAGATAGCAACCTATGTTTACTAATCATCAATTTAGGGAATATTATCAGAAACATAGCATGATAATATGTGATCGAAAAATTCGAATTCCTGACTTGGATACATCAAATGAGATGAAGACAATGAAATTGTGAAATGTGCTTAAGAACAGCAAATGAATGTTTTGTAAGGCCATCAAAAGGAGAAGCTTCTTGATTAACTATCCAATGCTCCTGATAATGTATTACAGTCATTTTTCGTTAGTTTCATTATCGTATTTATGTGTTTTTGAGGAGTTGTCAATGTAGAGTGTTGTTTTTGATCAGTGAAGTCCAAGCCGGAGGATTCTGACTATACTCTGAGCACGACTACCTTCACCGAGTTCAATCAATTGCTTCTTCCGGTGGTAGATCGCAACCCGTATCTCTCTGAGGGTACAAAGCAGGTATTAATTACTTCATTCTTTTGTGTGTTCTTTTTCATTTCTTGCATAATTCAAATGTTCTTTGAGAATAATGTTGTCTGTCACTTGGTTGTTGTTGAGCTCAACTATTTTATATAACTTATTTCCATGGTACCATCTTAGAGATTATTGCCTTTCGTTCAAGAAATTCCTTCCTCTCTATTAATCTAAGATGTTTGGATTTTTCCGAACTCCATGATCATACCCACTCTGATCAAAACGTAACTTTTACTTGCTCAAATAACAACTAAGGTGAAGGAGGTTTTAGGGTCCCTCATAATGAATTTCGAGATGTGCTTCTTGACATTAAAAAAATAAAAAATAAAAAAATGTTGCCCCATTGCTAATGAAAAACAAGTTACTTGTGTGCAGTTGTCTATTAGTACTATGTAGAAGTAGTGTAATTGGCTAACTGAATAACTCTGAAGTGAACCATTTTTTTTGTTTTTGTTTTTAAGCTCAACTTGTTCATTACTTAAGTTTGAGTCGAATGTTAAGCAGCATCAGCTTGTAAAAACTATTCGGATTTGATTCATTGAGTGATTTTATGTTAAAGAAGCTGAGCTAAAATACTCAACCTAAGCAAGCCGATATAAGATCAAAAGAAACTATATACTTTCGGATTTTTTTTTTGACACCAGTTTACCAAATAAAAAGATTATTATCATCTCCTTAACGAACATTATCAATTGTGAATGAATTTTGAGTTTGTTCATTACTTATTGGTCAAATTGTATGATCTCTCATCTAGTTTTAACTTGCCATTCAAGTCGTGCCTGTGAACAACCTGTTCATATTACTTCATCTTTAAAAACCACCTTGACAAGGCGATTGTTGTGAAGAGATATGTATCGATGAATCTGTGTTAAGTCACTGGGTACATGAAGATATCTAACATTGAAAGAGATCTTTGTGTATTTATGAAATTAATCCTTTACGGTATGCTACTTCAAAGGATTATAGTATATATCTCAATCTTATGATTAGTATTATACTTATCTATTTTAGTAGTAATCGTTCCACTCTAATCAAATCATAATAAACATAGCTTACGATGCTTGTGCGACAATGGACTTGATATGTTCTTGTTTCTTATTGGTTGGTAGGCCACAGCTACTACTGCTGCTTTAGCAAAGAAGTATGGTGCTGAGATAACGGTCGTAGGTATGATTCCAAGTACTGGAAACCTCACTTTTCATCGACAAAGATTGCCTTCCTATTGTGGCTTTTTTATATTGGAATTATTAAACTTCCACCAATATGCTCTGTAGTTATTGATGAGAAAGAAAAGGAAACATTAACCCAGCACGATACTCAGCTAGCTAGCATTCGATGGCATTTATCCGAAGGTCAGTTTTCTATGTTTACAAATACTCCCTTCTCTTCATTTGACGCGATGCTGAAAACTACTAGCAGATTCGATTGATAGACTTTACGTTCAATTTGAATCTACTCAGCAAACAAGTATAGATGGATGCTAATATTGTTGACTATACAACAATTACCGAGGGCTAAAAATGCGTGGAGCTTTAACTGATGTAACTTGGATTCAAATTGAAATCCTAACGTAAAGTGTGGGATCAAAATTCGTCCCGGATTCACTCAGTTAGTTCTTACGTTGAATGAATCGATGATGCAGGGGGTTTCCAAGAATTCAAGTTGTTGGAGCGACTCGGGGAAGGGAACAAGCCAACTGCCATAATCGGAGAGGTTGCCGATGACATGAACATGGATTTGGTGATAATGAGCATGGAGGCAATCCACTCCAAAAAAGTGGATGCCAACCTGCTGGCCGAGTTCATTCCCTGCCCCGTGATACTCTTACCACTCTGATTATGGGGGTTCTGGCTTTCGATTTTTTTTTTTTTTCATCACGACACCAACCATGATCCGGAGACCACCACCGGAGAAACTACTGCTTTGGATTATGATTAAGTTAGAAAGTCGGTCGAGTCGAGGGGGGAATTGAACTGTAATCGTGGTTTGTCTAGACTAGTCATGTGTGTTAGCTATGCCTATGGCTTGATTTGAAACTCCATGGCTGGCTTTGGAAGGGGAGTCGTTTTTGTGTATACATGTTTTGAATGCAGAAATGGGCATGCATTTTGTTTAAAAATAAAATAGGCACTTTTTGAGTTTTATTTTTTATTTTTTTTTTTTTTTTTTGATGATATAGGAACCATTGCAGCTACTTTTCGAGATGATTCACAGCGAACTAGATGTAGCAAGTCTAACTTAAAAGACACAAGAGGCTTGAACTCATAATCTCCGCTTGAGCTCATTTGAGCTTTTAATTATGTCAAAGTTTGTTCCTTTTCGGTGTTTAGAGAAATTTTTACTGGTTGGAATTTTTTTTATTTATAAAATATTATATTAAATACTATTTTAATAGAAAACCTAAACCTTCAAACCTAACCCAAAAGAGAAACACAAACGCAACTTAAGCCTTTTACACAGTATCGATTAAATTTGTACTCTAAACTTACCATATACTCCCTTCGTCCACATTAAAAAAAAAAAAAAAAAAAAAAAAGTAGAAAAAGTAAAAAAAATAAAGTTCAACATTAAAAAAAGTAAAAAAAAAATAATAATAATTAAGAGTATTTTTGAAAATTTGGTTGTAAATAAATATAGAAGGAAGAGTAATTATTAAATATAATTATTTTTTTTTTTTCAAATTAATGTGGTAAATTTAATATACCTATGAAAAAAGTAAAAATAAATTTGGTAGACAGAGGGAGGAAGTTTAAATAAAAACTAATCTCTTTATATATATATATATAAATATTTTAAATATAAAATCATACAAAACATTACATTTAAATTTCGATATTAATATCAAATTCACTCAAACAACTGACGGCCTATTTAATGCGTTCGAGTCAAGTAATGTGGGCTACGCAACATTTGGACCTGATTGTGATCCGTCGCTAAAATAGATTCATGGATGCGTATTTCTATTACTAAAATATAACAATTAAGATACATTTTTTTTTCCATATTAAATAGCATAGTCTCTCTATATGTTCCTTCTTTATACTTATCTTAAGCACAACTGGGCTTTAATTTGGGCATAGTGGAAGTCCCAAGTAGGCCAATATGAAGCACACAACAAGTAAATTCACAGAAGACATATAAATATAAAGAGCAGAGAAAAAGAAAGAATAATAATCAGAAAGAGTTGTAATTTATATTGTAATTAAAGTACTATATTTTTTATTATTATTTATTTTAAACCTGGCAAAGGCATATATATATATAACGCTTGAAGCAACATGGTGTAAGGAAAAGGGTGAATATTGTTAGAAGAAAATGAATGTCAGAACATGAAGACGTGCATTGGAATTCAGTCAGTAGTTAAGTTGACACCAAACGGTTGTTGCAAACGTAACTGGTGCCACCATGCACACACGACAATTATTAATTAAAAAAAAAAAAAAAAACAGATTCAGGCTCTGAGTGACATAAAACTTTCATAAGCAATAATAAGAATACTTAAATCAAATCAGAAACTTTGCTCAAATAGCTACAATAATTTAAGTGATAGACCATAAAGGTAGAAAAGCAATTTGAATGCCAAACAGTGCAGCAGGCAGCAGCTTCTTATCTCAAGTAATATATGTATACTGGATTATTATTTACGTGCTTTGGAAATCACTATATATATAGGTATATATATATATGTCATCGTTTACAGTTGCCATATCTTACTCAATTCATTCATCTATAGCCATTTCTAAGTGACGCTAATTACACTTATCCTATATGTATTCATGGAAAGAATCATATTCAGTTTTGAAATTATCAATTTTAACCAGTTTGAAACCCGAGTTTAATCCCCAAAAAATCAATATGGATTGGAAAGAGGGAGGAGCAGATAAACTCACAGTTTTTTTTTATTAGTCTTAATTCGGTGGTGTATCTTCAACGAGGTAGCGCTGCACCAGCCATGAGACGCTCCTCCTCAGTGAGAGAGTGGCGGAAATGGCAGCGGTGGCCGTACGGGCAGATGTCTCCCGCGAGCACCATGCGGCAGACCTCAGTCTTGTAGCGAGGATGCCTGATCACAGGTCGGAGTTCTTTGATACCGTGAGCGAACTGGCAATTCTCCCCGTACGGACACGCTCCTGTTTCCTGCCACTTGTTGCATAGCTCCGTTTTGAACATTCCTTGGTTGTACACGTCGAGTTCGACTGCCTCTTCTTCCTTTTTGGTCCCTGCAGCAGCTGTTGGTATGTACACTCTCTGCTGCCATCAACGTTCAGCATCAGAGAAGTCAGAATCGCAGTGCCACCATTATTGTGGATGTAATTAGATATGCATCTTGTACCAGAAAACAGTACAAACAACATAAGTTCCGCGATCAATTAATCAATCACCATCAGGCATTATATACTTGCAGAAACGGATAGTAAAGATTAGATGAAATTACGCAAAACTGAATCGATGCCTGATATTAGGCGCTACTTTGATATATGAAAAAAGTCATAGGACATTGGACAATTCCAATTTCTAATTCGGAGGAAATTTATTTATGCTTCAGCAGACGGTTATATCTCCAGTTCTCTAGCTTCAAATCTAGTTGTGATCCATCATGTTCTCTTCGGATTTCAACATTTGAAATGTCGAACTCTGTTAAAAGAAATATTAGAAAATGTGTGTCACTCCTCGCATTTTCTGATAATCGTTTGGAATTTATTCATTCAAGTTTAATCTAACGCGACAGTACAAATAACCACCACTATATGCAAAAAATTTGACGTGAGCAAGTGAAAATTAGTAGTAAAATGGCGCATTAGAGATCAAATTCGCGTACTCACCGATGCAGCAGCGGACTGACACTCTGCTTTATGGCCGCTAGTTTCACGACCGTGTCGAGACATCCTCAGATAATCACTGGAGCGCACCGAGATGCTCTTCGGAAGCGAGATTCGCTCGGAACTCCTCCGCTCCACACGATTATGTTCAGAAAGAGGTTGAGTTCCAGCAACGTGATAGCCAAGCTGACCAGCGGCGGGGGGTGAAGCAGAGGGAGAGGCAACGCTCAGGCGGTTGAGCTCAGACAAGAGACGGTCACGAGAGAAAAGCAACGCGATGCGGCGAGAGAGATCAGCGTTGGACATACGTAGAGACTCATTCTCGCGACGGAGCGCTTCAACCTCCTCAACAGAGTCGTGAAGCCGAGCAATACATAGCTTATAGCGGTTGTAAAGCTGCTGATACTCCAGAACACAGCTAGCATCCTGGAGGCGGCGATCGGTGTCGCCGCCGTCGTCGAAGGACGCTGTCTCAGTCGGAGAACTCGAGTAGCAGTTCTGAAAAAGCGACGTGTAGAACGAGGCGCCGGAGTTCACATAGCTCGGAGACGTCGGCGACAGGAACGGATTTCCGTCAAAAAATTGCAGCGGCGCCTCCTCCTCGGCGGAGGACTTATCCCCCGCCGCGAGACCGTCGTACGAATAATCCTCCTTCTGCATCTCTGCCGCACTACTGGAGACGGACGCCGCACAGTCAGTGCGCATATATACACACAAAAGACGCGCGCAATCCCCTGCGGTGCGGGTCCACCGTAGCGAATACACCGCGAATTTTCAGCCGTCGATCTTAATTTGCTTGGAGTTGAATCAATGGCCGATCGAGGGCCGAAACTTAGTGTAGGTGGCCCCCCTATACTGTTAGATCTGAAAACCGTTAGGGTAACAGAACGGGTGGGACAGCGAGGTACCTATAGTGCCAGGCTATACACACACGGTTAGTTGAAATTTTTATAAGGAATGTTAAAATTAATTATTTATTTAATTTATTTAATTAAAAAATAAAAAATAAAAAAAATAAAAAGTAACGTGGCATGGAAGAATAGTAAGGTTAAGTAATGAGATAAAGAAAGGGTTTGCTTCAAATGGTCAAGAAAGCATAATTTTATCAACCACAATCATTCAATTTTGTTACATATGGTTGCTTCTTTGGTACAATTTTAACTAATTTATTCATCTCATCTGACTATGAGAAAGGTCAGAATTCAATCAATATTATTTATTTGATATGCTGATATATATATAAGTATGATTTATAATTTAATTTATAATAATTGATTGATTGATTGATTGATTGGATATATATATATATATGTTTGTGATACGTGCATGAAATATTATGTAATTTGGTATTTTGGTTATTTTCATGTTTGTTTGTATGTCGGGGAAGCATTCAATTATTCCACCGAATATATGAGTTTGTTGGAACGTTGCTAGCCCATATATGTTTATATCGCTCTAAAAAAATATATATGGTGTGTTTGATTTAAATTTCAAATCAAAATAATTTTAATAAAAATACATTATTATTTTTTACAAAAATATTATAATAAAGTACTCTTTTCGTCCCACAATGGGTGTCTTGGTCACTGTGGACACGAGAATTTATGATAAATATAATTAATAAATAATTAAGAATGTATTAGTAAAAATAATTAACCTATAATATAAATCATTATAGATTAAGATTAAGATAACTAATTAGTTTAATTAAAATTTAAAAAAAATTAAATTAGAAAATTTAAAATAAGATTAAGATGGGTAATAATTTTCAAAAAGAAAAAGTGGCATGAGATGTGTGACAGACATAAATGGCAATATAGACATGGTAAGTGGGATGGAGGGAGTATTGTTTAATTAGATATTTTTGAAGGAATTTTTAATATAAATTCTTCAAAACTCCTAAATAAACACACTCATGATAGTCAGTTAATATTCATTCTAACCCAATTAAATAATTTATACTTCCTCTGTCCAGCTAATTTGTTGACTTTAGCTTTGACACACAGAGTTTTAGGTATTGTGTAATTAGTATATAATTAAAAATAATATTAGTAAAAATAATTACATATTAAGATTATGACGACCAATTAATTTAATTTAATTTAATTAAAAAAATATATAAATTATAAACTTTTAAAAATATGATTAAAATTTATAATTATATTTCCAAAAAAAATGACATTATATGGGACGAACTAAAATAAAAATAGTAGATAAATTATATAGGACGAAAAGAGTAATTTTTAAATATTATTATATATAGGTATAAACATTACACTATTAATACTTAGGTAGCAATATATATAACCATATAGTTCCTCTATTTAAGTGTAAGATATACATTCAATTTGAAGAAATAATATTATTTTAATTGTAGTGAATAATTAAAAGTAGTGTAAATATTATTTTACCCTTAATTTTTAATATAAAAATAATAATATAATGATAAAATATAAATATTTGTAAAAAGAAATGGAATCATAGTTATTAAATATATATATATACACTTTAATTGATCACTTGTAAAATAAATTGAAATATTTAGAGTCTTATTATATATATATATATATAAACAACACATTGCTTATATTCAGTGACAAAATTAGCATCTAAATTTCGGGGGCAAAATATTATAATTTATTCAATATATAGCTAATAAATTTAAATAAATAATAATGACAAAATTATACTCCCTCCGTCTCATATCTATATATCAATTTGCTTTTTGCACAGAGTTTTAAGATAAAGTAAAATAAAGGTAAAAAGACTAAATTAACCCTATTAATATTGTATGATATAAAGGCAATGACATTTGTCTAATATATTGTAAATTGGAAGGGTATAGATAGTACAATTACTAAAAAAAAAAGAAATTGATACTTTGTTATGGACAGACCAAATGAAAAAATGAATAGATTGTTAAAGGACGGAGGGAGTATATGAATTTACATAGTTTTGGGGAAGGGGGAGCAAATTGTATATAAATACATAAAAATTAATATTTTTAATATTAAAAAAATCATCAAAAATTTGGCTTGGGGTCCAATTAATCCTCCAAGTTCTATTGTAGTTTCGTCCCTACTTATATTTAGTCAACACTATATAGTTATATATTACTCCCTCCGTCCAACTAGAAAGTATACACATTTTTATTTTGGGACGTCCAATTACAAAGTAAACATTTCATTAAATACTTCATATACCAAAAAGTAAGGGCAAAAATGTCATTACACTATTTTTAACTACCCGCTATAATTAAAATACTATTATTTCTTAACCATCGTGCCAAAAGTAAATGTATACTTTATCCGTGGAGGGAGGAAGGACATGATTAATATTAATTTAACATTTAGTTGGTAGAATAATTTAGAATATTTAGATTTAATATTATTGTATTAATTTAACATTTAGTTGGTAGAATAATTTAGAATATTTAGATTTAATATTATTGTATATATACAAATAACACAATGAGTTTGTTTGTTTAATCATGATATAATTAGCAATATATACAATATATATTTTATTATTTAATGAAAAATTAATATTCAATATATAATATTATCTTTTTATTATCGGATTTCATACTTCATATAAAAAACTTACCACAAACTAAAATATTACACAAACACATCCACTGTTAGTTTTTAGTCGAGGGTAAACTGTTTTTTTAGTCCCGTAACTGGACCCTTTTATCATTTTAGTCCCGTAAGTGGAGCATGTCGCAAACTAGTTCCATAAGTGAAAAATTTTCGCTGTTTTAGTCCTCCGGCGCTGGAGACGCCCGCGTGGCTCGCCGGAGGTGACGTGTCCGCCAGGTGTCCAGCCAGGTCAGCGACACCTGGCGGACACGTGCATTTATTATTATTTTTTGTTTATTTTTAATTTTTTTTAATTGGACCAAATAAAAAAATACAAATAAAATTAAAAATAAGTTTTTAAAAATGAAAAAAAAAAAAAAATCACGTATCCGCCAGTTATGGGACTAGTTTGCGACAGGCTCCACTTACGGGACTAAAAAAACAGTTTATCCTAATACATATTACTTAGCATTCATTCAATACATATTACTTAGATACCTTAAAATATTTAGATAACAATAGGTATATAGATATGCAAACAACATAGCATTAACATTTAAGCGTCATATATGGTTCATCTAGTGTAACTTATCTTGTCGGACCTAGTTTGTAAGATATTAGATTCGGTCGAAAATTTATCCAGTGTGTTTCGGATAATGACTGCGTGTTCCCACGTTATAAAAAATATATATATAATTACTAAAATAATTTATTATTATTGGATAGAGGGAATATATTATTAATAAATTTTTATTGAATCAGGTCAGTAAGGTTGTATTTGAATTTTTTTTTTCGTTTGCCATGTAACAATCTAATGAAAATTTGTAAACTCTTCTTGTAAGACATCATATTCAAGTGTATTTACATATATATTTTTCTATAATTTGGGTACTAATTGGGGGTGTTTGTTTGGGAATTCTCCCCAAATTTTACTATTCATCAATTTATTTTTTTTTTAAAAGATATCAAATTAAATATTTATTTTTTATTTTTTATATTATACGAAAAATTAATTTTATATTCAAAACACCACATCAACACATATTTATATCACATCATACCACTATTCTATTTCAAAATTTTTACTATTTAAAAATCTCAACTCAAAATTCAAACCCCCAAATAAACACACCCTAATCAATGTTGGTATTTTTTTTAAAAAAAAAAAATATAACATCAATTATATATATATATATTATTTTAAATTCTATATTAAACATTTTATATATAACATCCGATCCGGTTCATACTACCATATTTATTTTATATTTAAATAGTTATTAAATATGATATATTTTTATAAATTTTCGTTATTCAATTGTATTCTCATTTGAGCACAAATTTAAAAAATAAATAAATAACAATAAAAATTTTATCTTTTAAGATAAAAAAAAAACAATATTTTTTTACTTAAAAAAAAACTTAGATGATAAAAAAAAGTGAAAATAAATTTAAACAATACAAAGAATAATAAATAATACTCCCTCCGTCCCACATACCATGTCCACGTTGCCGTTTTTGTCCGTCCCACGTACTAAGTCACTTTCTTTTTTGGAAATGATTACACACTTTAATCTCATTTTAAATTTTTTAATTTTATTTTTTTTAATTTTAATTAAACTAATTAGTTATTTTAATCTTAATTTATATTATAATATAATTATTTTTACTAATACATTTTTAATTAGTAGTATCTACTAATTACATCCTTCTAAAAGGGAATAATAGTTATATAGTAAATATTTTATTCTAACAGTAATTAACGAACTGGACGGTCATAAACCGTAGAAGCGCGTTTCAGAAACCAGCGTTTTAGAAAAAGCGTAACTGCGGCGGCAGCGCTATTTATTGTGGCCGAGTTCCAGAGAAGGAGCGAGGGATTTGTGTATCTCGAGAATCAGTCGGTTCTCGAACTCACTTCTCGAATACGGCACGCGCGCCTCACGTGCGTTGGGGATCCTCTTCATCCCCAGGACGCCGGCGGTGGCGTTGCGGTTGCGATTGCGATTTCCGGCGAGTCTCAGCATCATCTTCACGTAGGCATTCCTGAATCTGCACCAGAGCCTGCGCGGTGACAAGGCAACCGCCGCCCTGACCCTGAAACGACGTAGTTTTAGGATCCGCTTCCGCGGCCGCTCTGCGCCGCCGAGTTTGATGCTGCTTCTGTTTCCTATGGCTCCTCCCCTCATTATTTATATTATTTTTATATTGTTCGTCGAATATATATTAGGGTAAAAGGAGATAAGCTTTCGATCATGTTGGGAAGGGAATTGGTGTAAATGACAGTTTAGCCCCTGGAAACCGTTAGGGATATTGACTGTATTGATAGTGCTGGTGACGTGGCAGCGCCGCACAAGCCGGAGGGAAGAGGTGAGTGACGGCTTGGCGGCTCGGGTTTTATTATGCTTAACTGTTAGTACATTTTATGGTCCCCATAATTAAATTTGTGTTCTTAAGGATAAGGTTGGAATATGAGTTTTGACAATGAATTGTTAGTTATGGGTTGACATTCAATTAGTTATTATTTGATTTAATTAGATAAAATAGTTATTTGATAGTAATTGTTTAAATATAAAACGATAACTAAAAATATTTATACTTATATATATTATATTAAATATTAATTAATTTATTATTTTACTAAAATTATAACTTAAAATATCTCATTTTATTTTCTAATATAAATATGATAAAAAAAATTATCTATAAATAAATATGTATATAGATATAGATATAGATATAGATATATATATTTAAAATTTATTACTTCATCCGCTCCGAACGAAAGTATACATTTGAGTTTTTATAAGAGATTAAAAAATAATATTTTATTTAGTTAGTGAAATTATGTAAGATAATTTGGATAATTTTATCTTATATATATATATGTAATTGTATACTTGTAATTTATGCAAAAATTAAATATATTTGGTATTGATCGTAATTGTTTTAATTATAATAAAAATAAATATTTAATTATGACAAACAAAAATAGTAAAAATTGTATAATATTAATTTATGCTAATTATGTATATATTTGTATTATGTAGTAATTTTATTTTACAAAATAATATATATTAAATATATTTATTGAGCTATGATTTTTAAAATACTTTAATATATATTTTAATTTTTTATAATCAAATACATATTATATCATAATTAAACCATCAATCAAACAACATTACAATTAAATCAACTTAACTGAACTTTCCACTAAAAATCAAACAAATTTTTTTAATTTCTCCCCGTCTTCAAGAATGTCAATGAGTGGTCAACGGTTTGAACTACATCTCATCGGCCTATGAACCAAATATACTTAACATTTAGAAGTGAGAAATAAAGTATTACCATTCGATCATATAATGTGTGTTCGTTTTTTATTGAGAAAGAACTAAATGTTGTGTACGAACAATGTAATGCAAGTCAGAAAATTTTACATAAAATGCAAATTTTTGTTTACACAATATATTCCGGTGATAGCGGCGATTTTAGTATGCTCTCGTCTTCGTCCATAACCATATCAACGATCTCCAACTTTTCCTCGTTCAATTCCTCATTCTGAATCGCTTTTAGTGTTTGCAACACTTCTTCCATCGACGGCCTCATATCCTTGTCTTGTTGTAGGCACCGAAAGGCCAATTCTGCGACTAATGTGACCGTCCTTTTCAGAACACCACTCGTCTCAAATCCAATATTGGGATCAACTAGCTCGTGCAATTCTCGGTTCAAAATCTTGGACACCGCCATATTTGAAAGGTTTATATCCCGGCGTTGCCTATTGGTATCCACGGCTTGCAGTGATGATATAAGCTCAACCAATACGACTCCAAAACTGTACACGTCGCTCTTCTCTGTGACTTGATAGCATTGATAATACTCGGGGTCCACGTAGCCCGGGGTTCCTTGCGGGGCCGTGGACACGTGAGTGACATTGTTAGGAAACAATCTTGATAATCCGAAATCAGCTACTTTTACGTGAAAGTTTTTGTCCAGAAGAATATTTGTTGTTTTTACATCACGATGGATGATATCTGATCTATGGAGATATGCCAAGGCATCGGATGTTTCGATGGCAATGTTGAGCCGAATAGGCCAAGAGAGTAGGCCTACCTCGCCACGCTTCCCGTGTAAATGATCGGCCACCGTTCCATTAGGTATGTATTCGTAAACAAGCAAGAGTTCTCGACTTTTCCTAGAAGTGTATCCGTACAATGTGACAAGGTTTGTGTGCCTCAATCTAGTTAATATCTCGACTTCATTCGTGAATTGCTCCACGCGCTTGAAACCATGCTCGTATAACCGTTTGACCGCAACCATCCGACCATCGGATAACACCCCTATATTAATTATAAATAGAGAAAGAAAAAAAAAAGAAAAGAGAAAAATTACGTTAAAAAAATATAAATATATTTAAAACATTACATCTCGCAACTATATTTTATTTAAAATAATATATCTGATATTTATTTCCTATTCAAAATTTCACTCTTTCAAAAACAAGAAAATATTTCTAAAGCACAATTAAAATGCACTCTAGATTTTTCGTGTATCATTAAAAGTAACGATGAAACAATATAAGTAAGCATAATCGTAATACCTTAAATTTTTTTTTTTTTAATTTTTTATCTTTCTTAAGTTTAAAAATCCTCATTATATACTCTCTTTGTTCACTAGTAAATTTCTTATTTGTCATTTTAGTTTGTCTGAATCAAAATTTCGTTTTTTCTTTAAAAGTAACACTCAACTAAATATCAAAATATTCTTATTTTTTATTTTTCACATTATGGTCAAATGAATATTATATTACTTTATTACATTGTATATCTATAAAAAATACTAATTTATCTTAATTCGCGTGTAAATCAAATAAAAAATTTACTATTAACCAAAAGAAGTAACATAGTAGCCCAAAAATATTGAGTAAAAGCAAAACATGCCTACCATAATATACGGTACCAAATGCACCATATCCGAGTTCCCTTGAAGGATCAAAATTACCGGTGGCTTGTTCAAGTTGCGCATAGTTGAAAAGTTTCACGCCACGACACGACGACATTTCCGTCCCGCGATGTGGATCGACCAACGATGCGACGCCGCCGGAATTATCCCAAGGGATGGATGATGGTGTTAAGGCTTTGGTTGGAGGTGAAAAGGAAGATATGTTTTCACCCTTGGTAATAATTTGGGGTGAATACGCGACACGACGTCGTTTCTGTTGCTGCTTCAGACACGAGAATATCGACCACCCTACGGCAATAACGCCCAACACTGCTCCCGCTACGTAAAGGCCTGCATATACCCGTACGGCCATACGTACATCCACAACTCGATAATTACGCTATTTAATTTAAATATTAATTATATATATATAATTATCCAATTATTAATTGTTACCGATATTTCTTCCCGTACTGGGATGATGTCCATCGCTAGCTGAAACTGAGACAAAATAAAAATTGGACTTATTATATATATAATTAAAATAAATAAAATAAACTAGCAATAAAGTCAACCAATGATTTATAACTAATATTTTAGATGAGCCGTTGGGAGAAGCTCCTCACTCACCTAATCTTCTTTTTAAAAATAAATAAATTTAAAAACTATTAAGTTAAATATTTATTTTTAATATAAAATATTATATTAATTAAAAAAAATTACACAAAAATAAAGCACTATTCAAATTTTATATTATAATCTGCTCCAATCCCACACAATTAGACATAGTGACAACTACCCGTGGAATGGGTTTAATTTCCATTTTAAAATAACATATCATTGCTTTAATATACTATTATTTAAAAGTTCGAACAGCCACACAAATTAATCAGTATAAATATTTAATTTAATTAAAGATAGTAATTAGACAATTTTATAAATTAAAACTTGAATACTCCTTTATATATATAAGAATAAAAGACAAGGTCTCCAGACTATTAGATTGACAAGCATTTTCGAGTAACAACTGCAGGTTCTACGTAAAAAAAAAAAAAAAAAAAAAATTAAAAATAATATTTTTTTAAAAAAAAATTGTAACACATACCGTCACTGGTATTATTGAGCTCCGGCGACAGCGGCGGCATCGGAGCCGGCAAAGTACGGTACTCCATCCGACAAGTGTTGGCAGTGTACGGTGGATCGGGGCAGAAACACACGGTCTGATTAACGTAACCGCACCGGCCCCTCGACGCCGTGCAGGAGGTGCAAGCCTGGCCGGCGCCGCCAATTTTCCATCTGATCAGGAACCCCTGCCGGAGAATTCCTACAAATTCCGTTCCGTTCAACAGCCCTTCTCTCGGACCGTTCACAGGCCCGGGAACAACGACGCTGGCGTTGCACTTACCGGGGCCGTATTCCCCGGGGACAATGTGCGCAACGATGTTGTCCCCACACGAAATGTTGTGGGGACCACCGAGGCCCAGGCATCCGTACAAGAATGTGTAGTTCATGTAGGGACCGGCATAGTCGAAGACCGAGTAGTCGAGGGTCGTGTTGGTCATTTTCGTCGGGCAAGTGTCGATCCCTATCGAGAAAAATAGAAGTTAAAATGTAACAGAAGTTAATGGCTCGAGCTTTTATGAGTAAAACAAATATTGATTCAAACTCAAATCTAAGTTTCGAGCTGTATCTAATATTTATTAGTTTTTTTTTTTTTTTTTTTTTTTGTTCAAATTCAAAATACTCTTTTTATCACTTTTGTTAATCTCATTTTCAAGTATTCATTTCATTTTTTTAAAAAAATAACTGTTTACTAATACTGAAATACCTTTAACTTTTATTTAAATTATAAAGATACAATTACACATACAATTACTTTGTACGTAAAGTCAAATTATAAAAATCCTTAGGTACTTCCACTAACCAATAAAATATTACTCCCTCCGTCCAATTTTGTCCTAGAGTATATTTACACAGTTTTTTAGATAATTATTTTTTTATTATATATTAACAAATTTATCATTTATAGTAAAATGGAGATTTAAATTGGTAAATGATTGAAAAGGTAAAAAGGTAATTTTGTGTTTAAAAATAAAAATAAGACAATAATTGTTCAACGACCTAAGTAAAAAAATATGGCATTAGTTTGTAAATGAAAAGAATATTATTTTTTAATTTATCTCCAAAAGACTCATTTGAATTGAAACAAATAGTGTATAATATATAATAAAAACATAAAATTATTTGAGTTATCTTCTCTAACTCAACTTTTACGACAATTCTACTCACTATACTTCATTAAACACTCGATAAACAAATTGTTTTGAAATTTCAACTTTACCACCGATCATAATATCCTCGCGGACAATCCTCATAGTTTGAGCAGACGGGTCGATTTCAAGGACTCGGAAATTCATTCCAAGGATATCGATGTTGGTGATGTTTGTCTGATAATTACATGATAGGACGAATCCGGGATAGCCACAATACGAAGGGTCATCGCGACCAACGAAGGGGTAGCCGACGCCGGAAATGGTGGCGCCGCACGTGAACATGTTGCCACACGTGTGGTAGAATTGGTCGGGTCGGGTCGACCCAGTGGAGAATGGAGAAAAAGAGAGAAGAAGTAGCCATGGAAGTATGGATGCAGAAAGATCCATGTTTGGACGAAGACTTACTAAGCATTGATATTGATATAGTAGGAATGGTAGTTGGATAGAATTAATCAAAATTAATATTTAATTAATCTATACTTTTTTTTATTTATTTATTATTGAAACCACTATGATCAAATCAACTTATTATATTATAGTGGTTCTAGTTTAAAATTAATTTAGAATGAATAGTTTATTTGAATTTTTTATTTAAATAATATTTTGATATAATAGTTTATTATATTTGTTTTACTTAATTTGTCTATTTTTTCTATATTTCAGTTTGTCTTTATTTTCTTTTTTAAAAATATAATTATATATTTTAATTATATTCTAAAATTTATAATTTATAATTTTTTTATTTTAATTAATCTTAATTATTTTTATTAAATCATAATTATTTTTATTAATATATTTTTTAATTATTTACTAATTACTCAATAATTAAAAATTCGTGCATAACTTAATTGGGACAAAATAACGACCGGGGAGTAATATATATTTTTTTGTTGAAAATTGTGCAGAATATTTAAATTTAAAATAGTAAAAGGAGAAACTTAATTGAATGTATCATTTAATTAATGGGTCAAGAATGTGTAGTTGTAGTGTATTTGTCAATATATATATATATATATATATTCGATAAGACTTAAAAAATACAATAAAATAAAAAAAATTAAAATATAATTCCCAGAGGTTGTTAGTTCAGTTGTCACTCACGAGGATATTATTAAAACAGGCATTTAAATTTTCTACTAATACTATTATTATTATTACACCAAAATTTACAATATTATGTGTTTGTTTGTTTTTATTTTAAATAAAAAATATTTTTATTCAGTCTATATAGTTTTAATAAAAATGTATTGTTATATTTTATATAATATTATATTTAAATATTGTTTTAATTAAAATTAAAATAAAATATTCAAACTCAAATAAAAAAATAAATAAACTCATAATAATCTACAATTTTACAGTTAATTTTTTTTTTTAATCATATATATCATAACTCATATCTAATATATATTATCCGGGGTGTGTTTGTTTGGGGGTTGAATTTTTGAGTTGGAATTTGAATAGTAAAAATTTTGAATTTGAATAGTTGTGATATAAATAGGTGTTGATGTGATGTTTTGAATGTAAAATTATTTTTTAGTATAATATAAAAAATATTCCCTCAGTCCTGGATATTTTGTCCGCATTACTGTAGACACGGAAATTTATGAGGGGCATAATTAATAAATAATTAAAAATATATTAGTGAAGATAATTATCATATAATAAAAATAATTATAGATTAAGATAAATATAATTGATTAGTATAATTAAAATTAAAAAATATTATAAATTAAATTTTTAAAAATAAGATTAAAGTATATAATTATTTTTCAAAAAAGAAAAGTGACAAAATAAATAGGACGGACGGAAATTGAAAGATAGACATGAGAAGTGGGACGGACGGAGTAAAAAATAGGTGTTTGATTTGATGTTTTTGGAAAAAAAAATTGAATGAATAGTATATTTGGAAGAGAATCCACCAAACAAACACGGGTTTGTTCGTTTGAAGGATTTTAACAAAATCCTACTAATCATCCAAAACTTTTTCCCAAAAAACATCAAATCAAACACCTATTTTTTATTTTTTATATTATACTAAAAATAAATTTTACATTCAAAACATCGCATCAACATCTATTTATATCACATCATACTACTATTTAAATTTAAAATTTTTACTATTCAAATTCAAACTCAAAATTCAAACCACCAAACAAACACAGCTTTCAATGTATTTAGATTAAAACATCATTATTAAAATTCAAATTTTTGTTACTAACTCCAATAATAACTGCCAGTGTCCAAATCAAACTTTTTCTTGAAAATTTAAAAACTTGAAATTTGGGGGAAAAAAAAATGTAAAATTGTGAATGATTGGTACTTAAATTCACGCCTGCCTTCAATCCCATTTATTTTTGCAACAAATAAAATAGCATATGATAAAATCATTACAATTGTTTGGATCCATTATTATTTTGCATCCTTTTCTGCTGACAATTTTTATGCTTTAATTATAACATCATACTTTCTATCTAGCATACTCCCTCCGTCCCGTCCCATATAATATGGGTGTATTACCGTAAACACAGAAATTTAGGTAAAATATAATTAGTAAATAATTAATAAGTGTATTAGTAAAAATAATAATTATTTAATAAAAATAATTATAGATTAAGATTAAGATAAGTAAATAATTTAATTAAAATTAAGAAAATTTAAAATTTAAAATGCCATTAAAGTGCATAATTATATTTTCAAAAATAGAAATGACAAGTTATGTGAGACGGACGAAAATAAAAAACAGGGACAAATTATGTGGGATTGAGGGAGTATTTTTTTAAATTGTTTACTCGAGTTCCATATGTATTATTTGATTTAATTTTTTAAAAAATTAAGTCATACTGTATTGTTATTTTTAATAAAAATATATTATTTTTTAATAAATTACCACTCGAACTATTATTTAAATATAAATTAAATGTATTTAAATGTATTTTCTTTTGTGTTATAATAATAATAATTTTTATTATTATTTTACTAAAGTCACGAGCCATTTGGATTTGAAAAGAGATTTAAAATGTAAACTTGAAATTCATCAAAAATGTTAAAACCTCTCGTTTGACTATATTAAGATTTGTAGAGGTATTTTAAATACTTCTTAAAAATTATTATTATATTTGGAATTTTTTAATTTTGTAGAAATTATTTTAAAACTATATGTTATAAATGTTTAGAAAAATTGTACAGATATGCTGACCAAAAAGAAAAATATACTTCTTCCCTATGACAAAATAAGGTTAATATTCTATTTTTTGGTTTTTGTTTTCTTTTTTTTTTTTCTAAAAATTTATGCATATTTTATTTATAGTAAAATATTTTATCCATCTATAATTTCATTGTCACCCAATTAACTTGCTAATTTAAAAACTAACAAAAAAAAAAAGCAATCAAATGACACACAAAAAAAAAAAAAAGAAACATTTTAAAATGACTTACCATATATTTCAAATTAATACAAAATCAACTTTCAAGTTCCTTGTGGATTTGAAATCCACTTTATCCAAATATTGTACTCCTCCGTCCCGTTGGAAGGGTGGTGTTTGCTTTTTACATGTAGATTTTTAAAATTAGTATTATATTGGATTGTAGTAAAAAAGACAAAAATACCCCTATTAGTATGGTGTAATATAAAAGTAATGACATTTGTGTAATATATTGTAAGTTGAAAGGGTATTTATTATGTAAAGTAGGTAGTACAATTACTAAATTAGGAAATGGTAATCTTGTTTTGGGACAGACGAAAATGAAAAATTATAACATTTCAATGGGACGGAGAGAGTATCAAATTTGGTCAATTGACTTGAAACCATTTGCACCTCAAATACCTTAATCGAGACAAGTTCTTGAGTTCTTATATTCATAATTTATTTTATATATATACAAACTATTATATATATATATCTAAAAAATATCAAAATATAAAAAATAATAAAAATACGTAAAGATTAAAAAAGATGTATTATAAAGTCATAAAAAAGACATAAATGTGTACAATAATTTTATATTAAAAAAAGATGTACATAAAGTCATAAAGAAAATCAAATTGATGTGTTTGTTTGTATATTTTGGTCAGAATCATTACTATTCATAAAATATTTCTACTACATTGTTAAATTAAATATTTAATATTGAATATTTAATTTTTAATTTTTATATTATATTATTAAAAATTAATTTTACACTTAAAATACTGTACCAACATAATATAACGACACATACTTACATAAGAAAAAGTATATATTTTTGGAAAGATCAAAATGTGTCAATACATGGAAACACACACCCCAACCTGTTTAAGTGCAGGTGCAAAGGAAAATTAATGAATCTTTTTTCAAACTATTTTATGAGGTTGTTTATTTAACTATACGACGGATAGAGTATAATTGTGAGTATGTTTGAAAGTGTATTCTTGAGAGAAAAAATATTGTTCGAAACTCTAACCATTGTTCCTCCTAATCTACATGTTTTGAACCAGTATTTTTCATTAAAACTCACCAGAGGAGTTTCTAGAGAGTGGAGTAATCAAAATTAGATAAGATGACCAAGCTCTGAGTTGCCTTACTCTATGGTTGTTGTCGGTACATGTATGTGACAACCAAAGCATATAGAGGTATTTTCCAAGGTTAGCCATTGTAGAAAAATGGGTTGAAGAAGTTTGTGGTTGTTTTGTTATGTACTTAATATTGATTATAGTTGAACTACTCCTAAATTGTAATCCTCCAAATGTATTTATAACGGAACTAGATTGTCAAATACCTTGTCTCAATAACTGCTTTGGATTTCTACATTTATTTCGTTGGCAGTAGGTTGTTGTAATTGTGAGATAACAATACTATGGAGAGTTGACCCCTTTGTTGGTGTTAGACAAAAATTTGGCTGAGCCCTATTTTCCAACAAACACCTACAATATTGACGTGTCACAACAGTTATTTTTATTTAACTTTTGCGTTTTTGTTCTATTTTACTCTTTATATTATTATATATTGGGAAGATACAACAATGACTATTATATATCGATTCTTAATCAGAGTTATATTTAAAATCAAGATTATCTCCGAGGTGTGAAGAGGGCAAACTCCTTGAAAAGTCCTACTACTATGATAGGTGACTGCATGGAAAGTCTTAGTACTAGGATGTATGACCCGCAGGAAAATAGATGCCGTGATCGAGGCGACCATCCGATGGAGGAGTAAATGGCATGCACAAAAACGGAGGATAATGGCCGAAGGCCAAAATGCAGAGGGCAGATGTACAATGATGTTGAGATCAACGGGTACTTGTTGATGTTGCATGCTAGACATGGGTACTCGCTAGATCATTCTTTTTGACATTATTGTAGTATATTTCGATGAAATTAAAACTTTGATGCATCTTTTCTTCTTATAAAATAATTATTCCCCAATTGTCTTGTTTTTTACAGGAAGAATAATTATCCATCAATTTAGATTATTTAGCACACTTTTCGGAATGGACTACACTTGTCTTGATCTTGATCTTGCGTACTCAACAAACATATTGATTCGATGGACTAACAATCCAATTAAGGATCATTAGACTACTATTGTGAGGCTAAGAACTGAGGTTGATAAGATTTAGAACAAATGGGATTGTAGATGGACAAAGTGGAGCATCTGATGATTTATGGTCTAGCAAAACAATACTTGTTCCAACGTATTAAAGTTGTTAACTAGTTGATGTTGATATGAGCCAAGCTCTTCGGGTATGTTTAGTTGTGAGATTTTAGTGCTAGTTTTACTATTCTAATTTTTTTTACAAAAAAAAAACAAAAAAAAAATAATCAAATACACTTATTTTTATATCACATCAAATAATTATTTTAATTTAAAATTTTACTACTTAAAACCAAAACCAAAACCAAACATACCCTTGATTATTGAGCTCGGCTCCTAAAAGACTCAAGCTCGGCTCTAATGATTGAGATTTGCAAGTTCTATTTATACTCCTTCTGTCCCACATAATTTGTCCATATTTTCTATTTTCGTCCGTCCCACATAACCTGTCATTTCTATTTTTGGAAATATAATTATCCACTTTAATCACATTTTAAATTTTATAATTTTTTTTAATTTTAATTAAACTACTTATTTATCTTTATCTTAATCTATAATTATTTTTACTAAATAATAATTATTTTTACTAATAGACTTCTGAATTACTTATTAATTATACTTTACCTAAATTTTTGTATCTAAAGTAATAAGCTCAAAATATCTTGGACGGGAGGGAGTATTAAATTAAAAAATAATATAATTTAAAAATTTTACTATTTTCAAACAATCCCCCCTCCCAAAAAAAAATATAAATATAAATAAAAAATTATAATATAAATATTCATGCCTACCAAAAAATTTTGACAAAATTGACATTTTATATTTTTTTTCAAAAGAGCTGATATTCTATACTATTGTATATCTATTCCAGCCAAAGTCAAATGAAAATTTTTAAATTTGCACAAAATTTACTAGTGTCTTGGAAATATCTGTGTACATCATTAATAAAAATATGTTCCCAACGTATTTTATAAATTTGAATATTTAAAAATTCACCTAAATTTTTATTTATTACTCCCTCCGTCCTATGTAATATGGGTGTATTACCGTAGACATGATAATTTATGTAAAGTATAATTAGTAAGTAATTAAAAAATGTATTAGTAAAAATAATTATAAATTAAAATTAAGATAATTAAATAGTTTAATTAAGATTAAAAAAATTAAATTTTAAATTTTAAAATATGTTAAAGTGTATAATTAATTTTCCAAAAAAAAAATGATAAATTATATGGAACTGACAAAAATAAAAAATATGGACAAATTATGAGGACGGAGGGAGTAATTGTTTTATCACCGAAGCTGGTGTGGCATTTTATATCATTTGTCAACAATGCATTCAGTGCACCGATTGACTTATTGAGGTAAACTTTAATAATTGATAATTTTATTAAATAATAACATGTAAATTAAAATGCTAGTGTGTTTATTTTTTTTTCTTTAATTAATTACGCCATTTAAAATATTTTTATTTTATTTTTAATAAAATATTATATTAGCAATCTACAATTTTCTTCTACGTTTCAGACATATTCACAAAAAGTATCATTATTTGTCTATACTTAAATGATGGAAAAGAGTATATTTTTATACTTTTTTTTTTTTTTTTTATCTCAAATAATTTGTTTATTCTTTTTACTTCGGTCTGTTGTATATAATTTGATATTTTTTTTAAAATATAATTATACACTTTAATGAAATTTTATAATTCATAAATTTTTTTATTTTAATTAAATTATTTAGTCATTTTAATTTTAATCTATAATTAGTTTCATTATATCATATTTTTTATTAATAAACTTGTTAATTACTTACTAATTACATAATATTTAAAATTTTGTACCAGCTAAAGTAAACAAATTTACTGAGATGAAGGGAATAATATTTATTTTGTTACTTAAGATATATAGTACTCCCTACGTCCCAAAAATAGGTATCTATTTGCTTTTTTACATAGTTTTAGAAATATTAGTATTATATTGAAATATAATATGAATAAAATAGAAATGACCAAAATAACCTTATTAGTATGTGTGATATAAAGGTAATGACATTTGTATAATATATTGTAAGTTGTAAGGGTATTTGTAATGTTAAGTAGATAATACAGTTACTAAAAGAGAAAATGGATAATTTGTTACGAGACGAATTAAAATGAAAAAATTGATATTTTATTATGTAACAGAAGGAGTATTATAATTTTAAAAAATAAATATTAATGACTCATACTATTTTATAGTTTAAAACAGCAGTCAATAAATTTTTGTAAGTATAATTATATTAAATGTTTTGTATATGATTCCATTTTTTCACCGTTCAATAATACTTCTTTATCTCAACTAAATTGTTATATTTAGTTTAAGTACGAAGTTTTAGGTATTGCGTAATTAGTAAATAACTAAAAATGTATTAATAAAAATAATTATAATTTAATAAAAATAATTATAAATTAATATTAAAATTAAGATACTAAATAATTTAATTAAAATAAAAAATTTATAAATTATGATTTTTAAAATATGATTAAAGCGTATAATTATACTTCCAAAAATAAATAATAAATTACGTGGGATAGACGAAAATAAAAATATGAGACAAATTAAGTGGGACGGATGGAATATAATTCTATCTTCCGATCAAAAAAATATATAATAAATAATATAATTCTATCTTATTCTAATACATTTTTTATATAACGTGGAATCCGCAGCCACTACTCGACGTGCGTTCTGGGCAAATTTTGGCTGAATAATAGTCTGTAAATTAAATCATCCAATACATCTTCTTAATTTATTTGATTATGATTTGAAATTAATTTTAAAAAATATATTATTTTGAATTTTTATTTAAATAAGTAAATATTTTTGTTTAATATTTTAATTTGATATATATTTTTTTATCGTGTTAATGATATTAAAAAGAAATTATATTAAATATTGACTTTTATAACACACTTAAATATTTCCTCCGTCTAATATTTATATATCTATTTGTTTTTACTTAATATTGAGAATATGAATCGTAAATTATAATTTGGGTGAATAAAATTAAAATTTTGATGTGATTTATTTTTTAAAATAATCATATAATATTTTATTAAAATTAGACTTGAATAGTGATATTTTTTATTTAAAATTAAAAAAAAAACACACCGTCACTCTTTTAGTAAATTCTACATATTATATATATTTCTTCGCTTTAAGTTATTTAATTTATTTTTTACTTTTTCAATTTTTTCTTGGTGTTTTTCAGGGATAGACATTTTGTCTAAAAAGTTAATTATCTATGATATTTTGAAACTTTTAAAAAATAAAAAGTAAATCCATCGTATATTTTTTTAAAAAAAAAATAAAATAATATATATATATATATCTGTCTTATTAAAGACAACCCATCCATCTCTGTTATTATTATTACCATCATTTCCTATACACTCCTCCGCCGGCGGCCGCCGCGGACTGTTCCCAGATCTCGTTTTCCGATCCATTTTTTTTTAGGGTTTACCCTTTAATTTCACCTAATTCATCGCCGGATTTTCACAGCAGTCGATCGGAATCCACCGGAATGGCCACTCTGCAGAAATTCAAGCTTTTAGCGACCCAGTGCGCCGTCGCCGGAAGCCCGACGAGGAGCCCGACGACGAGTCCGGTCATCCACCTCCGCCGCCGGAAAACCCTCCGAATGCTGCTCGGCCGGGAGGACAGGAGGATTCCGGCACCGTACGACGGCGGCGACGGCGAGAAGAGGCGGCCGCCGGAGAAAGGGAAAGATCTGTCTGTGAGGCAAAAGCTGAAGGATTTGTTTGTGGCATCGCCGCCGGCTAATCCTGAGAATTTGAGACAAGGATTTCCGCCGTCCGGCGGCGGCGGAGGGAGGCGGAGCGGTGCCAGATCGATGCGGCCGCTGACGGCGACTTTCCGGCAACGGCTACTTAGGCGTGCCTGGCGGCCGGCGCTTGTTGCCATTCCTGAGTAATATTAATTTAATGTACGGAAATAATTAGTAATTAATTAGGATTTTTTTTTTTTTTTATAGTATTGACAAAATTGGGATTTTCTTTCACTATTATTAATACATTTGATTATTTAATAATTTGTCTTTTTGTTAGTTAGAATTTGTTCTAAACATGATTCTATGGATATTCAAAATAATCAATTGAATTATTGAAAAAAAGAATTATGCCCAAATACTTAGGTTATGTTCACACATATTTTTCAATTAAAGTTTTGATAGTATTTATTAGTATTTTTTTTTAATTACATCCAATATTTCTTCAATATTATATCAAATATCTAATGTTTTAGAAAAACTTTAAACCTTCAACAAATCTTATCTAAACTGGCTTTATTTTTATTAAATAACTTGTGTTTAGCTTCTTTTTTTTTTTCATTTGAAATAATTGTTATATTTTATATATATATATATATATATAAAACATGTGTATTTTTGCTTTGAACGACTATTAAGAAAACTTCAAAAAAAAAAAAAAGAAATAAGCACATCCTTATTGTATTGTATGATGTGATATAAATAGGTGTTAATGTGATGTTTTGAATATAAAATTAATTTTTAATATAATATAAAAAAATGAAAAATAGATGGTTGATTTGATATTTTTAGATGAAAAAAATTGAATAAATAGTGTAAATTCAATCCAAACCTCCAAACTAACACATTCTTAGAGTATGATTTGGCATTTAAATTTAAATAATAATTTTAAATAATATTTTGTGTAATAAAATACTATAACTCCGCTCACCTGTGCTTTTTAGATGAAATAATTTTTTGTGCTATACAGAAAATTTTAAAATATATTATTTTATATTGAATATAATTTTTTATTTTTTTCTAATAATTTTTTTTTACCGTTCGATAATGAATATTTAATTTTTTTACTTTTTATAAAATATTTTAATTTTTTATTATTTTAAAAATCACAATTAAAAATAGTGTTTAAAGAAGAGTATATTTTTATAGAAAATATAAAAATTATATAATAAAAATCTGAAACCAAACTTTAAATTATTAAAAAATAAAGTCAAAATCAGATTCAGTCTTATCCTTTATATTTAATTTTATGTTACTCTTTTTAAATATATACTACTTATTATACTTTTGTAAAAATAAAATGAAAAATGTTGTATATTTAATTTAATTGTGGCAAAATATACAAATCATTGTACTATCCCATTTGGTAAAAGTACTAAAGTAAAAAAATGATACGGTTGTATGGGATGAACTCGTAAATGTGATTTGGATTTCGAATATATATATATATATATATATTAAACGAAGTACTTACATAAAGTCATGCTTACAATAATAAATATATTACTCCCTTCGTCCAGTGCATATAATTTGTTCTTATTTTTTATTTTCGTCCGTCCCATGTAACTTGTCCTTTTTATTTTTTAAAATATAATTATGCACTTTAATAGCATTTTAAATTTTAAATTTTAAATTTATAATTTTAATTAAACTATTTACTTATCTTAATCTTAATTTATAATTATTTTTACTAAATAATAATTATTTTTACTAATACACTTTTAAATTATTTACTCCCTCCGTTCCACATAATTTGTCTCTATTTTCTATTTTCGTCCGTCTCACGTAACTTGTCATTTCTATTTTTGAAAATATAATTATACACTTTAATCGCATTTTAAATTTTATAATTTTTTAATTTTAATTAAACTATTTACTTATTTTAATCTTAATCTATAATTATTTTTACTAAATAATAATTATTTTTACTAATACACTTCTTAATTACTTATTAATTATACTTTACTTAAATTCTCGTGTCTACAGTAATAGACCGTAGTACATGGGACGGAGAGAGTACTAATTATATTTTACTTAAATTCCCGTGTCTGCAGTAATAAACCCATATTACATGTTACAAGGGATCGAGCGAGTAATAATGATGACCATTACTAAATTATTTCTCAAAGCAAACAATTCCGAAGCAAAAATTTTAGATCATACCTAAAATATTTTTTTATTTATATAAATTACAAATGCAAACACGATATTTAAAATAATGACATGCAAGTTGCTGCGAGCAGAAGCAACTGTGTCATCAGCACAGAATTTTGAATTTGAAAATTGTTGGCAAATCTCAACCGTCCGTTAAGGCCGTCACACAGGCTCCATAGCCTCCACGTTTCATCGTATTTCACTTCCAACAAAACAATAATAATAAAGTTTTTATATTTTTCCTAATTTTTAAAATTCATACAGAAATTAATGAAAAACAACAAATTATTATTCCCCATCTAAAAAGTATACAATTATTTTTGTTTTATTATAATTAATATTAAAAATATTTTTATATTTATATAAATTATTTCATAAATATTATTATATTTGTATTATTAAAAATTAATATAAATATATTTATATATTTTTTATTTATACTTATATTTGATGTAATAATTAATAATTAATATTAAAAAAAAAAAACAAACTGTATATTTTTATTTTTATTTTTTTGCTAGAGGAAGATAGTACTTATTTTCTATAGTACTTTTACTATTCTCATCCTCACATTTTTACTTAAAAAAAAAAACAAATAATAATTTTGGTCTCATTAAAATTTTTTGATCAATTTAAATTTAATTTTTTGATAGCTAATTTGGCTGATTACAATCGTGTTGAATGGCTTAAAAAAGCAACTAAATTTTACAAAAAAACAAGTTATTCACATTCTAACATAACATTTTATGGAGTCCGTTCCAAAATACTCATTCGGTCCCAAAGTATAGTCTTATTGTGTTAGACACATGATTTAAGGAATATTGATACTTTCTCCGTCCATACACAAAGTATATATTTACTTTTGACGCAATGTTTAAGAAATAATAGTATTTTAATTATAGTAGGTAATTAAAAGTAGTGTAACGACATTTTTGTCCTTGCCTTTTGGTGTAAAAGTAATAATGTGATATAAAGTAAGTGAATTTTTGGGAAAAAAAAAAAGTATTTAATAAAATATTTACTTTGTAATTGGACGTCCCAAAATAGAAATATATATACTTTTTAGCTGGACGGAGGGAGTATTATATTGATAATTGGTAAAAAGTAAGGACAAATGACTTTTTTGGCCTTGTGAGTATATTAGTGTAAAAAGTAGTGACAATTGTGTAATAATAATGAAAAAAATTGAGATAGTTTTATCATGATATGACTATTTATGGAGATAAGGCTATTGCTTTGGGACGGACAAAAATAGTAAATAACAATATTGTAGTGGGACGGAGAGAATAATAGTTTTATTTTCACTTTTAGTAACCAACCTTTCATATTTTTACCAAATTATTTCTAATTTTTCACAATAATTACACAGGAGCATTTTAGTTTTTTTAAAATATTTTTACATCAACTATCAAATAATATTATTAATTTTTAATTTTCGTGCTTATTTCAAATGTCTCTATTATTTGGGACAAGCAGTATTTTTTATATATCATAATAATAAAATTAAAAAAAAAATCTAAAAACGCTATGAGCACTAGACACATTCAACATTTAGGTGCTCTCGGTACGGCCGGCCCGGCCCGGCCCAACCCGACAAAGAAAGACTGATGAAGTCCACATTGATGTCGAGCTTACGACCCATATCATACATACTTGCTCTTCACCATTATTATTGGTGCTTGCATTTATTTAGGCTGTGTTTTATATTTTCTTAAAACAATATATTATATTTCCTTCATCCCAAAACTATAATCTTAATTAGGTCGGGCACAAGATTTAAGAAATATTAATTTTATATTAATAGTTAGTAAAAAATATAAATAAAATTTTTTTTTGCCCTTATGAGTGTATAGTGTAAAAAGTAGTGACAATTGTATAATAAAAATAAAAAAGTAGAAGTAGTTTTATGGTGATATAGTTATTTATATAAATAAGACTATTATTTTGGGACGGACAAAAATGGTAAATAAGATTATTGTATCGGGACGGAAGGAGTATAAAATATTAATTTAAATTATTTTTAAAAAATTCGAAATTTCAATATTTTCATGAAAAAGGAGTTTTTTTTTTTTTTTTTTTTTTTAAATGAAATTAGTTTCTAAATGTAGTAATTCTACTTTCAAACCTCAAATTTTAAATTTAACTATTAACCACTTTTTTTTTTAAGTATCAAAATAAAAAATAAAATGCAAAAGATCAGCGTCAACTGTCAAGAACGATACAGGTGTAATTTTGTTCAACGTTGACTCCAAGTCTTCGTCTGCACATGCATTAAAATTTAAGCATTAAATTATATCGTGACCAATAATTTGATGGAACATTCAAAATTTGCCTCCTGATATATACATTGTCATGTTTTATTCTTATATGATTTTCTAACAAATATAAATATATAACAACAAATTTAAATAATACTATAGTGTAAGAATTTTGATTTCTCATATATTACAGCACAAAAATTAAAATTATTACATATATACATATATATACCTTAGGAGACAGTTAACGTGTGTTTGTTTAGGGGTTTGAATTTTGAGTTGAGATTTGAATAATAAAAAAATTGAATTGAAATAATAATATGATGTGATATTAATAAGTATTGATGTGATATTTTGAATGTAAAATTGATTTTTAGTATAATATAAAAAAATATAAAAATAAGTATTCGAGTTAATATTTTGAGGGAAAAAATATTGTATGAACAGTGTAAATCATTCTCAATCCTCCAAACAAAGACACCTGTAAATGTTTACTAATTACAAAAAAGATAATAGTATTATAATAATGATGATAGGCAATTGAATTAGATAATTTGTTTTTTCTCTTTCTTTTTTTAATTTTTTTTTTTTTTTTCAAAAATAACCAAATGAATTTTGCATCGGCTTGGTCCGCCAATATTAAAACTTTACTTTTATTTTTTCAAATTATTAAGACATCATATATATATTATATATTTTAAAATCTTAATTATTTATTAAATATATATATTTCTATCTCATAAAAAAAATATATCAATTCATTTTTTATACCATTATATTTAATATTAAATTCGAAAAAAAAGGAAATATTTTTATATTTTATATTTATATTACACAATTCAAATATATATATATTTTTTAATTTCACTTATTAATATTTAAAAATATGCATGCAGAAAATAAATATCTTATTAGTTATTACAAAAGGAAGCAAAAAAAACTCAAAATTTTTTATATATATGAAACACAAATTATATATTTTTATTTTAAAATATAAATCAAAGCTATCTTTTCTTGCTATATTATTAAATTTTACTTTCTTGTCTATTAAATATATATTTTTTAATTATAATAAATAATTTTTACATATTTTTATATTTATATCATTTAATATTAAATTTACACGTAACAACTATTGACTCATTATATTTTTTAAAATATTTTTATTTTATATAAAAATCAATTAATATAATACTATATCGATTAAATCTCTATCTAGCCCATACATATTTTATACGGGAGTATATTTTAACTCATTTTATCCTATTTGAATGGATATTTTATTTATTTATTTTAAATATAAAAGATTGTATAAATAATAGTATAATAATAATAATAACTATGTGTAATATATTTTTTTTTTTCTGTTTCAAAATAATAATTTTATTTTATTATTTTTGTCCGTCTAAAAAAGAAAATAGTTTTATTTTTATTTTTGGTAAGATGTTTTCACTTTTCTACAAAACTATCATCACCTTTTTACAATAATAATTATGTAGAAATATTTTAGTATTTTAAAAACATTTTTACATACATTCAATATAGTAATATTATTATTTCTTAATTCTAGTTAATCCCAGATGGAGTATTAATTTGTTTTAAAAATAATATATCTATTTTTCTATTCATTTTATTTTTTTAAGTAATTGTACATAATCTTTCTAACGTTACAAATACTTTTTTAATTTACAATATATTATATAAATATCATTACTTTTATATAATACTATACTAATAAGATTAATTTAATTTTTTAATTTTTATTTTTACGATATTTTAATATAATACTAATATTTTAAAAAATTTATTAAAAAAAAAAAAGCAAAATGATAAATATATATGGAATCGGATGGAGTATATTGATTTATTTTGATAAAAAGAAGAAATCCAAAATAAACACTTAAAATGAATAAATTAATGCCAAGACCTCATCATCTGAGGTCTTCACCACGATGAAATATCCCAAATTCCCCAAAAAATTTCTCCTCCTCCTCCTCCTCCTCATCATCTTCCTCTCAATTAATTTTCCGGCGGGATCTCTCGCCCAACCCAACGGCGCCGGCGACGGCGACTGTGGGAAGCCATTCGACTGCGCCAACAAATACAACCTAACCTATCCCTTCTATGACGCAACCACCGCCGATCTGCCGAGCATAAAGCTCTGCGGCCACCCAAGCTTCGCCCTCCAGTGCGACGGCGCCGGCGACCCTTTCCTCAGTTCCTCACAGGTAACCTACCGGCTTCTCAACGTCAGCTTCCTCAATCACACTCTCAAACTCGCCAGAGATGACCTATCCATCGACGTCTGCCGGGGCCGGGGGGATCGCGCCATGGACACCATTTTCGACCCCAATTTCTTCCAAATCTCGCCGGAATCCGACGCCGCGGGAAACATCACTCTTTACTACGACTGTAGCTCCGTCGGCGGCCGGAGTACGATTCTCAATCAATTTTCCTGCAACTCGAGCGACGGAACTGAGACCGTGAATTTCTTCTGGGTTAGGAATGGTTATAATTCGTCGGCCGGCGGCGCCGCCTGCAGGCGACGGATAACGGTGCCGGTGGACGGGGCGGCGGCGCGTGCGCTGTACAGGAATTCGTCGAGAGGTGCTTTGCAAGCTGCTGTGCGGGATGGGTTTTTTGTCCGATGGTCGGCCGATAATGACGCGTGCGGCGAGTGCTCCAGACTCGGCGGCGCGTGTGCATACAAAATCAGTCACTCTACAGTGCCGACGGCGAATGGGTTTTACTGTTCCAAGCCCTCACTCAACAAAAACAAAAACGTTAACCCACGCGCCAAAAAACAATTACCAACGGGTTTGTGTAAATACTCCTCAAAGGCTCAATTTGCTCAACTTTTTTTCCCCATTAAATTAATGCGGTGTGTTTTATTATTATTTTTTTAAGTTGGCATTTTTTCAAAATACTTTTTTTTTACAAAGTAAATATATTACACACTAATTTGATTTTTACACGCAAATTAAGAAAATTTAATATTTTATAGATATACAGTGTTAAAATAATGTAATATCTATTTTATCTCAAAAAATAATATGAAAAAGTAAAAACTAGAAGTATTTTGGTATTGAAAGTTATTTTTTCTAAAAAAGAAAATAAAAATTTTGATTTGGACAGATTAAATGAAAAATGAGAAGTTTAGCAGTGAACGGATCAAGTATTTATATAATTTTCTATATTTTATACTCTCTCCCTCCCGAATTTATCTATCCATTTTGTTGATGCATGGGATTTTAAGAATATTAGTATTATATTTGGGTAAAGTAGAAATACAAGTAAAAATACTAAATTAACCTATTAGTGTTGTATGATACAAAGGTAATAGTATTTGTGTAATATATTGTAAATTATAAGGGTATTTGTAATGTTAGGTAGAAAGTACAATTACTAAAAAAAGAAACAGATACTTTGTTATGAGACGGACCAAAATGAAAAGATAGATAGATTGTTAAATATATAAGAAAAATATATTTTAAATTATTTCACTATACAAACAAACACATTTATTTATAATTAAAAAATTAATTTACAATCTTACATTATTCATATTTTAATGGTATGTTTTCGATGGATTTGAAAAAAAATTAATTTGAATTAAGTATTAAGATAATGTATTATAAGATATTTTGTGGAAGAAAAATATATATATATATATTTTTTTGAAAAAATAGAGTTCAAATAATAAAAATTGTGAATTTTATAGCAAAAGAACAAACTTTTAAAATCACCATTATATATATATATTATTCTTTCTGTCCCATGATCTATTTTCATTTTTTAGTCCGTGTAACATAAGATGATTTATTATTATTATTATTATTATTTGGTAGATTTAACAATTTTAAATATTTAATAATTATAAATTAATTTAATTAAATTTCAATTTTTTTTCTAATGAAATTCATTAAAAATCTTTTTGTTTATTTTAAATAAACAAATATATTATTTATATATAAAAAATTTTATTTTTATAAAATTAATTTATATTAATGATAGATAAATAAATATAAATTTTTTATTTATTTGTATTATATGAAATTTTATTCTTTAAATATGATAATCATATTGTATATATATATTAAAATATTTAACACATATTTCAAATTTTTTAAATTATAAATATTAATTTTAATTTTAATAATACTAACAATACTATTTTTATAAAAATAATAAAATAATATCATAATTAATAAATTATATTTTTATATTAAAATATTGAGTTTGTTTACTTAGTGTTTTTAAATGAATATATTTTTTTATATTATGTATGAAAATATTATGTTGGTAATATACTAATGAATATTTTTTTGTTGAAATATCGATTATTATTATGAGTGAATTCAATATTTATACTCAATCCGTCCACTTAATAAATTTATATTTATTTTTTGTATCATTATATTTGATATTGAAAATATCTTTATATTTGTATATTTTTTTGTATAAACATCATTATATTAGTATTATAAGACCCTAATATAAGTATTTTTTTATTTTTTTTTAATTTGTACTACGTTTTGATATAATAATTAATAGTCAAATATTAACACACAAAAAACAAATGTAAACTTTACAAGTAGACAAAGAAAAATTATTTTAATGTGTATATTGTATTTTTTAAAAAATATTATTTATAAGAAATCGTTCCAACTTAAAAATATTTACTGAACAAACTCATTATTCTTTATGTCATTTTATGTAAACGGATGTGTTTGTTCATTTAATTAGTATCTTCTTTATCTTCATATACTTGCAAATTACAAATTTATCCAAAAAAATCATAATATTTTACTATTAATAAAATATTATTCCCTTCTTACTAGTGAAAGATATTCATTTGATTTATGAAAGTGAATTAAAGTACATTAGTAATTTATAGATATATAATGGATATATAGTACTTCATCGGTTCAATTAGAAAGTATACATAAACATTTCATTAAATATCCTATTTTTTTTTTCACAAATACCTTTACTTTACATCATATCATTACTTTTATACAAAAAAAAAAGTAAAGGCAAAAATGTCATTACACTACTTTTAACTACTCACTATAATTAAAATACTATTATTTCTTAAACACCGCGCCAAAATTTTACTTTTGACAAAATAATAGTACTTTTTATTCTAATGGATAAAATATTTTTTATTATAGTAAAAATGAATAAATATATATATACATTTTAAGTAGAATGAAAAAGGTATATTTTGTTTATTTAGATATTCTTTCTTTTTTGTATAAACTAGGCGTGGGAAAGAAAATACCACCGCATATACAATTTCGAAAAGAATTTATGGTGAGTATATAAATTGATATTCTCAGTATATACTAATTTCAGTATATATTGAAAATATTGTGTATTATTTAGATACTCGATATATATATACACTGATAACATCAATATACGGTACAGTATCAATATGAAAAAATATCATTTAAAAAATTTCGATAAAATATACAATATGCAGTATAAGGTATCGACTCACCTCTAAATATAAACTACTCGTTTTCATCTATTTAATGTTTTATTCATAAAATACTTAATTAACAATAATATTTTATGTAATTTTTAGTTATTGTTACTTTGAATTAATAATTAAAAAAAGGTTAATTAGTCATTTAAATTGTTATATATATACATATTATTAAACCGTATTTATTTTTGCAGATAGAGCTCCAACGGCTGCTCCTGACCACCCGTTTCAAAGCAGCAATGCCTCAAATTTGGTCCCAAGTATATCTCAATATATATATATATATATATATTTTAATTATCATAGTGATGAAATTAGTATCTAAATGTTGGAGAAGGGGAGGGAAAATATTATAATTTATTTAATATTTAATTAATAAATTTAAATAAATAATAATAATATAATTATATATAAATTTAGATAATTTTGAAATGACAAATTGTATATAAATATATAAAAATTAATATTTTTAAGACCAACTCCAACCCACTACATATGCAGTGGGTTGAGCAAAAAATGTGGGTGGGGGACTCCAACCCACCCCACCTCCACTCCATTTTTGGAATGGAGATTTTATGATATTTTTTTTTTGTATTTTTTGAGATGTATTGTGTAATTTTATTTTTTAGAATATGATATATAATTTTATTTTTTGAAAAGTAATATAGAATTTTTATTTTTAAAATTAATATATAATTTTACTTTTCGAAAAGTTATATAATTTTATTTTTTTAAAGTTACGTGTACTTTTATTTATAAAAATTTATGTATAATTTTTTATTTTAAATAGTTATTTGTCTTGAAAGCATTAAATTATTTATTTAAAATTATTTTATTTGTAATAGTTATTAATTATAAATGTTAATTTTAATATATGTAATTTTTAAATAAAATATAAATGATATGTGTATGGATTATAATGTTAAAATAATTAAAATTGGGGTGTAATTTATAAATATAAAAAGTTATGGAGTAAAATTACTGTATTTGTATTATAGCAACTGCAAAAATGGAATGACGAATTGGAGATAGTCTAACACTAAAAAAATATATAAAAAATTGGGCTTGGACTCTAGTGTAGTTCCGTCCGGAGTATAGATATTGATATATGCATGTGTGATTTTCGTGGTTAAGCAATTTAATTTATTGGCATTTTCTTTAAATTTCAGGTCAGAAGCACAGACAGCCTAACCAAACGAGGATTAAATTAGGTAGAACTTATATAAATTTGGATTCCTACATATAATTTAATTATTAATTTTTATAACCCCTCTATATATTCATTATATTTTGCTTTAGTACTTTACACGAAACCGAAATACCTACTAAACAAATAACCAAAATACAATAATGAAATATAAAGGCAGATAAATACTTATTACAAACTATAAACACAAATCATATACCTCTTTCGTCCCATAATTATGTATCCGTTTGCTTTTTGCACGAGATTTTAGAAATATTAGTATTATATTATAATGTAGTATGAATAAAATAGAAATGACTAAACTAACCTTATTAGTATGGTGTGATATAAAGTAACGATATTTGTGTAATATATTGTAAGTTGTAAAGGTATTTATAATATTAGGTAGATAGTACAGTTACTTTTTGATACTTTGTTATGGGACAGACTAAAATGAAAAAATTAGGAGAAAGTATATTATATATATATATATATATAAGAGATCAATGTGGACTCCATTTTTTAAAAAAGTTATACAATCCTCCAATCTCAAAATTTTGAAATTTTTTTTTATTTATTTTTTTTACAGTTTTATTGAATTAGACAGAATTACAATTTTTATTATTTGATATAAGTGATAAAGGGGTGATATGGTTAAAGAATAAACAAAATTGTTATTTTAATTGATGTTGTTCATAATAAACAAAATTGTTATTTTAACATTATATTATTTTAGTTATATTACATATTTTATTTCAAATATTAAAGGTAAATCATAATTTTTAAATATTTTTCTATAAAATAATATTTTAATTTATTTTAAATGATAATGTTTTTATTTTTTTTTAAAAAATATTTGTTATTTATTTAATTATTACTATTTCTATAAAAAAAATTATTATTCTTAAACTTATTAAAATATTTAAAAATAACAATAAAATTTATAAAAATTTCTATAATAATGTATTTTGAAATAATAATAAACTTTTGTTGATTGTTCCGTGCGTAGCATGGAGCTTTCCGCTAATTTATATATATTTTACGACTACAATCAGAGTTCATTTGTACGGGAGGATCCATGTTCCTCAAAACTATTTATATGTGTATGTACAGTACTCTCTCTGTCCCAAACATTCTGCAACATTTTATTTTTGGGTATGTCTCAAACACTCTCCAATGTTTCTAAAATAGGAAATAATTAATTATACTTAAATCTCTACCTCACACTTTATCCCCTCCCATCATCTAAATAAAAAAATAAAATATATATTTCTCTCTCCATCACATCACCTAATTTCTAAATTATCATACTTAATACTACTCACCTAAAAAACCCATGCCAAAAGTAAATGCTGCACTTTTATTTTGGACGGGAGAGTATTATTTTAATAATTATAATAAAAATGACCTTTTAATAGTGCAAATTTTATATTAACTTTTTAACCAATAGTCTGTTTAAATTAATATTGATTTAATAATAGTAGTTGATTTTAAAATAATTTTACTAGTAATACATTTGTTTATAATAAAATATAAACCCAAACTATTGTGGATTATAATATCACATCCAATCATTTTTATTTTCGTCCCGAGCTCCATGCATGACAAAAAATATGAGCGTGTTTATTTTGTATTTCTTTTAATTATTTTTTATTTTTTTGTCTTTAAATAATATTAATTATTAGATCAAAATTTAGTACAAAATTTTATCTTATACCATTTTTTCCCCTTTTTTTTTCTTCAAAAATTTGTCATTTTTAAATGTCTATTTTGTCTTAACTTTATATCTCCATCAAATGGTCTCTCTTTCCAATAGCAATTATTGATTCCATCGTATGGTTGTCTTTATACAGGGATTCGAATCTTGAGTTTGGAATTTAAAATTTTAAATTTAAATAATTATTTTATATAATATAATATATATTTAATTTAATAAGATTTTTGCATAAAAAATAATTAAGAGTAAAAATCCCCTAAAGAACCCCAAAAAAATCACAACATTTTTTTTTTTTTTTCCATTGGTGATGAACACATCAAATTTTATTACAAAAAATATTACCGTACTATATTTTCAAGAACTTAGCCTATGCGGTTTTATTTTGTTTGTGCATATGTACTATGATAATATTTGGGATAAATGCAAAATATATATTTTAATTAAATACAAATCTTATAACTTAATTTGTTTGTGACAATTCTTTTTTCATTAGGGTTGGCATTTGGTGCAATTGGTTTAATTTTAGCATTCATTCTTGTTTCAACATGGTGTTGGAAATCAAGATATTTTCCTCATGCAATGGCAAATCCAAATATAGAAAAGTTTCTACAAGAAGATGAATCACTCACTCGACAAAGGTATAGTTTTCGAAACTAAATCGAATTTATATATATAGTTGTTATCTTCTAAAAAAAAAATGTATTTATTTCATAGTAGTTTCTCAAATCAAATCGTACTATTTGAATTAGAAATTTAAAAAATAAAAATAAAAATGCACCTTTAACAAAGTAATATTTCCTCCATCCCATTGACATTTACTTTTTGCACGTAAATATTTTAATATTAGTATTATATTGAGTTGTAGTAAAAAAATGATAAAAATACCTTTATTAATAATGTGTAATATAAAAGTAATAACATTTGTGTAATATACTGAAGTTAGAAGAGTATTTATTATGTTAAATAATATTATAATTACTAGATTAGAAAATAATAACTTTATTTTTGAACGAATAAAAATAAAAAATAGTAACCTTTTAATAGAATGAATGAAGTATATCAATTTTTTTTTTAAATATAAAATTCAAACTAAATCTACTCAATCCAAACAAAAGAACGATTGGTGTTTTTTTCTAGCTCGTTCAAGTTTTGTTTATTTTGTGGGTTATTTTTATGTAGGTATAGATATTCCGAAATCAAGAAAATGACGAGAAACTTTAATGACAAGCTCGGTCAAGGAGGATACGGTAGTGTCTATCGAGGAATGTTGCCCAACGGATGCCTTGTCGCGGTCAAGGTTTTAGTCGAGATGGATAGCAACGACGAAGAATTCATCAATGAAGTTGCGAGCATTAGCCGAACTTCTCATGTCAACATTGTCCGTCTATTAGGGTTTTGCTACGAGAAAAACAAAAGAGCTTTAGTCTACGAATATATGCCCAAAAAATCATTGGATAAGTACATTGGAGATCCAAACACAAACCTCGACGTGGAGACATTGTACAAGGTTGCCCTAGGGGTCGCCAAGGGTTTGGAATATCTACACCGAGGTTGCGCTACAAGGATCATCCACTTCGACATCAAGCCACAAAACATTCTTTTGGACGAGAATTTGTGTCCAAAAATATCTGATTTTGGGCTCGCCAAATTGTGTAAGAGGAAGACAAGTATATTCTCGGTGTTTGGGACAAGAGGCACCATTGGATACATCGCTCCCGAGGTATTCTCCCGAAATTTTGGAGGAGTTTCTGACAAATCCGATGTCTATAGCTATGGAATCATGATTCTTGAAATGGCCGGAGCAAAGGAATTTTCGAAAGTTGATGTGGTCCAATCAAGTGAGAATTATTTTCCGGATAAGATCTATGAACAAACGATACTCCCCGATTGTCTTGATAGAGAACCTATGGATTGTAATGAATCCATGATTGAGGATGTTAAGGACGAGAGATCGAGGAAAATGTTTCGCGTAGGATTTTGGTGTATACAGACAATGCCATCGGATAGGCCATCGATGTCTAAGGTTGTCGAAATGCTTGAAGGAAAGCTTGAATCGATACATATCCCTCCAAAGCCATATTTGTTTAGTCCTAGACAATTGCGACACAAATTTTCGCCTTCATTGTCTGTTCATTTTGAGATCGAAGCATCGAGTGAATATGATCGATTGGGGACTACTACAGAAGCTACGTCGTCCTCTACACTTTCTTGAAATGCAAAGAGATTGATCGAGGGGAAGATATATGGTTAGAAACCAAGGGTTCTGTTCATTTTGGATATAAATACTCGATAATATAAAAAATAATATTTATAAAATATAATATTTTATATTAAATTGTAATTTTTCTTTTGAATAAATTTTATATTATATGTTGTGTAAGTATGTATATATTGTCTCTCTTTTATAATATTTATCAAATAATCGTGTCACTAAGAAATTGTTTGAATGAATATTCTCGTATGTATGCATACGTTGAAAGTCGACAATGTTAAAAAAAAATACTGAATTTGTTCTCATGGTATTTGTTCTTTCTAAGAAAATTTAATAATATTTTATTAATAAAATTTTGTTTAATTATATAATTTATGTAAATTTTTATTAACAAAATAAATTGTACGTCGAAATAGATATAATTATAATAAATTATATTTTTATTATTAATTAATTAATTCGAAGACGATTAGCGAATTGATGAAAGATGTCGACGGACGAGAGAAACAGACTTTGACTTGGTAATTTGTATGGGGAAGTAAATTAGGGTTTATTTTTAAAAATAGCTGTTATTATATTTATATAATTTTAGTAATATATTTTAAAATTATTTTATTTTAAAACATTGTTAATATTTTAACAAATTGGGCTGAGTTTGGCACGGTCTGAATTTACAGGCAAAGGTCTGTCATTGTTTTCAACTGGGCTTGTATCGACTAAGTAATTTTGGGTCTATTATAAAATTCTGATTTTTTTATTTATTTAGTATTGCCCCTAGCCAATAACCAGTAGTATTTATCCGCTGTTTTACTCAACGCTGTACTTTCTTTACCGGAAAATATCTTCTGCAACTTCTCTTCTGCTGCCGCCGGCGCCGGCGTCGCTAAATCATCCTCATCCAATCTAACGAGTGCTGCTCCGAAGCACAATCGACCGACCACAGCAATTCGCATACAGAAAGTAAAAAACGATAGCAACAGTGAAGATTCAGTTACCCAGCTCCATCGCTTTATTTTGCATTTCTGTGTAGTATCCTTGTTGATTAGGTCAATTTATTTATTTATTTTTTTATTATTATTATTATTTTTCAATTTTAGATTCTACAGCATGTTGTTAGTTTCGTGTTCTGTTCGAAATTGTAATGTGTTTGGTTCTCTAATTCAACTGTGTTCTCCCTTGAGAAGTTTGGATTCTGGAACAGGTTTTCTGAGACTTTATTGCGTGATGCTGCAGGTCAATGTTGTTTGCAAGTTTTGCACCTGAATTTTGTCCGAGTGGCATCTCTTATCCGGCGTTCGGAACTCCGCATTCTACTCCGAAGCATTTGCCTCCGTCTCGGCTTCGGGTCGCGGCTTCGTCAGCGGCACCTAATGGAGTGAAGGTTGAGTACACGCCGTGGCTGGTTGTTGGATTGGGGAATCCAGGGAATAAGTATCACGGAACTCGCCACAATGTAATTGTGGCTCGTAATTAGAGGATTTAATTCTTTACTTCTAGCTCCGCTCTGTAAATGAATATCCTCCTATGCATCTGATACTTGGTTTGAAATTTTGGGGCTATTTTTGATGAATAGGTAGGGTTTGAGATGATTGATCGTATCTCAGAGGCAGAAGGTATTCTGATGAACACTATACAATCCAAAGCTTTGATTGGCATAGGTGCTAATTCTGCCACTTCTTTATATTCACATCTTAAATATAGAAAAGTGTTAATGATACAAAGATTTTTGGCTGATATAGTAAAAACTGTGTTTGGATGCAATCAGCGCAGGTTCCATTGGCCAGGTCCCGGTTTTACTGGCCAAGCCTCAGACATATATGAACTTCAGTGGAGAATCGGTATGCCCTCCACTCTATCTCATGAAATCTAGTTAAATCGTGGTCCATTTATTTTTCCGAGATTACTGTGATAGTAAAGATACAATGAAGAGACATTTGCTATTAATGTTTGATGAAGCTACTGATGCTGCATTATAAGAGAGTATGTTGGAACTTGAAACTGTAGATAACATCAGTGGTGCTCTATTTATGAATCATTTGTAATATTTTATGCCCCTTCTAATATGGTGTAATTCAGTTATGAGGATTGAGAAATATTATGTTCACTGAATCTTGGGCAATGGCTGCCTATTAGAATGTTAAATGATAGATGGCTTCGGGGTTGCCCATGAAGCTTCTTTATGTAATATGTTTGGTTCTTACATATTACATTTGTTCATTAGGTCTTAATTTTGAATATTAACATCGCCCACAGGATAGAATTTTCATTGCAATTCATTGCCTTTTGTTATGATCATTTTTTCCCAGCCTTCCGAATATCCATTTCCTAAGTACAGTTAACATGAATAGTGCTATAGATAGGAGCATGTTGCCTTTCTATGCTTGATACTGAACATCAGTTTGTGTTAGTGGCCTGAACTTGAAAATGAAACGTCAATTGATTACATTAGTTTTCTGAATATAATCCACAGACAAAATGTGTTATAATGTCAGCTTCTATCTCATTGCAAGTTTTTTGATCATATTTATTTGAGGTGTCATGTAATATTTCCGTATAATGTATTCAATTTAGGCAGCATGTGACACCTCAATACTATCAGTTTCAAATTTCAATTTGATCTTACTAATTGGTTTAAACCAAAAATATGTGGTTGCCGTTGCTGCATAAGATGATAGCACTTTCAGTTCACATAATTCTACAATGCTTGTAATAGAATCAATATACTAATGCAGCTGATATAAATATTCTATTGGATTCACGCCATGACTAAATTAGACTTTTTTGTGTGTTAGGAATATTAGCAAATTTTTAGCTCATGTTCCAGTTACAGTTATGGCGAGTTGAAGGATGAGGGTGATTTCACTTTCCTTGCTAATGCTTTGTATTTCCATTTTATGCTTCTCTCCAATAACAGGTTGGACCTCTTGCTGCATATTATCGAGTACCACTGCGTCACATTCTACTGGTCAGAATCATAATTTAATTTGGTCTCTTGTTACATTATTTAACCTTTTATTTCGTCCAAAATTTTTTCTGAGGACCAATACTAGAGTCCACTCATAATTAATGCAGACATTCTAACTAGCTTTCCATGTACCTTACAGGTTTATGATGAAATGAGCTTACCCAACGGAGTTTTGAGACTTCAGCCCAAGGGAGGACACGGTCACCACAATGGGTAATGTGTCTTAATCATAATTGCAAACAGATTTTAAAACCCATTTTGGTATGATTGAAGAGAACGAAGTCATAGATGCTTTAGTCACGTGCTTTTGTGTGTTATGTTTGCATTTCTACGACAATAATCACTGATATATCTGAATATATGAGCTGTTGGAGCGTAAAATGTGGATAGTTTAGATTTATTAGTTTGCATTTGAGAGAGGCCTCTACAAGATGTAGAAACTGTCAAAGTAGAATAGGCCCCCCTTTTTTCTTTCTATTTTTTCCCCTTCACTGTCCGTTTGCTCGAATTTCATATTTAACTAACATCAGTACTTTAACATTCATTGTCTTGGGAAATCCTGCTTAATAATCTTTAAATTTCATGCTGCATGACAAACTTTTGGAAGTTTATTCTCAAAAAGAATACGTATCGTTGTTCTTGATTTCAGTGTGAAGAGCGTCATGGAGCATTTAGATGGTCGTCGTGAATTCCCCCGCTTTTGCATTGGTCAGTTCAGTTATATTCTAAACATGCTTTCTGGTTCACGCCAATATTTGATCAAGCACCGATTTCAGGCATTGGAAATCCACCCGGTATGATGGATATGAAGGCTTATCTTCTCCAAAAATTCAGTCCCATCGAGCGACAACAGGTATGTGTATGTTGTCGAGTCTAGACATAGACATTTCGAGCATAAAGATTTCAAGAACAGTGGATTTAAATAGAATGAAATGTTGAGACAGGTGGATGATGCACTGGAGCAAGGTGTTGAAGCTGCAAGAACACTTGTTCAGCAAGGATTCAGCACTCAAATCACCCAATTTAATCTTGGTCAGAAATATAAGTACCATAAGGTTTGATTCCTTTTACTTCATATATCTGCATAGTAGAGGGCATGATCGACTAATATATCTATATCTATATCTATATCTATATCTATATATATGTATAATTAATTCTATGATGCCTGTTCTGATCTCATGTTTGATTAGGATTCACTATAATTAAATCAAATTATCCCAAGTGTGTAGGATAAAATATATGATGAATTCACATAAATGACTCATTAGAATGAGTAAAAATGGATATTAATTATCTTCATAGATAATAGAAATGATTAAATATATTTAAGGATAGTAGAAAATATCTCATTCTTTTGCTTACTAATGCAGAAGAAATAGGGCAGCTTTTATTAGTTTGAATAGTGAATCATTTTCATGTTTGTGAAAAGAGTATTTATATGCAGAGTCAGTCCATGGCAGGAAAAATACCCTCAACAAAAACAGCCATATTGAGAAAGTTTAGGAGAGTATTTAATACGTAAATTTTAACTGCTTTAAAAAATGAATGATAATTCAGTGGGAATAGAGCTGTTTACCTAACCAAGTCGTTCGTGAACTCGGCTCGGTCAAAGCTCGTTCGCGAATGTTAACGAACCGAGCCGAACAACATAAACAAGCTCATTTGATTAACGAACGAGCTCAAACTTTGTTTGCGAACGTTCACAAACGTTAGTTTAAATAATATATTTATTATAAATATTATATATATATATAGAAAATTATAATTTATAAATAAATAAAATATTAATTTAAAATATATAAATAAAATAATTTTAAATTTTCTTTATAATTTATATGTAAATTTAAAAAATAAGACAAACGAGCTCGAACGAGTTTAAACGAACCGAATACGAACACGAGCTCAAACAAGAAAAATCTTTAACGAGGCGAGCTCGAACACTACGAACGAACACGAGCTTTGTTCGCGAACGTTAACGAACACGTAAAATTTGGCTCGGCTCGAATCGTTAACCATTCTAAATGAGAATGTAAACAAGCTTTATATTAATACTCCCTCTGTTCTATAATAAAGTATCTATTTTTTCATAGTAGTTCGTTTCATAATAAAGTATCAATTTGTTTTTAGTAACTGTGCTATCTACGTAACATTATAAATATTTTTACAATTTACAATATATTACACAAATGTTATTGTCTTTATATTATACATATTAATAAGATTATTTTAATTATTTCTATTTTATTTCTACTATATTTTAATATAATATTAATATTTTTAAAATTACGTACAAGTACAAACACATCGATGTTTTATATGTTACGAGTATATATTTTGTTACACCTAAAAGAAACAAATTCTGAAGATAGATTCAACCAACATGATGTGTGAGTGCTGTGCTGTCTAACCTTCTAATAAGTTATTGTGGGCTCCCGGGAGCCCCACTCCCTGACCATCAATTGCGTGGTGTAAAATTGAGAGAGTTGGGCTCCACGGACTCTCCAATAATCCACCCTGTAAAGCTTCTGGAAGCAATAAGGCTGTGTTTTTTTTTAAAAAAAAAACAAAATTACATATACGTTTTCCACTTTGGCCATTTTAGTTTAGACAAATAGTTTTAAGTACGGAGTAATTATTAAATATTTAAAAAGTCTTTTAGTAAAAATAATTATTTTTTTTGTTATTTAATTATGTGCTCATTTGATCGGACGAGTTTTTAAAAAAATATGTAAAAATAGAAATTTTTATTTTTTTTAAAGAAAAATAGTATTTTTTTATTAAAAAAAACGGTAAAAAAAAATGATGATAGATTTAGATGACGGAGGAAGTATAATTTAATAAAAATGATTATAGATTAAAATTAATATAACTAAATAGTTTATTTAAAATACAATTTTAAATGTGGTTAAAATATATAATTATATTTCTAAAAATGAAAGATATGTGGACATAAGGACTGGACTAATTAATTGGGAAGGAGGGAGTAATATATTATATATATTTATTATTTTTACATTTATTATACAATTTTTTCTATTTCACATTAAAAAAATATTTATTCAAATTATCTCACATAATAACACACCTTTATTATTTATTTATTTATTATTTACCCTAATTCACTAAAAAAAATTGAAAAAAATTGAATATTTTGATTTTGTTTATACTATTCACAATTTTAAAAATATATATTAAATCAAATATTTTTTTTTTATATAATGCTAAAAATTAATTTTATATTTACAATATTACATTAGTCCATTCTTATATGATATTAGATAATTATTCAAATTTAAATTTTTGTTATTTAAATTAAAATCCAAAATAAAAAAACCCTCAAACATTAAAAATAAACTCCTTCGTCATGAGTGTTTTTGCTTTTAATCCATAAATATATTATTTGTATCTATTTTTAGTAATATCAATATTAAATATATTTTACAAGTATAAATTAATCTCCAGTCATCCAGCATTATTGGATGAAATGATTTGCGTTTTTATGAAATAATTTATGATTTGTGTCAGAGATTATTATTTTATTGATATATAATAATATATGTTTTAAATTTTTTATACATATATTAATTTATATTTTAAAAATATTAACATAATCATATAAAAAAATAATATAATAATATCATAATTTATTGACATTACTTTTTTTTTTTTTTTTTTTCCCAAATATCTAAATAATCAGAATAAATCTTTTAATCAAATTTCATTATAGGAGTATATAATACTAATAAAATTTTTACAATTTTGCCTTCGTAGGTATAAAGGAAGGGGATGTCTTTGTAAAAGTTAGGTGTTTTTTATATTTGTATATATACTATTTTTCCTATAATATGAATCAAATACATTTGATTTGAGTAAGACAGACATAAATAATAAAAATCATACATTAAATTAGAACGAAAAAAGTATATTAGTGTAAAGTATGTTTCGCTTGATTTCGTGCAAGTGACTTGACTTGATGTAATTCTGTCTCGGTCCCAAATATGATGTTTTTCTACAGTAGATACGACAATTTAAGAGAAATATAATTAATAATGTATTAGTGAAAATAATTATTATTTAATAAAAATATTTTAAAATTAAGATTAAGATAACTAATTAGTATAATTAAAATTTAAAAAAAATTCAAAATTTTAAAATAAAATTAAAGGGTATAATATTTTTACAAAACCGAAAGTGACACAATAAATTAGACAGATAGAAATAAAAAAGTGGACACGGTAAGTGAAACGGAAGGAGCAATAGTTTACTTTGATACTCCTTCCGTCCCATAACAAACTATCTATTTTTTCATTTAGTCCGTCCCATAACAAAGTATTCATTTCTTTTTTTTAGTAATTGTACTATTTACTTAACACTACAAATACCCTTACAACTTACGATATATTATTATATTTATATCACACAATACTAATAAGGTTATTTTAGTCGTTTCTACTTTATTCTTACTACATCCTAATATAATATTAATATTTCTAAAACTTCGTACAAAAAGCAAACGAATACATAATTATGAACGGAGAAAGTATTTTATAAATATTATAAAAATATTTTTATTAAAAATTGTGTGAAAAAATAATTATTAGATATGTTAAGAGGTCAAAGAAAATTGGTGTTTTTCATTTTATATTTTTGTATAAATAAATTTTTTATGTTATATATAGAATTATGTAAGTAATATAAAAAATAATATTTTATATTAATTTTTATTTTTTTATGGTGAATAGAGTAATATATATTATATTAATTGTATATAGTATATTTTTTATATATTTATTAAGAATAGTACCATTCAAAATCTAATGTATTATATATTGGATTTATTCATTAAATTTATTTTTTAATCGGATGTAATATATTATATTATTTTTAATTTTTTTTTTATTATTTTTTAAGAAAAGTAAACAAAGCAAAATTTTCAAGGTGGTGGTTTTGAATAAAAATAATATTAAATTTAACTTTTTTAAAGATTAATTGTTACATTAAATAGTCTACACATATATTTTAATAAAAATATATAATACTATATTTAAATTTTAGTTATTTATTTTTCATATGAAGATACCCAACCTACCTCATAAATATATAATAGGAGTATTTATTTAACACAACGATTATCAAGTTCAACATTAACTTAACCCGTCAGACTAGGAATTTGAACATGACGGGTCGGATCGGGTCGGGTAATAAGCAGCCGCCTTCGGCCTGATTCAGACTGAGTACGAGTGACTGTTGCCCTTTCAAAATTTCAAAATCCTTTAGAGAATGAAGGAATCGGAAAAGAGTTCACAGTCAATTTGATTTAATTAATTAATACTTTCTTCTTGTTCTTATCCTTTCCGATGGAGAAAATGGAGCCGAAGCCGAAGAGATTCGCCGGAGGAACGTTGAGCAGAACTGGATGAATCAATTTCATCCTGTTGTTGCTGGTGTGATATCCATGGCTGTTGTTCCGCTTCAACGGCGGCGGCCAGGCGGATTGGGGTTTCTTCGGCCGACTGTTTGATGAACTGTTCGTCGGGAAACTCTGCGCCATTGACGACGAGCGCTTGCCGCCGGCGGTTGAGCCAGTCGAGCTGCTTCTCGACAGCAGCGGCAATGGACAGAGAGATCCTCCGCCGCCGCCGCAGTTGAAGCTTGAGCTTCGCTTGAACCGCCAGAACGACGACTTACACTTCTCCGCCGCTTCTGGAAGCTTCGTCTCGTCGTCGCTGGAGTTTTTCGCTTTTGGAGGAGGAGGAGGATACGATCGGCGTACTATCGGAGCCGCCGGAGGACGACGTGGAGGCGCAAGCCGTGGATCCTCCTTAGATGTTCTAGGCGGTAGGATTCTTCGCTTGATTTCTACCGGTAGGATCTTCCCATCGGAGAAGAGCTCATCAGCGGAGGACGATTCTAGGTCAAAACTTCCTCGCGAAACGCAGAAATCGAAATCGACGGAGGAGAAAGAGGCGGAGGACGACGACGAGGAGCTCGTACGGACGAACTCTTCGCCGGACGGCGCGGCGGCGTCGGATCCGGGAAGATCGTACGAAAAGGAGATCCTAGGGCTACCAGAATCGTCGGAGAAAACCTCAATCGCCATGGCAATATCCAAACCAACAAATGAACCAATCAATTCAACCTTCAGTTGCTGGATTCGGAAAATACCTAAATGAACAAAAATCAAACAATTTGAACACACTTAAACAGACTTAACTGCAACAATCCAAAAATCAACAAATCAATTCAGCCTCCAGTTGCTGGATTCCAAAAACACCAAACCAAATGAACAAAAATCAAACAATTCGAACACCGTTAAACAGACTTAACTGCAACAATCCAAAAATCAACAAATCAATTCAACCTCCAGTTGCTGGATTCCAAAAACACCAAACTAAATGAACAAAAATCAAACAATTTAAACACCGTTAAACAAACTTAATTGCAACACTGAAAAATCAACGGCGCCAATAGTCGCCTAACCTGCACGCAAATTTGAATGATACCTCCTTCGGAAGGAACAGCTGTTGATGACCAAACAACGAGAGGAAATATTCAAAGCGGAAGAAATTGAAAAGGAAAACAGATGTAGAGAAAATCTGCCAAGTTATTCTCTACAAAATCAAATTGAGAGGTTGGAAAGCGATGGTAGCCTTTATATAGGGACTCAGGCCCTGCGGGACCCACTACCAAATAATATATTATTATTAAAATGGCAATATAATTCTCTATTTACATTTACTTGCCAAAATATTACAAAAATACTAATTTTAATTTTAATAACAGTACACTTAACATCTTTAATTATATATATTTGCCAGATATTATAAAACATATAAATTAATTTAAACAGAAATATTAATGATTAATTCATTCGGATCTCCTTCTATATTAATAATAATTACTTTTTAAAATTTATATATATTAGTTAATATTTTTTTGGTTTATAAATGCATTTTGTTCTAAATACAATGCTCAAAAAAAGTCTGTATAAATAGCAATTTAGAGTAAAAAATTTTATACTCCCTCCCTCCCCATATACCGTGCTATACTATAGACACAGTATTTTAGGAGGGGTATAATTAGTAGATAATTAGTGAAAATAATTATCATATAATATAAATAATTATAAATTAAGATTAAGATAGTCGATTAGTTTAATTAAAATTAAAAAAATAAATTAAAAAGTTTAAAATAAAATTAAACTGTGTAATATTTTCCAAAAAAGAAAAATGATATGGAATGTGGGACGGATAGAAACGACAACATGGATATGGTATGTGGGACGGATATTATTCAATAGTAGTAATTTTTTTAAAAATATCACATCAATCTTTTTTTTTATTATTGCTCACAAAATATTATTTCAAATATTTATTATTTTTAATTTTTTTTCCAAAATTTCTAATTTTCCAAAATATTATAGGTACTTTATATTTTGTTAAGAAAAATTCCACCTTTATAAAATAAATCGAATATAATAAAACTTAATAGGTGTCTTTACTCTTTAGTCTGTGTTTTCTTAAGATATGAATTTTATTGATTTTAAGGTAAAATAGTGATTAAGTGCAATATTTTATATGTAGAATTAATATATTTTTATTAAAAGTAATAAAATAATATAATATTGAAAGTAATAAAACATGAAAAAATAAATTTTACAAAATATATATGTACCTACTTTTGAAGTAGAAAAATAATGTATTCGCATTACTAATTTCAATTTCTATATAAATGGCAACAGCCCCCCCCCCCCCCCCCCCCCACCTAAACAGTGAAAATTTAAGAACTATAATATATATGTATATATATATATATTTCCAGATGATCAAATAATAATTGACTTCTTATTTATATTTTTAATAGTCGGCAGGAATTTTGGAAACATTAAAATATTTATTTATAATTATTATCTATTATTTTATTCAAATATTTTAATAAGATTTAGGCCATCTCCATCATTTCAAGGGTGATTTTATTTCAATCATAAATTTCAATTTTCACTCCCCAATTTTAATTTATCTTATATATTATAATCCATTCCTCACATATATATATATTATAATCCATACCTATATAATTTATATTTTTTTAAAATTTACATATATGAAAATTAACATATATAAATAACTATTACAAATAAAATAATTCTAAAAAAATAAAATTATATCACTTTTTTTAAAAAATAAAATTATATATTATTATTTAAATAATAAATAAAAATTATACAATACATAAAAAATAATAATAATAAATAACAAAAATACACTGAACACCACAAAATACTACAAAAACTATAGAGATAGTGTTACAAAACGGCATAAATAGGGGGATTTGGGGGTGGGTTGGAGCCCGTCCCCCATTTTTGGCACAATCCACTGTATTTAACAGCATTTTAGGGTTTGCTTTTGTTTGTGTATTCTATTAAATATTTAATTTTCATTTAAAATTTGAAATCTAAAATTAATGTCAATTTAAATACTACACCATCTCGTACTTATTTGATTTTTTCTTTTTGTTTTTTCAAAATAATCTCGTATTTGTTTTTTTTTGTTAAAGGTAAAATAATAAATTTATATAATATTTAAAATTAAATTATTACTTTTTGATAAGTATATAAATATAGATTATATTATATTTATATTTGTGATAATATTAATAAAAAGATATATTATACAAAAATATCATTACATTTATATTAATTATTTCTACTTTATTTCTAATATATTTAAATATAATATTAATATTTTACATAAAGGGTGTGTTTGTTTAGGAGATTGAATTGATTTACACTGTTCATCCAATTTTTTTCCCAAAAGCATCAAATCAAACACCTATTTTTTATTTTTATATTATATTAAAAATCAATTTTACATTCAAAATATCACATCAATACAACTATTCAAATTCAAAACTTTTACTATTCAAATCCCAACTCAAAATCAAAACCCCAGACAAACATACCCAAAAAAGGAAATGATATTTAGTTATAAAACTGGTGAATTATTGAAAATTTTTATTAGATATAGAATTAAAACAAATTAAATTAATTATTTTTTCTCTCTCAAATGTGCATGTGATCGTGCAATTTAATAATTGTGGTCGAAATAATCCAAAGAAAAAAAAAATGTAAATATATATATATATAAATTGCAGTCACTGTAACAATCAGGTATTTGACAATTACAAAATAAATTATTGTACTCTATCTGACAATCTATTGCGATATTTTCATGGTGTTATTGATCGAAGGCCAATGGTTCATATTTTATTTCCCTCCAATAACAATAAAAATAAATAAAAATATAAAAATCCCAAATCAGATGATACATTATTGTATTCAGAAACACAGTGAATAATATCACTTCGTATGCGAAATGCTGCAAAATAATGGTTTATACGAACCACGGAATTTTTTTCTTTAAATCATATATAAATATGTTTAGAGTATGAAGTTTTGTAAAAGCCTTTTTTATGCAACCGAATAAATTTTAAATTTCACCAGAAGGATAACCTTATGTAAATATCAGTAAAAAAAAAAATTAAAAAATTACACGTTACACTTTCCCTAATTTGACACTACTCATTTTTCAAAACATATCACATCAAATATACTTTTTCTCTCACAAAATATCAAATCAAATACTACCAATTTATTTTTTCCGAACTTTCAAATTTCCAAAAACCCCTTATCTAAACAGACCCCATATTTTTCGAAAGCTCTTTGAACGTCAAGATAGTCACAAACACTTGAAACAGATGACTTTTAACACCACTACTAACTTACAAATAAGAAAGAACAATGAAACCTTTCACTTCAAATCCATATATATTTATTCGATACAATTTTCAATAGAAATGGAATATTTCTTTTACAAAATCACGTTAGAATACTGATTCAATTAAAATTAAATAAAAGGCAGCCAAACAAACCCTTCGACTATTTATCTATATTTTCATATTTTAACTGTTAATTCCTCAAAAAATATACATAAAATATTTTCTTTACATAAACTCAAAAGTTCTGAATTCAATCAAAAAACTAAAAAAGAAAGACCCCCGGGGGTTCTGAAGAGTAAGCTTGTCAAAATGACTTAAAAGTAGTAAAAAAACAAAAAAACCACTTGATACACACATGTTATTATTCCAATTCACACCTCTGAAATGCAAAACAAGAAACAAAATTGCATCATTCAGCTTGCAAACATTATTAGTTTTCACCAAGAAATATTGCATTTACTCAAGGTAGGATTACGGTAAAACAAAAACCACTAGCAACAATCCAGACTAATATATAAAGATAAGTTAACTAATCAACGGAGTATCAGCATTTCTGGAAAAAAGGAGCAACCCTTGCATGCATCAAAATTAAAACCAAAATCTTCTCAAAACTTCCAACGACAAATAACAAATGTATAATTTCTTAAATAAGACAGGTGACCTGTTCTTCACTCGGTCAGGGGAAATTCAAAGACGACGTCTTTCCCACAGAGCTTCCTGTAGACACCAGAGAACGTCTCCAGCTTGTTCTCAGTGTCATTCTTTGCCTTCGGGTCCAAGAAAACCTGGAACAACAGAAAATTGACATTACATCAGTCAAATGCAAATACTAAACAAATATGAAATCAGTCATCTCCAAGAAGATACTATTACCTTCATAATCTTTGATCCATCGAGTCTGTATCTGACACGCTTGCCAACAATCTCAGCAGGATAGACAATGTCCTCCAGTGTAGCTTCATGCACAGCAGTCAGTGTACGGGTGCGCGGCCTTTGAGCAGCGGAGCCCTTCTTTGGTGGGCGCAGGATTCTCCTGGTTGCAATGAGAACTACTTCCTGCTCATCGAAACAGGGAATGTCAAACATGTATAGCATCACAAATCATCGTCAGAAGTACCATAAATGAATGATTTGCAGTGTTTTCTAGAGGAGAAAATTGGATTCAAAATCATAAATAGACAAACTGCATTGGTACATTTGGTAATTTAAATTCAAATTAGAACCAATTTCAAATTTGAACTAAAAGTAATATACTATTCAAAATTGAATTAGTAACTAAATTGGCAATTTAATGGATTACCTAATAGGCAGAATTCACTTCACTACTCAAAATGTGACAAGAATGAGTACTCAAAACTAATTAGTATTAAGTGGAGTAACCTTCAAGGTGAGCCCCAACATTTCTTCCAATGTGGGGATATATTCAGCACTCCCTCGTGGAGATAAGATCATCTCGAAATCCAAATATGATCACTACCCAATACAGGTATGATGACTCTAATACCATATTAAGAAGAAATCCAAGTTCTAACTTAAACCAAATGGTTTTAAATGGAGTAATACTTAAAACCTTATAAGATAGGATAGTCCCAACATTTCTTCCAATGTGGGATATATTCAACATATTGACAGCTATCATAAACTAATTATTTAGTGGAGCAACAAAATCAACATACAAGTTGAATAAGTAAGCTTCATAACTATAATCAATATTACCTTTCCACTGAACTTTTTCTCTAGTTCTCTCACCAGCCTGGGGTGGATCTTACGGAAGGATTTCCTCAATCTATAGGGCACATGGATCACAACAGCTTTCTTGCCTCCAGGGATATCAATTTGCCTGCATTAGGCGATAATAACTCAACATCATACAATAGTAGGGCAGTCATGCGCAGATCCCCTAAAAAACACTTACACAGCAGAATTGATGTAGAGGTCTTTCAAATCACTCTTAATCTCTTGATTCGTATTTTCCAAATCAAACAAAGCCTGTAAATGCACCCCAAAAAAAGTTAGTTCTACTGCTGCAAAAAGACCAAAACAGTTCAGCATCTTTCAAGAAACCATTTAGATTACCTGAGCCACATTCTCCTCAAACTCTGTGGGCTCGGAGTCCTTGTCTTTGTGAATCTTTTGCAATGCGGTATACATCTTGCAACTGTGTAAGAATAATCACATAAATAGCTTCTTCAGAAGTTCAAGCAAATTAAAAAACTAGTGAATTCTTTCCATGGAACACCGTGTTTAACTTGTTCCACACCCCTTTCGTTCAGACATAAGTAAGTCCCCATAAAAATCTTCCCTTTTGTTAAAAGACTATTGGATTATTCAAAGTAACACAATGATACAGAGAGGTCCTAGCAGGAATTCATATCGGGTATGGCAGCACCCTTGTGATTCTTGAAAAGCAAATCAGTTACATATATAATAACCAGTGGACTTAAAATAGAAAAACATAATCTTGATCTAGATGCTGGTAACGATTAACGAAGGCAACAATCACTCGTAAAAGCAAATACACTAAGAATAAACTAGCCATGAAAGATACAGAGAAAAATCAAAAAAAGAAGAAGAATTCGAACGCATAAAAATTGGACGGATTTCAATTCGAAATTCACAGATCGTCCGGCATCCAACGGAGAATGACTATAAGGTGTAACGCGAAGGATACCACGGCTAGAAACAGTACCTCGGAGGAGATGCTCGAATGCGATTGAGCTCCTACGTCGGCGCCGGCAGCCGCTCTCAAGTCGCAAAGCAAATGGGGTATCACAAGGGCAAGGGTGGCGAGGGTTTTATGCTGGCAACAATGAAAACCCTAGCAAATCAACGGTTGAGATGTACAGAACGTTAATAAAATAATCTGGACCGTCAAAACTATGGGCCTATTTGGGCTTTGGGTAGATATGTTATGGGCTTCCAGAATGTCTTCACACACGAGCCCAAAATCATTGTAGATTATAGGAATTAAATTAATGATACTAATAGTGAAAATACAAATTTATTTAATTCAATGAACTATGTAAAAGACTAAAAGAGTGCATATTCTTCTGTTTAAACAGTAAACGTCCAATATGACATTTTATTATTATTATTATTATTATTATTATTATTATTATTATGTGCAAAAATTATGGCTTTTATTTTTAAATGATTAAAAATGACTCTACCTTTCAAACTAACTCAGCAATTTATTTTTCCCTACAGAACAATGGTTTCGATTATTATTTCTTTGGAATCAAAATCATTACTAAAAATACAAATTTATTCCAAACTTCAACACCAAATTCGAATCGAATAATTTAGTCCAAAGTTGTCAGCCATGAGAGGATAGCTTGTGCACCCTTTTCCCATGAGCAATCGAGCATCATGTCATGGGCAACGCCGTCGACTGTTACAGGCGAGACCCCGTAGAACCTCCCGGTTTCGCTCAATCCCTCCGCATCCTACAGACACCAGAATACTCATGGCGATTCAAGGATCGTTCGCTTTAAAATCGATAACCTTAAAGTAAGTATAACATGGAGGTAGGGACACGAAACATGAATGGATCGAATGCCCGAATCTAATAAACTCTTACCACGATGAAGTCATCAGCTGCTCCCACAACATGAACCTTAATGGAGGCGTCTTTCATGGGAGGAACTGGCAGCGATGCATTCAGCTTGCGTAGATCAAATAAAGGCGTCTGCATGCTTTCGGTCATCAGCTTTTGGTACCTGGAATGCATTTAAATTCGAAAATGGTTTATAACTGTTCAGTGTATGTATCGCGGGTGATTGAAAGCTGAAAGTGCAATGAATTCTACGACTAATGTAACTAGAAATAGAGTCGAACTTGAGATCATACAATATACTTCAATAATACTCTATCCACTACAAAAGCCCTTATATCTTACGACCGAGATGATTAATGCAAATTTACGCCTATTCTAATGTAAATTTACAAGTACTCACCGAGAGACAAGGTGATCATCCATGGTGGAAGAGAAGAAAGTTTCCCGACAAAGTGGTAAGTTAGTTTGGAAAGCTTTCGCAGCCAAACTCCGTGTCACCTGTCCCATATCATACCGTGTGGGTGTAGGAGAAACACATTAGCTAAGAGTGCCAAACACTAGCGTATAGTGATTCAATCACATCGAAAATAACCACAATAGCCTAAACCACATTGGAAAATCATTGCACATGAGCAGACTGCAAAAGCTAAAAGCATAAAAACAGTGTACATTAAACTGAGGCAGCAAGATGTTTTACCTTAAACGCTGCGATTGGTTTGGTGAATAGATACCGCCAAACTAGGCCGCTAATTGAAAAGAATATATCCATTAATCTGGTGAATATAACAGTGTGTGAAGTGAGACTACAGTTTTCGAGACTCACCTGTTTCCGGAAGGAGGTACGGAGCAAACAAGAACACTGCCGGACAGATATGGATTCAGATTCTCTGAAATATAGTAGTAGAGAAGAGATGTCGCATTACAAAATGTCATAGTCACTTAAGACTAGATTACTAGATTTGCCTTTCCTTGTAGTATCTGTAATTTGGTTTTTCAGCATGGCCCATCAAGAAACAATAAAATTTGCGGCAAAAATATAAGTGACCTTGCGATTTCCCATTACCTACATTTGCGAGGTAGTACTGAACAATAAGACCCCCAAAGGAATGACCCAGCAACACTGGCGGGAGCTGAATCTCCTTTGCAATAAAATCAGCCACATCAGCAGCATGAGTCTACTGCACACACGAAGTTCCCGTTTTTAGAAAGCCTCACACCGCAGACCATCTTAGTAAAATAGATAATTTGTAGAAAACAAAAAATACCTGGAGTGAACCTGCTACTGACCCTGCAGGCGAATCACTTTCTCCCTGAAACAAATGATAAAATGGCTTAGAATCAATACCTAATTCGACCCTGTTTTTGGTGCTCAAATCTTTATAATGTTCTATCTTTCTTTGTTTTTGAAATATATCCAATGTATTTTACAGGGGGTGGCAAAGGGCACTTGCAGGCTATGGTCCGGCGCCCCCATTGCCATACCTCCATACAAATATCATTATACTCACGAATCTCAGTTCTTTTAAACCAAATGTCCCTAAACAGCAAGCATACAGCCATACAACAGAAAATGGAAACATATGGAATTCTAAGCTTAACTATTATAGCAGAGGCTATTTTGAGAATTCCTCCACCAAGAACTTATTACGAAAGGAGTTCATGTAAATGCAGCTAATGAATGCAGGAAATAGCACCAGATAAATCAGGAATCGAAACAAATTACCACAATTCAGCAATATGATTTTCTTTTTTTTCTTCGATTAGTGATTAGCATTCTCAGAAATTGAAAAACGACATTTAGCAACCTAATCGAAGAAACTAGGAAGCAATTTAAAGCATAGCCTCGTCAACAACAAAATCCCCAAAACATTAGGGTTTGTCAACTTCCGATCTTAAAGAAATTAGGGGTTGGAGAACAATACCTGACCGAGCAAGCTCAGAGCATAGCAATCAAAACCATGGCCAGAAAAGAAAGGGAACCAATGCTCGGCCCAGCACCAAGCCGCATGGAAGCTTCCATGGACAAACACCAACGGCAGATTCCGAGATTTCTGGTCTCGCCCTTTCTGGACGATGAACTCCATGTTAAGCCCAGAGGGGAGCTCATGGAAACGACGAGACTGCCCCTCCTTCAGCTCGTAAGGGACCTTCATCTTGTAGCTTTCCGGCTTCAGAACTGCTCGGGGCATTACCGGGAACCGTGGGTTAAACATGGTTGCCAGAATCGTGGCCGCCATTGGTGTACTTAGAACTTTCTACAAATCTCTCCTTCCTCTCCTCGGCTTCTGTTCCTGAATTACGATTGAATTGGAGAATGGGTCCGATCCAATTTCACCTGGTCCGGGTCGGGTCTTAATGAATCAATCCAGCTCTATTTCGAAAGTTTAAATCTCAAATAAGGTCCAAATTTTCTTACAGATTATGAAAGTTAAAACATGGAGAAAATTAGATAATGTACAAAGGATTAGTTGTCAATGACGTATTGTATTGATTCAACGTTCTTTTTCAAAAGCTTCAACGGTTCTTGCTTATAGCTGTGGTGATAAAATGTGCAAGAATTCCAATGGGACAAAACATCAGGCACAAAGAAACAGAATGCCTCGTCTCTATGTTGTCTCGTAGGCCTTCGAAATAAACCTGTCTGCTCCAACATAACCACCAATGTTAAATTTTACAGAATTTCAGAACTACATGTTATTAATAATGCATTTGGGTGTGTATAGAGAGGGGGGAGAGTGACCTTGCAGCGAAAAGATCGACTATCAGCAAGTGGATCCAAGCAGAAGATAGAGTCATCTGACTAGAGAACATCTTCGATATACTCGACAGCTGAATAACAAGAATTAGTCAAGTGTTTCAGTCCAAAGTGTAGTGTAGTGTAGTGTAATGAACTAATGTAGATTTTTCAGTTCTAGAGAAGTCGTAGAAAGTAAACAAACCTCAGGTAACCAGTATTTACTTGCGAACATCAGCCGTATTGTATCGGGCGTCCAGGACAGATACAATAGATACGCATATAATATGCCAAGAACAATGTATGGCATGCTGCTCGACACGAGTTTCTTAGTCTGCAGAAACACAGAACCAAAGAGCAATCTAGGCCAATTCACAACTTCAAAAGTTCATTGCTATCAAACAATGAGCAACAGAAATGTAAACTTACAAACTCAGCTCGTGGGGCTACGACCATTGAGGTGTAAAATGGAAGTACTGCTACTGTCCCCAATGTAAAAGCACTGCTAGCTATCTGATAGTTAGGGAGCCCTGCAAAGAAAAAGATACAGAGCCATGATGCAGTTTAAGTTCATTGAATCAAATTATGGGTGCATGCGTGTTTTTTTTTTTTTTTAATGAACACAAGCACCTACAACAAGAGGCGATATAGTAATGGTTAGAGATACACGGTAAGCTATAATTTAGGTAACAATGGAGGAGTGTGAAGTCTCATATCTTACAGTTATAGTTAAGTATGAATTACATGAAGAACCTTAGAGAATATCATAAAGAATTACATGAAGCACATGTCACCAAGCCTTTTCTTCTGAGAATTTTTCTTCTATGTTTTGATGCATCAATGGTTATTGATCCTCCAAGAAAACTCCATCCAATACATGGATTTGCTTCTTTCCCCACAACTCGCCAGCCAAAAATTTTAGTGTTTGAATTTTTACGAGCAGATGAACATCTGGTGTTGTCAATGTTTTTCCATGAGGTGTTCAACGGCATTCTTGGTCGATCAATCTATGGACAGAGGAACTAAAATGATCAAGTGCTCAACCTTGTTATATGATACATTAACAGTAGGAAAAAAAAAAAGGCAACCCTCTATGAAAAAATGATAATTCATTTATTGTTCTTCCTCTATAAACTGGCAATACATCAAATAGCAAGCAAATGAGCCATAGTACATCAACACTACAATCATACAACAAATTTCCTTTCTTTTACACACTCAGAGAGGGAAAAAAAAAAAAAAAAAATCCGCATGCCAGTACATTTTCTACAAAAGTAACACAAAATGACACAGAAAATCAGAGAAGACAGGATAATCTTGTAAGAAAATATAAAAAGGGAACCAGAAAATTATCGAATGAATTCACAACAAAGTAAATATTGCACCAGCTTTTAGTAGATCTTCTCACTCCACTCATGCCACAATAATAGTAAAAAGGATCAGCCTCATAGTTTAAGGAAATTGATGGCAACTAACTGTGTGTTTTGTGTTTGCAAAGTAATTTGATGTAATGTTTTGCGAGAAAAATTGTTTGGGAAACATGAAAGATGCATAGCAACTAAATACAACAAATTTGCTCAAAAAACAAAACCTGAATGGTTGGTTAAGCAATCTAAGGAAATTCCTTATTGGAAAAAACAAAATAGGTTTGCTGGACTATTATTGTGAATAGAAGAAGAAAGAATTTGCAACTGCAATAATTTTTGTAATCGTCTCATATAAGACTGGCTTAGACATTGATCAAATGTAGGCAGGAATTTTGTTCCCTTAAAAAATGTCTGAATTTATAAAACAAGCCTATAGATACATTTTTGGGAGGCAATTTGTTGGAACAGGCCAACTCAGCACTTGGATTTCTTACAAAAATGCCTTCGTACTGATGGAGTTCATTTGGGACTTATGTGGAATTTTCCACACATCTTCCAAACGTGGGGACTTAGATTTGCACCCAACACAACTAACCCTGCCAAATAGGGAATAGAATAATCCCAATTCCAAACCCTAATCCCCGAAATTGCACAGTACAATAACACTTTCCATGCCTATTACACAGCTGATGCATAAGCTATCAATTCACCTCTGCACATTTCATAACGTATGACAACCTATTTGATCTAAAAACAGCAACGAAGCACATTTCTTAACGGAAGGATAAACAAATATCCAAATCAAATGGCCAAACAGCGAAGCAAAGCACCAGTATGAAGCAAATATCTTACAATAAGTAAATGCAGCAACAACTACATTCGCAAATGGTAAATTGGCAGCAAAAATAAATCAGCAAACGCGAATGGAAGTGTCCAAATCCAAATAACCGACAAAGTGAGAAGCCATTGGAGTGGACAGCGCAAATCCTTACCCAAAGAGAAGAACCGCATATCCGCGAGCTGAAAACACAGCTAGATAATTCCATATCCAAAATTTAATGGGAAAATTAAAAATTAAAAAACTCAACACTCTGTGAATCAGCTTGAGCAAGCGTTAGGCTATCCGTTCCGGAGGGAGACAGGAAGAGAACACCATGAGAGTGGGGGGAATGGAGGTTGAATTGATGTCGAAGGCGGAAGTTAACTGAGTAATGAAACTTTGCAAAACTCCAGACAGTAAAGTTCATTGAAGGAAAAAGGGGGAAGTGTCCCGCTGCTGAGTGATGTAATCTAAAGATTCTAGCCAATCTGGATAAGCCACGTGTCGATATGTACACGTGGCTTACATGCCGATTTTGTTGGATGACATTAACGCGATTGTGGGCTGTGTGGCGGATACGACAAAACCAAAAATCCGACTTGAATAATAAAAATAAGTAAAAATAAATAATTAATAAATATATATAAAATATTATTTAATTTGAATATAGTAAAACGAGTTCTAGATCATTTAATTATTTTTTCAGGTTTGATTTAAAATGCGTTTAGTTATCGGTTTAATTGAGTTGAAAATTGGATTAATTTTTTTTTATTAATAATGTAAATATATTTAATTATTTTAATAATTATATTTTTATAAAATATATATCATATGAATATTATTTTAAAAGTAATAGAATTTTATATAATATAAATAAATAAAAATAATAGCATTTATTTATAATTAAGATAATTTAATTTTATAAATAAAAAAATTTAAATATATATAAATATTTATATATTAAAAATAAAAATAAAAGATTTTGAACATGAATCCCAATATTTTGAGAAGAAATTAGAAGAAATATAATGTCAATTTCGATTGGAAAGTCAACCAAACGCACCCTTCATCTTCAAGATTTGAATACTTTTTTTCATAACTTCAATACATCTTTCAAGGATTCGAAGGGCTTGGTATTTAGGTCATCTCCAATCCACCGTATTTTATGCAGTGGATTGTACCAAAAATAGTGGGAGGGGCTTCAATCCACCCTCAAATTCTATTTTTGTAGAAATTAACAGTGTTACTCTATTTTTGAAGTGGAGTTTTTGTGGTGTTTTTTATATTTTTGGTATTTTTTTTATAATTTTAATTTTTTAGTAGATGATATATAATTTTATATTTAAAAAAATTGTATGCAATTTTATTTTTTTTGAAAAATAATGTATAATTTTATTTTTTAAAAGTGATATAATTTTAGTTTTTAGAAAGTAATATATAATTTTATTTTTTAAATGTTAATTTTTATATATGTAATTTTTAAATAATTTATAAATTATATGTGTATGGATCTAATGTAAAAATAAATTAAAGTTGGAGTGTAATTTATAAATATGAAAAGTTATATAAAATAATATAAAAGAGGAATATATAGAGAATATATTTTTAGAGTAAAAATTGAAATTTATGGTTGGAGCTATATTTTTACTGTAGCAACTATAAAAATGGAATAGAGGGTTGGAGATGGCCTTAGTTTGGTTTTTCTGAAATTTGGAGGGATCATTCTTAAAATATACTACGACATTTGATTAATTTTAAATATTTATTTTTTAATGCCGAAGTGCTACTTTTATTAAAAAATTATAGTAACTTAAAAAATTCTACTATAATTTAAATTATATACTAGTATAATATTTTAACTTGTGTTTTATTTTTATTTTATACATTTCTAAAATAGTTATTAGTTTTGATATGATGTAAATATATATATTTTTTAAATATTTGTATTAAATAAAAAAGAAAGAAAATACGAACCAAATTATTCTATATACTCATACAGAAAATATTAAGATATAATAATTTTAAAATTGTTGCAAATAATATTCTCTGTCTCTCTAAAAGTTGTACTAGCTCTCTTGCCGATATAATTTTATATTTTTGTCAGTATATAGTACAATTTTTTTATTTTAATAATTATACTACCTAATTTAATAAATATATTTATAATTTACAATATATTATAAATATTATTCCTTTATAACATACTATACTAATAAAAAAATTTATTTTATTTTTTATTTATTAGGGAGGGAGGAAGTATTTATTTTTGCATCATTTTATTCACATAGAAGTTAAATGAAACTGTTATGACGGGAGATAATGAGATAATAGTATATATTTTTTAGGTTTTTTTATTACTCGTTTTATAATATTCCCTACGTCCTCAAGAGAAAAAAAAAAGGCAACGTGCCCGAATTCACTCTCCCATAAACAAGGATACTGTTTCTCTACGAATTTCATGAAGCTGAATCGATTTCATTCCGCGAGGTAACTTTGATCGATTGAGGAGATGGATGGTTGTACAAATTCAATAGCGATAGGTCGGCTTGTTTGCCCCAAGCCAAGGAGGTCGCCCCGTCCAATTTAACAACCTCGCCAGCGCCAATGAGGATTCGCGGCAGGTAATTTTCTTCAGCTTGCATTTTCGCGTTACTTTTGGTTTCACTTGTTGATGTATGTCCTGTTACGTGAAACAGTAATGACGTTGTAGCGTTTGAATCGAAAGCCGCGGGTGCAGAATCTCTCGATTTTATTCTTCGTAAGGTATATAAAACCTGCATTTTCGAAATTCGTTGTGCGTTTCGATATTCTGATTAATAGGTTGGATTGGTTTGCAGTTCCAGTTCCAGTTGCAGTTGTGAGTTATGAGATTTAGCTAATGTTTATTTGTTTTTTTTATTGATTTAATTCATGAGATTATGCATTGATACATGTTCGCGACACACCACGCACACACATACGTATCTTGAGTTATACACACATGTTTTGGATGCTCAGTAATTGTCTTCCAAGGATTACTATAATTTCTTCGAGTCCATTCACTACCTGCAATTTTGCAGTTTTAGGGATTAAATGTTCGTGCCTGCTTGCACACTTTACAAGGTTACATGTAGTTTTAAGTCAGTTGATTACACAATAAAGGGCAAATGATGCATACACTATATGGTGCATCTGCTTAAATCTGTGTTCAGTTCTGTTGCTGCAGTCAACCATTTCAAGCTGTAATAGACACTTTTAGGAAAGCACATTCATCTTAAGCATACAAGTTTTCGCATCCTTGAAATCGATTTATGATGGAATCAAATATTCATTTCTCATATTGACTTTACTCTTTGGATTTCCATAAATTTAAGCTTGCATCAGATGCTGTTGGAATCTTCATTAATACATATTTTTACTACTGTGATACACCTGATTCTCCTTGGTTTTGATTAATATAGATGTGTTATATATATTGTTTAGTTACTTTGTTGGATTAGAACTTTTGGAAGCTTTTTAATTTCGTCATTTCCATAAAGCTTTAGAAGTTTAGTTATATACATTTTCTTCAACACTATCACTTTATCAGTTTCGACAATTTAAATTACTGATTTCAACAAGATTATCCTAGCTTTTACAGAGTATCAAAAACCATAAAACTGAACATGTCTCCCAAAATGTTATAGTGAAGAAAGAAACCCAGTCACTGAATGAGGAATTCTGTTTAGAAATAATCAAAAAGACTTGAGTATGGTTTGTAATTTCAAGACTCGGTTGTATCTTTATCGAAGATTTAACTTGTAAGATTGATATTCATTCAATAGATTCATCTCATGTTCCCAGCTAAACCCAATCCCAAAAAAGGATATGCATAGTGTTCGAATGCAATGTTCGTTAAAAGCTTTAAACTTTGAAAGATTCACTGCCATCTGTTTCTAGCTGTCGAGTTCTTGCGCTGCATATCCTTTGTATGAATCCATTTTCTAATTAGTTTCTTGTCTCGTTTCTAAAGGAAGACATCGAAGTAGACCACTGCAGGGATACCCCATCATCTCCCCCATTCTTCTTTGGATCTCCGCCTTGCAGAGCATCGAATCCTTTAGTTCATGATGACTATTTCTGGGTTGGCAAGGCTTCCATGCTTTCATCATCTTCATGTTCACCCAAATCTCCAACAGCTTCTTCCCGAGCAAAACAAGCTGTTGTAAGAGTTGAAGGCTTCAATTTTCAAAGCTCCCGTGCTGTTGCAACTGCATAGGTCGATGTCGATGGAGAAGGTAATATAAGGAGCAACCTGAACAAGTAAGTAAAGATCTTCCAATTTTCTGTTTTACTGATTCTGTGAGATTAAAATGCTTCTCTTGATTGTGTAGATAGATTAGTTTTCATGAATGATAATAATCCAAATTTCCTTAGGTATGTTTCTTTTAATGTAGTTTGAAAAATTTTGGTTTGAGTTTAGTATTAAAATAATGTATGATGAAATATTTTGTAAAAAAAATATATATATTTTTTTAAAAACATAGAATTCAAATAGTAAAAACCTGAACTTTGAGGTTAAAAAACAAACCCTTGATATATTTTCAATTTATATTAATAATGAATTAGATGTTTAATTTATCAAAATAAAATAAAATCCATACGAGAATAATTACGTAATATAAAAATTCAAATTCTTCAACTTATAAAAAAAATAAATAAGATGTGAGAAATATAAATATTACATCGTTTACCCACCAAATATAAAATAATATTTTAAATTTTAAATATAATAAATCATATCACATATAAATCATAATTTGAAATCTCAATCCTAAAAAAAAAAATAATAATAAATAAAGATCCATAAACCAAACAACCCTTAGTTCTTTCCTGTGAAATATAATAATCCCTGGTAAGGCTATAAGTATATTATTATTTTTTCTTTTTGTTAGTTCATAAAAGATATTTTTTAAATAATAAATTTATTTATTTTAAAAGTAATTAACAATATAAATTAATTAAATTAAATTTATAACCTCTTATACATGGCATTACTTAATTTTTTTTTATTTTTATCTCTTTTTTTAATAAATAAATATTTTAATTTATAATTATTTTTTTATTTTTTATAAATATATATATTTTTTATTTATTTGTATTATATAAAAATATATTATTTATAAAATGATATCTATATTTTAAATATTTTATTAAAATATAATTATAAAAATATTTAAAATACCAACAATATTATTTATATAAAAAATAATAAAAAATAAACTTAAAATACGGTGTATACTAAAAGTTCAACTGATCGGGGACATAGGAGCATTAAATAATTATTGAAGCAAAAATATAGAATACAATAAATAAATAGAGGCAATGGGCTAGAGTGAGGTAGCCCTTTTCATTTATGTCGGGTCCAGTCAATTAGTGGACAATGTTTCTCTATTTATGAC